CGAAGATAGTACAGATACTGCTCGAGAAGGGTGCTGATATCAATGCACAAGGAGGCCTATACAGCAACGCACTACAGGCGGCATCAGCGGGTGGTTATGAGAAGATAGTGCAGATACTGCTCGAGAAGGGCGCCAATATCAATGCACAAGGAGGCCTATACGGCAACGCACTACAGGCGGCATCAGCGGGTGGTTATGAGAAGATGGTGCAGATACTGCTCGAGAACGGTGCTGATATCAATGCACAAGGAGGCAGGTTTGGCAACGCGCTACAGGCGGCATCAGCGGGTGGATATGAGAAGACGGTGCAGATATTGCTCGAGAAGGGTGCTGATATCAATGCACAAGGAGGCCTATACGGCAACGCGCTACAGGCGGCAGAAGCGCGTGGTCATGAGCAGGTGGTGCATCTGCTTACTGGATTCCGTACCCAGTCCTGAACGTAGCTTCGGCCCGTGGAATACTTACATTTGCATGGGGATTTGCTTGATTGCTCTTCTTGGTAAGCAACGCGACGAGACTAAGTTAATCTTACTGCACCCAAATCGATAGCGCACTCAATACTATATTCCTCTTCAAATACCGTACATCTGCCAGACGATTGTCAGATGCTAGCGTGGATCGTGCCCATATGGATTCAAGGGATCGCGCCTCAATTTTAGCGAAGAAGCAGACCACAGCACTGAGAAGCAACGGTCAGGCAGTTTGATTTAGTCCAAATATACCTGATAGTACAGGGGAACTCTTGGCACAGAGGGATGGGATGTACGTTTAGTCGCTGTGAATTCACGCGTTGGGAACTACAGTAAATCTCAATTCAATCGTTCTTCGCGAGTGAGAGACCTAAACATGCGACCTAGGTGGTTCTGGAGAACGTGTGGACAAGACAATGCTTCTTCCTCTGCAGTGGTGGACTTTCGCGGACAGATTAAAACATTTATATTCGCATGCTTCATGTGCCAAATCGACAGACAAAATCCCTACCACGTACCTAACATGTACGTAGGTTACTCGCGAGTTGAGCAAACCACCCAACACCCAACACCCAACACCAAATTCATGAGATCGAGAAGCATATTCCTCACCCTGTGCATCATTATTGTCATGTTCTCATAACAGGGGCAATCAATCTCGTCGCTAAAATGGCGCTCATAACTCGGTAATCCCTCAAGAACACCCGTACCACACACATGCTGCTACATATATGATGATAATAGAACACACCTGATGTGCCGATCAAACGTTCCCAATCACAACCATATACCGCAATTTGTTGTCCTTGCTGCTCTTGTTGGCGTCCAGCCCACCCATCCCATCGTCGAGTTGCATCTGGCTACTCTTCCACCCCCAGCTCTTGCTTACGTCGAACCGATCCGGAGCGCTCTCGTAAATGCTCAACAGCCGACCAGCCTTGCTAGGCGAATATATCTTGAAATAGGTCCGGATCGTGGGCCGCGAGTCCATATAAGGGGGCATCGTGGAAACATTGTATTTCCGGTTTCTGCGCACGAGCTCTTCGTCTTCTTCGTCTTCATCCAGCATCTGCGAACCTGGAACGCTGGCTTCCCCACCAGGCTCCACCGTGTTGCTCGGCATGTGTGAAGTTTTGTTGTTGTTGTTGGTGGTGGTGGTGGTGGGTACACTTCCGCCTTTTCGACTCTCGGCAGGTGAGCTTTCTGTGTCGCCAAAGCGGGCGGCGGTCCCAGGATCAAACTCGGTAGATGTCGAAGGGGTATCCTCTCGATCAGGTTCCGACCCCCGAGCAGTAGCCTCACTGATCCTCCAGATCTGGTTGCGCCGTTCGTTCTTCCGAAGCAGCATCTCGCGCTCGAGCTGTCCTATTCGATCGTCGACGGTGGCAGGAATGAACTGAGCCAGTGGATCATCATTGGGATCCTTATCCTTTGCACGATGGAGGTAAATTCCGAGTTGTTGCGATTTGGAATTGTTCACGCGTTGAATGTAGAGGTTCCAGAGACTCCCTGCGTACCACACCGTCTGCGAGTAGATACGCTTTTTCTCCTTGAGGGACCTCGGGTTGGGGAACTCTGCAGAGAAGCGAAACGGAGGATAATGGCTAAAGCGTGGTGCGTCCTCTGGCGAATAGTTTCGTGAAGGAGGCCTGCCACCTTCAATCACGTTTTGGCCGGTGAAGTCGAAAGCCCATGCCACGTCTGTTGGCTCGAGGCTTGCCGACAGCCTGGCTGCATTCGTGCTCCAGTCGGCGCCAATTGTTGCGTTCGATGCACTACAGGCCTCGCGAGTCCCACCCATCACGCAGGACACATCGTGACCAGGGATCCAGAACTTCCTCGGTTTGCCGTTGCCGTCCCAGGAACCAGACTCCATCTCCAGACCAATTTCACTCATCTCGTCTTGCTCCCTTGCCTTGCCTTTGACCAAGGCCGAGGCCTCTTGTTCTCCGACAACAACTTCATAATCGTCCGCAACTTCGCTCAATCCTAGCTCAATATCTGCGTCTCGGGCGTTGAGAACCTTCTGACGAAGCTCCATGGACATCCACAAAGCATCAGATATCACCTTTTCTGGTAGTATGGGAACCCCAAGAATGTCGCGGTGAGAGCGAATCTGCTGCAGCTGCTCGAATCGGAGATGCACGTAGTGGATTCCTTCATCAAGAAGGACCAACAGCGGTGCGACCTCGGGTGTGGTATACAACGCAATCCATGCGTCGTCCTTTTCAGACACATACCGGTTGTTACCCGCAATCCGGTACGGGGCATCAAATCTCACGGCAAAAAACCTCAGGCTATTCGGCTTGGGATGGATGTATCGTCCTCCGAGAGACACGAGGCCATTCTCGACGGCTTTGGCTCTAAGACGACGGTTGAGGAGCTTCACCGCCAAGTACCATCGGTCCCATTCTCCAGGCACGAAGAAAGGGTCACCACCGACTATTTCACGAATGATCTCTGCAGGGATCTCGTCCCAGAACTCATATGGCATCTCCCAACCGTCCCTACACAACATAGCTTTCGCCGAGGCAAGGATGCGATCTCCCGGTTTGCCATAGTAGTTGTTGGTAACGAGCTTGATGAGGCTGGCAAGCGTAGATGGCTGCATTTGGCGAAGAATGCTTTCGACGCATGAATCAACCAGGTCAGGCATGTCGAGCCAACAGCCCGTTGCGAAAAGTCCAATGGCTTCTTCTTCTTCTTGTAGTGGAAACTGTGTGCCATATATCCTCTTCAAGGCAAGCTCAAATGCGGTCTTTGTAATGTTTGCATCGATATCCTCAGGCACTATAGTCATTTCCTTGGCACTACTCTCTGCCCACGATCCCGAAAACGCCGAAGCAAAGAACGGGACTCGATCCAGTAACAGTTTATGAAGTTTATATGCTTGTCCGAAGGCGTGCACGGTTATATCAGAGTGGCGCCCTTCCTCAAAACCAACGTGGAATAGGTGACCGGTCAGAGTAGAGGTGTCACCTATACTGCGGCCAACGCCCGAAATGGCGCGGAGATAGGATGGGCCTGTGGACAAACTTGGGCTCCGTGCATCACCAGGTACAAATAGTCCCGAGACAGTTGCTGGGGTGCTTGCCGAGGCAATATCCATAGCATTTGTCGCAGAGCTGGTCGTTGGGTCATCGACGTCTTTCTCCGAGCTGTTGAGAGGTTGTCTCTTCGCTATCACAGATGTTGAAGGGACAGTATCACCGTGCCGGCTAGTGCTTCGACGGCTAGCGCCAGCGTGTGTCAATGCCGCTAAAGGTCCTGTGGTACCGGAAGAGATTGCACCACTCATTGATGCCAGGGCAGTATTTGCCGAGATAGAAGCAGTCGGAGGGCCAGATACGAAGATAGATCGAAGCGGAGGCTCGAATGAAGTTGTCGATATGCTGTGTTCACCATAGTTACTTGCCAAAACCTGGCTTGCAGACGCAGCTCTTCGTTGCGATAAGGGCCTTGAAGGACTACCTGTGACCTGTGGAAGCGGCGACCTGATAACTCTGGAGAAAGATGTATCCGCTAGATACTGCGACGACTGCAAAGGCGAAGCCACAATGTTCGGGTCCCTCCAAGCTGACCTCTGGTTTTCTGGATTAGGACCCGAGGGTTCGTAGTCACTGAAGAGTCCTTCCACATCATCTCTGGAAGCGCTCCAGCCTGACAATCCTTCATGATCCATTCTAAGGACTCGATTAGCTCGATAATTTGTTTCAAGGCGCTCCAGAGCTCGAGCTACTTCATGAAAATAGGTAGCCAAAGGATGCTCAAAACCTCAAGGCAACCGCCATGACATCAGGGACCAGACGGCTCTGATTCAATGTCGAATTAGACTCTACTGTTAGTTTGAGCGAGGTCTCGAGTGCATAGAGATCACAGATATCACAGAGGAGACGGTGATACGGAGAATGAGGTTTGAACTTGAAAGTTGGAAGTTGGCGAGTGATGGAATCGAATGATTTGTGATGTCTGGTCAATGGTGGCTGGTGGGATGATGGCTTTATCGATAACAAGCCACTCGCTTTGGACGCCGCAAAAGTGACATCTTTTGTTTCTCGCACTTCGACTAATCCCTTGTCTATGAGCACAACCAACGACATCGTATGGGGTACCTGCACATGCCATTGCGTGCTGGACCATACTGACGCTCACTGCTCTTAACTGCCCATGCTCATCTATATGTGAACACCATGGCTCATTGGCCAATCAACTCGCTTCCAATTCAAGATGGACGAGCACACAGTTCAAACCTCCGTTTCGAACGGTAGCACCGTGCTTTACCGAGAACCTTTGAATCCAATCGAACCCTCGAACAGCTTCGGCCATAATGCATCCAAGCCCAAAGGGCAAGAATCTTCAATACGACGTCTGCATCGGGCCGACTCGTCTCAAGCCCAGAGCCCAGAGGAATCCATGACCAGGGAGACAAAATTGGGTTGGAACTCGCCTGATGGACGCAGTAATGATATGAATGACGACAAACCCCTGACTGGCTCTTCGTTGCTAGAAGGCACCAATGGACATATCGATCCAACCGATGATGGAGCACACGAATCCCCTTCGAACGGATCTGCGCACACGGGCAAGATTCCCGGGAGTGTAAGCAAGAGAGTGTCTTCCCACACGAAACTGGATCCATACAGAGGCATCGAGTCTGCTTCTCGACCAGAAAATGTGCTGAAATTATCGGGAGACAAACTACAAGACCTTACGGCCACACCAGAATCACTACCACTCCGAGCCATTGAGTCGACTGTGCAGCACCAGAATGTCCAACTCCCCCCTCCTCTTCCCCCTCCAAAGCTTTCGGATGTATACACAGATGACGCACCCACGCGAGCAGTCGCACTGCGTTCGCCTCTTCTTCCCTCAGTCGATATGAGTGACTCAAGGAGACCACGAAATTTAACCATTGAGACCAGTGGTCGGCAGCGACATCCCGAGATCACCCCTAGCCCAAAGCCCGGCCTGCTGAAGCGAGCCATCTCAACACCGGGCTCGATCAGAAGTGCTCAATCGCCACAAAAACCGGACAGAGTTCGCCCAACACTTGTTGTACCTGACATTTCATCACATGTCGAGGGCGCAGATGGCAGGAGATATTCGTCCTCTGGACGTCCGTTACCCTCTCCAATGCCCACGTCAATCCCCCTTCCCCCATTATCCCTGCCGACCTATCTGCAGCTGGAGTTGTCCTCTCAACGGCCCTCACAATTCTATATTCACAGATCTGCTGCCAGTGATTTCCCTTACGAATCTTCACGTGCGAAGATCGAAAGGCTCATGAATTTCCTCTTACTCCCCCCGCACCTAGAGGGCGTGCTTTGGTTTGGTATCTTGGCCTGCCTCGATTCGTGGCTGTACATCTTCACCATACTCCCGCTCCGGCTCCTCAAATCCATCTACATACTTGTTCAGTCATGGACTATCAACGTGTCGACAGAAGTTCTTTTTGTTTTCAGCTTTGTATACCAAGGGACTGGTCGAATGTGGAATAGACGGCGAAACAGTATCCCTTCCAACACAGCGCGAAAGGTATCAGAACCAGGTGCCACGGAACCTAGGTCCACTCATAACGCATCTTTACAAACCCGCAGGCAGAACAGACATCATCGGCGAACAAAATCAGTCCCCTCGGCGCTGCTACCGGACGATAAAGCGGACCTTTTGAGGGGCCTTTTGATCCTCACCACCTGCGTAGTCCTGTTGAGACTCGATGCCAGCAGAATGTATCATTGGGTTCGCGGTCAAGCAGCGATCAAACTCTACGTCATCTACAACATCTTGGAAGTGTGCGATCGACTGTTTTCCGCGATTGGACAAGACGTTCTCGAATGTTTGTTCTCTCGTGAAGCACTTGAGCGGAAACCGGATGGTCACAGCAAAATCTTACGGCCTTTCTGGCTGTTTGTACTTGCTCTTGTTTATACAGTCATTCATTCGGTGGCCCTCTTTTACCAGGTCATTACGCTCAACGTCGCTGTCAACTCGTACTCCAATGCACTCATTACACTTTTGATGTCAAACCAGTTTGTCGAAATCAAGGGCACAGTGTTCAAGAAATTCGAAAAGGAGAATCTCTTCCAGCTAACCTGCGCGGACATTGTCGAGCGGTTTCAATTATGGCACATGCTTGTCATTATTGCGGCTCGCAATATCGTTGAAACCGGAGGACTGAGCTCTGGACTCAGTGCGCTGATGAACTCCGCGTCTGCGACAACATCAGCGCCTGCTTCTAGCAACAGCAGTCTTCCCTTGACAGCAGCAGTCCCTCCAAAGTCAGCCAGCTCGATTTTACCAAGTTCTTTTACTCTCCTGCCAGCAGTGGTGAATTCGATCACTTCATATGCGCCGGCTGTCAGCCAAGTATTGGGTCCATTTCTTGTTGTGTTGGGTTCGGAGATGTTGGTCGATTGGTTGAAGCATGCCTATATCAATAAATTCAACAACACGCGACCTGCGATTTACGACCGCTTTCTTGACGTTCTGGCCAAGGACTACTACACAAATGCTTTTGGCGACCAAAATCTCACAAAAAGACTGGGACTTCCTGTCATCCCTCTGAGTTGTCTTTTTATCCGAGCAAGCGTGCAGACGTACCAAATGTTCATGGCGGCGTGGGTTCCTTCAACTGCACCTAGCTCATCGACCAGCCTGGCAAGTATATACGAAGACTATTCTGCAGCACGGTCGACCTTGCCTCTGAGTACAAGTGCAGCGATCTCGAGAACAGTCGACGACATTATTCGTTCCATACCAACTGTGATCACCAAGTCTCGCGCTGTGACCCATATGACAACCGTTCTCATGTTCCTTCTGCTGTTTTTGATCTTGCTGGCGTGCAAGCTGGTCTTAGGGATGGTTCTTCTAGCGTTCGCTAGATCTCGATATCACTCTATGAAACTACGGGAGAAGAACGCTATTCACCACGTGGAAGGAGGTCGCCGCGTAGGCGGCTGGGGAGTGGTCGAGGTGGACGAGGACAAGAGAAGGTGGATTTACGAAGACGATCCCGCAGGTCTCCGGGCACTGCGAGAAAAAGAGGAGCGAGACAAGAACAAACAGCAAAAAGAAAAAGACAAAGGACATGGAGTCGAGGCTTTTGACAAAGTCAAGCGCTATGAAATGGTGGCCAAGAGGATATGGTGATGGGCAAAACCTACAGTATGGACGATGCGATCTTCGGGCGAGTAATTTACCTGGTAGAGGCCTCTCTTCCCGATGCCTTGGCTGATGCTCTGGCTGCGGCCAAGACCAGCTTCATATCCATTCATAAAACAAGCATCCGAACGGCCCACGGGTTCCTGCATGCGCCGATCCGACCAAGGCACGAATGACAGAAGGGCTTGCTGATGTGAGGCGTGTTTGAGGATCGGGCCCAGGGGAAGAGGGGACCAAAGCGCTTGGGCGTTAGGCCGTTGTAGGCATAGTCTTGTCAGTTCTTGTTTGAGATGGCCCGCGCTTTGGGGGGCTACGGGCTCCACGCCAGGTGCTTTTCGGCCATTGGCATCTCATCAGATGCCCGGAAGACCCCAGGGCCATCGCTCTAGTCCTCATTAGGGCACCTGTTTGTAGACTAACTGGGAGGCCTCGTACTCCGTGTCCCTAGGTACACATCTCACACACCCGTTCATTCATTCACTCATCCTTTGCTGCTCACTCTCTTCACTCGTCCGTTCCAGCATTCAATCACTCTCCTTTCCATTGTTTCATCAAGTCCTTCGCTATTCCATACAACCGAGAAATTCACCTTCTGCGCTCCTTGCCTCTCAATTTCTGTCATTGTTCTCATTCAGGGTGCTCGGTCCACATCGAGCCCAGTCCATTCTTTCAACCCAGCCACCCTTGTCCCTGTGCTTCTTGTCCGTCTGCACTCAACCACGCGCCTCCAGGCCTGTGATTGTTCCTCAGCTACGGCATACTCATCCTCGCATCCTCGCATCTTGCACCACCAAAAGAAGGAGAACCGATCGTCTAGCATCTCCTATCAACAGTGATACTCGTGTCACCCGTGAGGTTTGCTGGAAAGAGATGAGATAAAGCCATTCAATACGAGGGCGAAACCCAGGCAATTGAGCTGGACTCTTGTCTCTGACCAACGGCTGAGCCGTGCTACAACACCTGCCACCAACAGACACAGAATTCGTGGCCACAACCGTAAATACCTGCCACACACCTGGTCATCCTCCCGTTGCATCATCTTCAGTTGCTGCCCGGCCGCAGTTGACTGCGAACTACCACAAGAACTCAATACTACATTCATTATGGGTTGCTGCGGTGGTGATAGAGAAAAGTTCGGTGCCTTGACTGCGGAACAGAAGTGGGAATACATTGTCAGTACTTGCAAGTGAAGCAGAAAGTCTAGCTCCGGACTGACATGTTTTGCAGAATCTCGATGACTTCAAATCTTCCTCGTGCTGGACACCGTTCGCCTATGGCTACCTCCTTGTTATGGGTGTCGTTTCCATCTCCGTCTATGGAGTCGATACCTTTACCGCCATCCAACTACTCGCGTTCGATCGATGGGCCGGACAGATCAAGCCAGAAATCCCACTGAACATCTCACGATGGATCTTTGCGGGATGTATCATCCTCTCCTTCATCCTCCTTGTTTACAGGTGGTGGCGGGCAATTAGAGTCATCCAACAAGGTGGAGTGGCTAAAAGTTATCTCGATCCATTGGCGGTTCGAGTACAATCAGTTAGATGGGGACAGGGAAGAGGTTGGAAACGATTCTTGGTGTTTGCCGAGTTGACCAAGAGTCGGAAGGGTGCCGACTACGTTGCGCTGTTCGCCTACTTTTCATTCGAGGCATGGTTACGAATTGTGTTTGCCGAAGGCCCACGACAAGTGATCAATGCAATCACCCTATACTCAGTGTTGAGGTTGAAGCTGATTCCAGTTGGCGAGCACGCCCCTGATGATGGACACTCTCCCGTTGTCCAGTTCTTTGTCAATATCGGCATCCTAGCAGACTCAAATCACCTTCAGGCCGTCGTCTTGTTCGGTATGCTGTGGACACTTGTCATCTGGGTCATCTCAGTTATCAGTCTGATGGTGTCTGTGGTGCTTTATCTGCTCTTCCTCTGGCATCATATCCCAAGCCGCGATGGAGGCCTCACGGGCTATTGCCGCAACAAGATCAATCGAAGGATGGAGAGGATCGTGAGAACCAAGGTAGACAAGGCGTTGAGGAAAGAAAACCAACTTCGAGCTCGTCAAGAGGCGCAGGCTGCACGAGAAGGACTCGATGTCAAGAAGCAGCCTACTCTCCCCAACCTCGGCACCGATGCAGTCGACTCTTTCCCCGGTCTATCTCGACAGACGACAATGACTACTCTGCCTGAATACACATCCAGACCAGGAACAGGCAGGAACAGCAACGAATTACTGCCAACCCTGCCAAATATCTCCTCTCGACCCCCAATGCCGATGCGCACTGTCACACATGGTTCGACAGCGTCATTTGAGAGCTTCACGTCGAATGCGCCTTTAATGAACTCCGCAGGAGAAATGAGCACCTTACCAGACCCAGGGCAGGATCCCGCTGGTGCTTGGTACGGCAACACATCATCCAATCGAAACCCAGGCATGTCCCAGTTCTCTCAGCGCTCATATAGTCCAGCTCCACCTAGACCAGGAACAGCGCAAGGAAATCGACATGATCCTGGATCATATCAGATGGATCCACTCCGGGCACCTGGCAGAGGCATGTCCAACAGCTCTCTCCCACGATACAACCCGAATAGTTCTGGAGGCCTCCCTTACCCAGACGATCGGAGCTCTACGTCCTCCAAGGCGCCTTCATGGTCTGGATCGAACTCCGAACCTGGCGTCGACACGATGGGACGTCGTCAACCAGCCGCGGTCGGACCTACCTTTCGAAGTATCTCCGAAGAAAGAGGCCGCATGTCACCCTTACCTGGGCCGCAATTTCGGGCGCAAACTCCCGTCAGAGGCCCTGAGAGATCATTCACACCAACTGGACCTCCTCCTCGATCCATGACGGCAGGTGGTCCACCACCAGTCGACCGGTCATTCACGCCCAACAGCCTGCCTCCACGGGCCATGACACCATCAGGAGGACCAACATTGCCTCGGCTACAAACCACGTCAGCTTCAGGATACATACCATACTCCGAGGAGCCGCGATCAATGACTCCTGCATCCTCGATACCACCCAATGCCACAATTCGTAGTGTTAATGAGCCAGCAAGAAGCTATTCGCCGTTCAGACCGCAGATGTCTGGACCGCAAGGACGAGCACCACCTCAAAGACAGGGCAGTGCTGTTGACGATATTTTGGATCATTATTGACTGATCCACCAAGCTGATCCCGCCTAATATTCCTTTTGGGGCTCATGACGACGAATTTTATTTGATGATAAACAGCTATTAGCGGACTTTGTATGTGTGTATAAGTGTCAACAAATCGATGCTTCAATCAAATTCCATTTACAATCATACTCATTTTTTTGTGCGACGTAATTCAACGTCTACGGTCAGCACGAGCCGTTTTTTACCAACTGCCCCGTACACTACTGGTAACAGGTGATACTCTCTGCCCTTGGATGTGGGTGGTCTGACCCGTGTGCAGGAGTCTTTGTAAGCTCTCTCATTGGCCGTCAATAAACTCGTACGGAAATAGTGTTGTAGATCTCATCAAATACCAGTAGGTTGTAACTTGTCGGGAACCTGCACCTTATTTCTTCTCCTTTTGGGTATGCAGCAGTGCACGCAACCCTAGGTTTCAAGGTATGCTGCCCGGATCAGGCTTTGCGCGAGCCCTGCGCGAAGCTGCGCCAGGCTTGTCCAAGCGGTTCTTCAACTGCAGCCATCGCAACGTACAGCTTCGTCCAATCACGCCGAGCCGAACCTTCAGTCGGAAATCTACCAGATCGATCTACCGACAGAGCGTGGACAGATGCACACAGTCAAGCGTCAGGACGTATGCCGAGAGGAGATTTGAGTGTCGCTCGTTCTCGGCCTCTGCGAAGTCAAGAGCCACACAGGCCGTAGAGCAGGATGAGGGAGCGCAGTCTGGCGATGCAGATACGGGCAACAAGAAGAAGGCAGGGCCATCATCTTCGTCGTCATCGTTCCCGGACACATCGTCCAACACAGTGGCATACTGGCTCCTCGGCAGTGCCGCGAGTGTGTTTGGGATCGTGGTCTTTGGCGGCCTCACGAGGCTCACGGAATCAGGGTGCGTTTCACACAACACTCTGTTGACCTTTTCTTACTATTTATGCCCTATGCTCTATGGGGATACCTTTTTGAATGCTAACAGGAATCTTACAGACTCAGCATAACGGAATGGAAACCCGTGACGGGATCCCTCCCACCCATGTCCCAGGAAGACTGGGAGGCCGAATTCGCCAAATACCGCTCGTCGCCGGAATTCAAAATGCTCAATTCGCGCATGACGCTCGAAGAGTTCAAGAGTATATACTGGATGGAATGGATTCACAGACTCTGGGGCCGGTTCATTGGTCTCTCGTTCGTTCTGCCGGCGGCGTACTTTGTCGCTAGACGACGAGTGTCGCGCAACATGGCCGTGAGGCTACTCGGCATCGCTGGGTTGATTGGCTTCCAAGGCTTCATCGGCTGGTGGATGGTCAAGTCGGGACTCAAGGACGACCTGTTCGCGCCGGGAAGCCATCCGCGCGTCTCGCAGTACCGGTTGACGGCGCACCTGGGCGCCGCGTTTGTTTGTTACCTTGCCATGCTGTGGAACGGACTGGACATTCTTCGAACGAACAAGATTCTCAAGACCGCGGCGGCAGCGGCACCGGACAAGGCGCACCAGGGTGTCCTCGACGCGCTGAAGAACCCCGCTCTCAGGCCGTTCAAGCGGTACGTGGGCTTGCTGGCAGGCTTGATCTTCATCACTGCGATGTCTGGAGGCCTCGTCGCCGGGCTGGACGCGGGGCTGATCTACAATGAGTTTCCTTACATGGGTCTGGGCCTGACGCCACCCAGGTCGGAGCTGTGGGACAAGTTCTACTCGCGCGAAGATGACGGAAGCGACCTGTGGTGGCGCAACATGCTCGAAAACCCCAGCTTGGTGCAGCTGGACCACCGGATCCTCGCGACCACGGCCTTCACGGCAGTCATGGCGTTGTGGGCGTTCAGTCGCGGCAAGACGATGAGCAAGGTTCTACCCAGAGCCGCGAAGAAGGGCGTGCACGGCGTCGTCGGTTTCGCCGTGCTGCAGGTCACGCTGGGCATATGTACGCTGCTGTACCTTGTCCCGACGCACCTCGCGAGCGCGCACCAAGCGGGCGCTCTGGCACTGTTGACTTGGACCGTTGTGTTGGGCAGCCGGGTTTGGTTCCCCAAGCAAGCGGCCAAGATCCTTGCGCAGCGTGCCCAGCAGAGAGCTTCTGCCATCGGCGTTTTTGAGGGCAATGCGGGTGCAACACGAGCAACGACGGGCGCAGCCACTGCCGGTCCGGTGCTGGCCGCGAGCGTTTTGCCTGCCGTTACGGCATTGGCGTTGATCATGAGCAATCACGCCGAGGGCGCTTTGAGGGAACAACTTCTCCTACAGCGGCGGCAGCCGGGGGAAATGGAGATGGAGAAGGAGAGTGAGCAACAATGACTTGGGTGATTGTCCAGATGGCAAATCTGAAGCTCAAGATGAAGATGAAGATGGAAGAGCTAGCTTGGTGGTGGTTTTCGTATTCTCTGCTCCTCTCTGCGCTATCGCCGATGTGATATAGCCGACTGCTGTGTACTGTATACCTAGAAGAAAGAAATCCCGTACATACAAGGTAAATACTACACTACTGTACGTGTACGGAATTGAAAGGTCAATCAAAGATTCCACGTCCAGAAGAAATCTGCCACGTCGAGAGAGTTCGGATCCAAAGACACACGTTGGACGGACCAGAATCGTTTTTTGCAAGGAACGACCACACCAAGAAACTCGATTTCATGTCAAACAATCTCTTTGACATAGTTGTATTGCTCGTGGCGCTGGCAAGGTACTTTGCCAAGCTACCTGCCTGGGTACCAACACAGGACACGAAGTAGCATCTGTTGTGCGCGCGCGCGCTCTCTCTCTCTCTCTCTCTGTCTTTCTCTCTACCATTTCTCTCTAGAAACCCACACAGTTCATCATCCCCAGCAGGAAGAGCGCGGAAAGTGGTCCGTCTGTCTACCATGGGTACGCCATCCTATACCTCGCCACGTCCACGTCCACGTCACAATTCATCTGCGCGTCACTCGTAACGTACTCCAGGCGGGTCATTGTCTCTTCTCGTCTCGTATCTTTCTCTAGTGGGTTTCTTGACAATAAGACAACCGTCATATCTCCGTCTATCCACGCAGGACACTCCTTCCCAAGCTAATCAAATCGCAAAAATCCGGAGGGCCAAAAGCGCCGTTCTTTTCTTCGTCTGCAATTCTCGAGAAGAAAATCCACTCAGTGTCATCTGGCGGCGGCCGCTCTATCAATGAGCAACGCTCACATCCTCTTCGGGCATTGGCTCGATCCCGACCACTTCGGCAGCAAATTGCTTGTCCGTTCCAGTGTTCTTCTCTTCCTTCATGAACGGGAACGCCAGCACCTCGCGGATAGTGTAGTTGTCGGTCAAGAACATGACCATCCGATCGATACCCATGCCCCAGCCACCCGTTGGAGGCAGACCGAACTCGAGGGCCGTGCAGAAGTTCTCGTCGACCATTTGCGCCTCGTCGTCGCCTTGGGCCTTTTGGCGGGCTTGCTCCTCGAATCGCAGGCGCTGGTCGAACGGGTCGTTCAACTCGGTGTATGCGTTGACAATCTCCTTCTTGCACACAAAGGCCTCGAACCGCTCGCAGATGCCGGCTTGGGAGCGATGGTACTTGGCCAATGGAGACATCATCTGCGGATGACCCGTGATGAAGGTCGGGTTGATGCACTTCTCCTCAATAAACTCGCCGACCAGCTTGTCGAGCATACGAGCGTTGGTCTCGGGCGGCGGGCACACGACATTGACCTTCTTCAAGAGACGCTTGAAGAACTCGTTGGTCTCGGCGGTATGGAGCTGGTCACCGGGTGGGAACTTCTCGCCCGTCGCTTCTTCGAGGGCAGGGATCATTTCAATACGCTTCCAGGGACGCGACCAGTCCACGTCGTATGTCTCGCCAGACTGGGTGTGGAAGGTCGTCTTGTGCCCGCCAGTGACCTCCTTGACGAGTCCAGACACAAGCTCTTCGGTGCGGTCCATGACGTCGTAGACGTCCGCGTAGGCCTCGTAGAATTCGCAGGTCGTGAACTCGGGGTTGTGCGTGAGATCGGCACCTTCGTTGCGGAATTGCTTGCCGAGTTCGTACACACGCTCGATGCCGCCAACCACGAGCATCTTGAGATACAGCTCTGGGGCGATACGCATGAACATGTCCGTGTCGTACTCGTTGATATGCGTGATGAAGGGCTTGGCCGTGGCACCGCCTGCGATTGAGTTCATCATGGGCGTTTCAACCTCGACGAAGCCATTCGAGTCGAAGTAGTTGCGAATGTATGAGACGATCTTGGCTCGGGTGAGGAGGATCTTACGGGAGCGGTCGTTGATAAGTAAGTCGAGATATCGTTGGCGGAAGCGAGTTTCGACGTCTTGGAGACCAAAATGTTCCGAAGGGATTTGATGCAGGCAGGGCGTAAGGAGGGTGACTTCTGTTGCAAAGACGGACAGTTCGCCGTCGTTGGGTCTGTTCTTGGGCGATGTCCGACCTGGGAATCCCACAATGCCGATGATATCGCCTCGACGGAGGTGTTCGTGTTGTGCTTCGAAACTGACATCGCTCTTGACCTCTTGTGCTTGACACATGATTTGAACCTTGGTGCCTGCTCCTCTGATGTCGTAAAAGACCAGCTTGGAGCCAGATGTTCTCTTCGTGTAGACTCTGCCAGCGACTCGAATCTCCACATCCTTCTTCTGCTCGCCGGGCTTGAGGTCGGCATATTCTGCGAGGAACTTGGGGATGTCGGTATTGACTTGGAACTTGTGAGGATAAGGGTTTGGGTCCTTGGTTTCTCGCATGCGGTTGACTCGTCCACTCCGGATCTCGAAGTATTGCTGCAGAGAGGGTTAGCAGGTTGCGGAATGGGAGTGACACATTCAACCAACATTGGGATTGAGGTTGCTTTCGTCCATTTCCGCGCTCGCGGCCTTCTTTTCAGGCTTGGGAGGTGCAGCGGCGGCCCTCTCCTTCTTCTTTTCCTCCTGTTGTCTTTGCTTCTGTCTCTTCTTCAATTCTGACTTGGAGACTCTTTCGCCGGTGACCTCGTCGAGGTGCAGGTTTGCAGTTTCCTGCGCAAGCGAAGTATTTGCGTCTGCCATGCTGGAGGTGTACGAGGCAATTATTTATCAGTATTGAGGAAGAATAGTGAAAGTCGGCTGCGGTTGAAGAGTCATGCTTGAGTCACTTGGGCCGCTGGTGGGATAGGATTTTGTCTCGAAGTCGTGACTCGGGAATTTTCACAGTGCGGCACAGCATGACTCGCAACAAATCCCGGTCGCAGGCTCAATGCCACCGCTTTGCGCGTCCTCCGTAGAGATCAGTTTATCATAACTCCTAACCCTGGTTATATGAAGCTTGAGTCTACAGCATCTTCAACCCCATTGACACACACAGTCCCCATATCAGAGCCTGCATCACCCAGAAGCCCGATCCGTTCAGCCTACTCCTGCCTCCGGCCTTACTGCCTTCGATGTATCCATATGCGTAGACGATTCTGAAAAATATCCAACCTGCTCCGAGTGCCGCTGTTGCCACGGGGTATCCCAGGCCTGCAAAAAGCATAGATGCAATGGCCTGGGGCATATTCTCCAACAGATTGCCGTGTGCTCGCTGGGCGCAGTTGAACTTGTATGCTGCTGGGTTCTCCTTCGCTTCCTGTGCGGTGGCATATGGGTTGGGATATGGAACTCGAGCCGGCTTTCGGTACAACCCTACGAGGATGCCTTGGGAAAATGCCAATACTGGGGCCAGACCAAGCGCCACGAGCACAACGTAGCTTATCAGTTGTCAGGCCTCCGTGCATCACACTCGAACGGGGCAGAACTCACCCATATTTGTCGGGGACCGTCAAAGTGTATGCCATTGTCTTCAGTGTATTGAGATGGAGCGTGGGTTAGGCTGGAAATGGAGGTATGTAGAAGAGACGACGTGTCCGTAGAAAAGGGTTGTTTCACGTTCTTAGGGAGCGTAGTCGCACAGCGCAAGAAGAAGCTCTTCCCGGATGGTGACGACGGCCTCGGGTGAACCTGTACTCCGAACCTGGGCTTCTGTGACGAGGTACTCACCGTCATCCACATACCTTCAAGTTGACACTTGTCCTCGACGAGATCGCCGTCTCCTGTGCCCACCGTGCACCGTTCGACAATGATGGCTCCTGTGGTAGTATGCCCCGTTCCTCACTCTAATGGAGCACATACACTTGTTGGGTGGGGAAGACCCTTCAAGTGGTTGAACATGGTGCCCGTATCTGCCCTCTTAAGCGGCTCTTCTCGTTCATCAGTGGTCATGACATTTGTCTGATCCTATGCTCTTCCAGAATTGACGGAACAAAGAAGGAAACGCAGTAGTAGTATGAGTTCAACAAGCCATCAGCCAGAGATCCTCATGTGCAGGTGAAACAGCAAAGCGATCTCAGCATCTGCTAAGGCTCCTACGCAGTGTCAGAGGTGTCAGAGGCGGAAGAATGTAACTCGAGTTGAGAACTATCGACCTACAATCAAGAGGTGCTCCCATGGCCAATATTTATTAGTTTTTGCGTAAGCTACCTTGTAATGGCGTGATGGGATGCCTAGAACTATCTAAGCACGGCATCATGCCTCATCCGCCGATACGGAATAGTTAGAGTGAAAGCAATTTCGCAATTTAACACAACTTCATTACGCCTAAAGCTCTCTGTGAAAAGCACCTGTTATCACAATTTGCCTCGAACGGCAAGTTTTCTTTATGGCCGTTGACATGAGTACCGAATGCAGTTGATACCTTCCGTCTGTTACAACCGTTGTTTGAGATAAAACACCTGGTTCACATGATGACTTCGTTGGCGACATCGCGCTTCAGTTCCTTGTAAGGCAGGCAGATACAATTCTGGACTCGAATCTCATCACCCACCGCACATTCTTTACCAAGAATCGTGATGGCCTGAACCTTGACACCATTCTTGATGATGCTGGTGGTATGGCTGCTAACCGGGGTGGGAGTGCCTTCAACTCGGGCCCACGCACCAACGCGACTGTTCCAGCCAATAATTGCATAGAGAACGCAAGCATCATGCTTGATTTCTGCCTCCTCAAGGACGATCGCCTCCTTCACACGTGCACCGGCACCAATGATAGCCTTAGGCCCAACGGAGACGTTCGGCCCCAGCTTAGCTGTCGGGTCGACAGTAGCAGTAGGGTGGATAAAAACGGGAGGGACGATGTTGGCTGATGGGGTTGCAATCTCGTCTGATTGAGACTGGAATGCCTTCGCTAGGTATAGAGCGTTCGCGGGAACAGCGGAACCAGCAGTCTTGATCTGACGCCAGAAGTCCTTAGTTTCGTGGACGTAGAAGCGGTTGCTGTCAGCTAGATCGGACAGAATATCCTGTTCGAGACGAAGGACTTCGTTCTTCTCTCCATCTTCTTCTGGATCGGCAATGAAAGATGCCTCAATGTTCTCAGATGAAGGATAGGAGATCATTCTGGGTCGCTCAGTCCTCCGCTTGATGGCAATGCGGATGGACGGGAAGATACACTCAGTGGCGAAGAGGTAGACGCCACAGTTGATCAAGTTTGAAATGTGGCCTTCAGGCTTTTCGACGTAGTGCAGAACTCGCTTCGTGTGTGTGTCCGACACTATGCAACCGAAGTTGGTGGCGGCGTCATTGCCCACACGAGTGCCGAGAATGACTGCTTCAGCATCCTTTTCCTCGAAAAGCTTGAGCATAGCCTCGAGGGGAAAGGAGCAGCACACGTCGGAGTTGAGGACAAAGAATCGGTCTGGCTTGCCCTTAAGGATAGCATCACGGAAGTGGTAGAGTCCGCCAGCGGTACCCAAAGCTTGATACTCGCGGAGGTACTGAATCTTGATCTGGGGGAACTCTTTCGAAGAGTCTTTGACGAAATCACGGAAGACACTTTCGTCATAATAGCCGATGAGAATGACTTCTTTGATGTCTGGGACTTTGGAAACAGCCTTCAAGCAGTGCCAGATGATGGGGTGGCCTGCAACCTCAAAGAGAGGCTAGAGGAAAGGCATTAGTTACTGCCGACGAACAAGAGAAAGGATGTTGATGCTTGGTTACCTTTGGGAGATCCAGACTCAACGGCCTGAAGCGAGTTCCTCGAGATGGGCCTCCCACCTTTTCATGTCAGCTGGCGCAATTCTCACGTTATCTGCAACAACTAACCAGAATGACTGCTTTCGTGACCGCATTTGGGCCGCTGGCCTTGTTACGCGAGGGGACTTTCAGCATCTTCAATGGCAGTAAGGCAGGCAATGGAATAGGCTAGGGAGACGCGACTCGGTGTCGACACGGTCAAGGTCCTCTTGATCAGATTCCAACAGAAAGGAGAGTGTTGTGACAGTTCACAGATTTCAACTGAGGCCACGTTCACATTGAATTGACTTTCACCGCCAACCCATTGAGAGACCCTTCCAGGCCTGTCACGCTCCCGCCAAGGCGCTATTCTTGATTTGGCGCTATCATGCTTGCTCCTGAGATGTGGCGTTTATCAACTCGATAGTCGCTTTCAAACACTCGAGTAACTTTTGCTCAGCCAGCCTCTTCAACACGTGCATCCCGGATCACACCAAGCTATCAGAAAGACGGATTATCGGAAGCATTTAAATAAGGTGCTTATTACCCAGGTTCTAGCCGACATAATCAACGCTGCCTAAACACTCTCCTTGATATCCTCCTCCACCATCCGCGCTGAACACCGGTCTATGCAAGACTGCCAGTGATTGCACCTGTGCCGATCCCCAAACCAGGCACTCGGGTAGTCGAGGCGTGACATTAGCATTTCATTCTCCGTGCAACAATATCGACATCCTCATTCATGGCATCATCATACATCGCGGACCACGACTCTAACACCGTTACTGTCAGGTCGATACAACGGGGTCGTTCCATCACCAATAATTTCAATGTCCTTATAGCTCGTGTCGTGCAGCTCCAGATACCCGATATCCGTTTCAAAACGAACTTCGCTGCTTCCGTACCGACTAAAGATCGCCGCCACCGTGAGATAGAGCTCTGCATATGCCAGGTTTATGCCTACACAAGCTCTCGTACCACGTGAGAACGGCACCAAATAGTCATCCAGACCAGGGTTGTCGATCCAACGCCGAGGACGAAATTTCATGGGGTCCTCGAAGTAAGCTGGTGAATGATGGATGAGCATGCCGGTCATAGAAAGCGGAATCCCGGGACGAAGGACATATTGCTTCTCATTGATATTGTGCTTGTCATCTGTTGACCTCTTGGCCGTGTAGATGAGCGTTTCATCCGTGGCAATGCGCTGCAAACGTGTGCTAATGCCACTACTTAGTCGGAGACCTTCTTTTATTATCGCTGTTAGGTAAGGAAGTTGTTCTAGCTTGGCCACATCTGGGAGACCAGCGTTCTCTGTCATTGCCGTTGCAAGCTCGTCTTTGAGAGTCTGCAACTCTGTCGGTTGTCTCAGGAGATGGAATGTGATCTCTGAAAGGGCGGCTGCGGTGGTTAATGTTCCAGCAATTACGACAACTTGTCCGTCTTGCCACAGCCGATCAGGAGACTTTTCTCTCTCTGGTAAATTGCCCTGCAGGATGGCATGGAATACGGTCGTCTGCGAGTGATACTTGCTGTCGGGATCGGTACGATGCGAGTAAATCTCGGAAACATGCTTTATTATGTCCTGTTCAGCATGTCAGCGATCATGGCCCCTTGCCTCAAACGGGCAAAAAAGAGATTGGGCGAAGTCCACCTGATTGAGCCTGATGTAACTGGCCATCACCGGGTTTAAAGCAATCTGCACCGAGTCGGGCATCATTTTCATCAGGGACAGCAGCCATGGCATTTGTTTCACAAGATGACTCAACTTAGCTCCGGCTTCACCTGCTTCTTTGAAGCTCGGGTCGAAATCTGGAGCCAGCAAACGATTGTCACTTCGCCCGAAAGCATATTCCATGACAATATCTGCCCCAATCGTGTAAGTCTCATCCAGCAAAGCCAGGAATGACTCACCATTTGTGAGAGCTGCGTAGGCCAACGAGACCGTCATGGGCTTCCCGGACTCTTGAAATTCACGAAATCGGGCTAGCAGATTGTTCAGACTGGACTCAATGCGCGATTGGAGCATCCGCACTTTTGCTGTTGAAAAGTACGGGTTCATCGCCCCTCGTCGCATACGGTGAAGATTGTGATCTGGGGTTCCAAAGGCAGACTGAGGCAAACCACTTGAGTTCGTGAAGAAGGTCCACTTGTTTCTCTTGTGGGTCGGGCCAGCATACACTTGATCATAGTAATCGGCATCTTGGATATGCACTTCTTCCGGGTTGATGCGCAAGATCGGGCCGTATTGCTCGTGCATGGAGCGGATTTTCCATATGTATTGACCACTGAGTACGACATCGTAGTAGAATTCGTACCTAGGTCCTGAGTTGAGCTGAAGGATGCATGCAGCCTCTATTGTGATGGATGCGCCTTACCAATATGTGAGCTTTGCAAGAGTCGGTCCTGGTATCTCAGCCTGAGGGCAAAGGTACAAGCGCCACGTTGCGAGACCAAGCAGATACGTTATCAGTAACACAGGCCCGCATATCAACAGCGGTTCCCCAGCGAAACCACTCAGACCATCCAGGAAGGCCATGTCTACTGCATACGAAGGTTCAGTGAGGGCAGTCAGTGGTTCCGACGCCAGAACTTTCTGGCTCTAGTTCTCGGAGTGAAAGAGTAAAAATATGTGCGGAGGTGCTTGCTGAAACCCTATGCGAGTGGAAAACATTGACGGTTTGAGAGTCAACGCTAGATGTGAGAGTGCAGGGAGGAGTGTCCGTACATTTATAAGTCCGCTTCTCTCATAACCACGTTGCAACGACTTGCATTCGGAAGGGCCTTTCCGTTTCCGAGCGACGCCAACTACTGCAACTGTATGGATATGGCTGGTGAACAATTAAATCGCCCTACCCGCAGAACCCGCTACTTGCTAGCCGTCTGGACCAGGCCCTGTAACTAAGGTTGTTCTGCCTGCGCGGACAGCATCCTTGCATAGTCATTCCACTGTCCTTTGCCGGACATCATCTCTCACAGTGTCCCCCGGCGTTGATATAGGACTCCATGCCCCTCATCTGGAGCCGATCTAGGACGCTCTTGGACGTCCAAGACTTCTCAACTTTTTGATACTTGACCATGATGGAGGGAGACGCACATATCGATTTCCAGGTAACTCAAGATGCCGAGTCAAGCAGCGCAATCACTGAGCCCATCACCAGAATCCTGAAGACGGAGAGAGCGACGTTGACTCGGCATATGGAAGGTATAAGCACATGCTCGGACATTGCCAAGCTGTGCAATTACTGACCTAGATCAGCGAAGATGCCTCGATCACAACATCGCTTCGGTCATCGGCTCTAAACTATGTGCAAGTCCACCCCCGCTAACAACCACTGAGACCTAGCTAATCTTTGAGAGATAGCTATGAGGCGAGTATCGCAATTGGTGCGAACATCAATGCACTGACGATCTCGGGACAGAATGGACGAAGATATCAGCACTCGGACCATGACACATACATTTTTGTACATTGCGAAACAAAGCCGAAGGGGACTTGTGCTGAAATCATGTAGCCTAACGACGAACAAGAGCAAGACAGGTTGGACATGCTGCACCATATCTACCGTCTCGTACAAGGCGGAAGATTACATACGGCTCCGCTTCGTGATCCGCAACGGGTGCTGGATATCGGCACTGGGACCGGACTCTGGGCATTAGATTTCGCAGAGTGAGAAACCTTTACACCCTTTTGGTAATCGGCGACTCATTTGATTCTACACAGCGAATTCCCTGCAGCAACCGTGCTCGGTAAGACCTAAATGACAGCTTTGAAGGACTCTTCCACTGAGTACAAACACTCTACCGGGGTATCTAGGTGTTGACCTCAGTCCTATTCAGTCACAATGGTAACGAGGTACCCTTACTATCAACCCGGCGGACTAGCTCTCTAACTTCAGCTGAAAAGGACTGCACCGAACTGTTCCTTCATGATCGACGACCTTGAAAAAGAATGGGGTTACCCGCCGAGTCGTAGATTTGACTACATCCACCAGCGGAGCATGTCTGGCAGTATAGGAGATTGGACGGCAATGTACAAGCAAGCACTCGACTCGCTGGAGCCTGGAGGCTGGTTCGAGGTTCAAGAGTTTGAAGTGTGGTTCTACTCCCAGAAGCCTGACGGTCTCCCTGACGACTCACCCATCGTTAAATGGCAAAAGCTCATTGACCAGGCAAGTATCTCGTTCGGTCGACGTCTGAATAATGTATCACAATTCGAACATCATCTTAAGGAAGCCGGTTTCGTTGACGTCCAGACGCAAATAATCAAGGTGAGTTGGTGTTTCCCATCGATGTTAAACTCTTGCTACGGTCTTCTGCTCACGGTATGAAGACTCCCATAGGTCCGTGGCCTCGGGAGCGAAGGCTCCGAGAGATAGGAGCATTTCTTCGGGCTCAAATGCTGGATGCTTTGGAAGCTGTCACGCTAGCATACCTCACCCGAGCGCTTGGATGGACACAGGAAGAAATTCAAGTGATGCTCGCGGATGTGAGGAAGGAGTTCAGTGATAAAAACAACCTGCTGTACACGTACTGCTGGTTCATCACTGCCAGAAAGCCCGGAGGGGCCGGGAAATCTCCCTAAAATGTTGGATTTCTGGTCATCGAGGGGAGTTTCAGGGCTGGTCCAAATTGTTCCGGAAAATGAAAACGGCTGGTGGAAGGTGAAGAGATACTCATCATATCTTGACACCGGCAAAAGAATCGATGTAGATATGAACCTACATTAAAGGAGTCTCCTGTAAACAGTGTAATAAGGCGTTTACGGGGAATATGGTGATGCATCCAGTGGTCTTGGTCCCGAGGATCGCTTGAAAGACGGTGTTAACATAGGCTGGTTGGTACCTGTATTTGGCTCTCTCTGGGACAAGTTAGAGAGTATTGACAAACCACCGCATTGGGCCGGCGGCTATGAGTGCGGGTAAGGATGGAGGTAGGTCCAATCGTGAAAACGTAACGAGCATCCAAGTATCCACTTAGGCTGAGAATGCGTACGGGTGATGGCGAACTAAGACCCTCATGAGAGTTGAAAAGAACTGTATACATCATAGACCTTGCGCAGCCTTGAAATCTCCTTTGAGCCGCTTGAGGGGTCTGGCTTGGATTGTACGTCCACATTTGGCCAGACAACTAAGCAGCAGACGTCTTCCGGTGCGCCCGGCCTCCAAAGTTGCAGAATGCCGAGTAGCTTCGGATTTGTTCGCCATACCTCATAACACAAAAGTAACTTAGTACCTTTTGCCGATGTCACCACGCGGGGATGTCGAGTATTAAGAGGCATCGGTCGCATTTTGGTCAAATCTCGACGGTCTTCTCCACGTCAAAACCATTTGCCTGAGCAAAATAATATCCTCGCTGATTTGCAAGGAGCCGCAACGGGCCTGCGGGATGACTCGCCCGCTCAACTGTGAAGTCGCAATTGAAGTGTGTATGACCAAAGGCCCAAAGGGCCACTTTGTCACTCTGAAAGCACGGCTCTCGGCAAAGTTCCGTAGAAAAAGCGGACGTAATCGGACTCGCAGCATGCCTTGGGTCGATCGCACGAACATCCAGCGACGGGCTCCAGTGCGAAAAGATCATGATCTTCGCGTTTGATTGTCCAAGCTCTTCAACTCTCGCATTGAGCCAGGCAAGGTCCCGTCTATGTGCCTCGTTGTGCATGGCGATATCCCAGTCATGGGTGTGGAAAAAGTCGTTGAGGCCGTGACTAACTGCCATTTCATGTGTAGCCGGGATAAACGAAAACAGGCTGCAGCCTAGAATGGCAGTGTTCGAGTCTGGCGGCCGGAAAATTGTGCGTTCGAGCAGCACAAACTCTCCGAGCGTTGCGTCTTTGCGTACGTTTTGTTCAAAGTCCCGGAGAGCATCGAGAGTGGCAGGCCAGTTGGAATGATACGCTTCATGGTTGCCCGGGACGAGAAGCACGGCGCGGAACTGCTTGAGCTGCAGGGTCAAGAAGGCAAGATAGTCGTCCTTGTCGTGTTGGATGTTGCCGATATCGCCTAGGAGTGCCAGGTAGGGTGCTTTTGGAGTGATTGTGAAGACATCGTAAGCTTTGGGTGTCTCCAAATGCAGATCTGACATTACTTGAACGGCCATGACAGGCGACCATGGTAATAATGCTGGAAGTGGGAAAGGGATGTTTATTTGTTGTTTGGCTTCACCAAAAATTAGCTCGGGGGTTTATTTAGGCACGCGTACTCCGTAGCGACAAGTTCATACAAAGCCGTCTTCATCCCCCTCCCTCCTTTCTGGACGTAACCAGGCCCAACCTGAACCACCTGATATATCTCTGCGAGTCGCGTTTGATGTTTGACTTGGCAGCGTCAAGTACCTAGCATCATGGAAGCTGCTTGCAGATACAAGTTTCCCAGCCAGACGCGAAGTCTACAAGTATGGGCGGGCTTCTACATTATTTCATTTCGTGATACCCGCTGTCCCTGCGCCTATCGATCCAGAGGAACAGGCAAAGAGACGTCTGGAGGAAGAAGACAGCGATGAGCGCCGCTTACACAAACAAGAGGATGTTGGACTGACTGAAAGCAATAGCGCTGAAGATGCTGTGCAAGTACGACTAAGACAACCCAACATGACTAAAAAGTACCAGACTCGTATGATCGGAGACGCAGATCTCGAACAGGAGGGAGTCGACAATTCAAAGTCAAGGACCGGTGAGTTACTTTCCGCGCGTCTGATCGTTCGAGATATCTGTCCTCCCAGGCAGTCTTTTAGGAACGGTGCGGACAGGGCAATGTCGTGAGAACCGCAGGTCTGTTAGATTCCGGATTCCGAGTTCTATGTGATGGTCTGCGTCGTGATCTGAATCTCGTTGATGGATGGCACATTTCTGCTATGCCGCTTCTTGCACCTACTGACCGTGTCAACGTATTATTTAGAAGCTCACCGGCGAGAATGCGGAGGACAACATCTCACTACACTAGCCATCGAATCGATACGCACAGCTTCGTGATCGTGAGCGCGGTCCAGGTGTTCGACGGCGGGTATGAAACGATGCTGGGCACACCACAGGGCGAAACCAACCATTGAGTTCATCCAAATGCAGGTTGTTCGAGGTGCTTCGTCAGCTGGGGGTATTCTCATAAAGACGGGTTGGTCAGGCTGGAGCCTGGAGGACAGCTGCACAAGGTCCTCACCCTGATACAATTGAACCGCAGGTCGTTTCCTCCATGCTTCAAAGTCGCTGTTGAGCACAGGCTCATGAAAGTCGACTTTCCTTCTCAGGCTGTTCTTCCCCCTGGGTTCTCCGTAGACGATTGTCGAAATGCGGGACAACGTATCAACGATGCGCCGATCAGGATCCGCTTCGACGAATTACCGTCACTGAGACGGGCGCTATCGGTCACTGCTTGATGCAAATCGAACTGTGCACGCCCTTGAGAAGATAGGGATATGCGAACGCGTCGGGAGCTCGAGACATCCCACAATTATCATAATGGAATCCAAAGATCGTCAAGGCAGCGTTCGGAGGGTACCTCTTAATTGCAATTTGGAGCTAATAAGATGGATGCTGTTGGACTCCTCCTCCACACAGTCAACGAACATTTACGTACAACACAGCTAATAAGGCCCGCTAGCGTTGAACTCTATGTTCGGCCATGGCCGAGGACGACATCTCTTTATTTACGTAAGATAAGGAGACCACTTGCTAACCTACCCGGGATTCATGTGCCTTTCGGCTTCATATCGAAGGTAGGTCTTCACCCTTTTACATGAAGCTTGTCATTATCATTCAAGCTCGACGACTATATAAATATGGCGGTGTCTCTAGAGTTTATATCTCCTGGCCCCTGGTCTCTTTCCGGCAACATAGTCTCGATAGTTGGGACCAGATCTGAGCCCAGGTGACTTTCATGATGGCCACACCAGGCTCTACATTCACGAGAAGGCAACTCCTGAACCACGTAGTGGATAGGCGTGCAAAGGATACACCTGACTCTGTCTATGCAGAGTACCCAATTTCTACAACAGGTTATGACGAAGGCTTCCTCCAAGTAACATATGCAGACTTCGCAAATGTCATCAACGGCCTTGCCTGGTGGCTGCATAACACGATCGGTCCCGGTATAAACTTTGAGACGCTGGCATACATTGGACCACTGGACATCAGGTACAATGCTCTCCTGCTGGGTGCAGTCAAAGCAGGTTACAAGGTGGGATCTATCTGGCTCCTTGGACATGGCAAGATCTATCCTGATATATCGTGTTAGGTCTTGCTCACTTCACCACGAAACAGCCTGCCAGCGCACGTCAATCTATTCAACTTGCTAAGTTGTAAGAAGCTGGTAGCACCCAATCCAGCTCCCCAGGCGGTCACCACGATAGTCGCTTCACACGACATCGAGGTTCTTGAGATCCCGTCAGTCGCAGATCTTTTGACCCAGGTACATCCACAATATGCTTATAAGAAGTCCTTTGATGAAGCCCGCAAAGATCCTCTTGTGGTACTACATACTTCTGGAACAACGGGCTTGCCAAAACCTATCATCTGGACTCACGAGTTCGCCGACAGCTGGTTACACTGGGTCAGCCTTGATGCGCCTGCCGCGTTCAACAACCAGCACAGTTTGTGGTCTCCCGGCAGATTGTTTTTCTTATTTCCTCCATTTCATGTAAGAAGACCAAGATAATACGAGATCACACTGACCTGTTGCCAGGCGGCTTCCATGTTCGGGTCGATTCTCGGAGCAATCTTTCGAGAGACAACGATCATATTCCCACCCGCTGGATTGATACCGTCTGCTCAAGTACTAGTTGATGGGCTGAAATATACCCACGCTACTTGTGCTGCCATTGTCCCTTTGGTAGCCGAGGAATTGTCAAATAAACCAGATCTACTAGATTTTGTCTCCCAGAAACTACCGTCAATGTTCTATTCCGGAGGTACTCTCAGTCAAACAGTCGGCGACAAGATTTCGGAGAAGATGAAATTCTTTTCCATTATTGGAACCACGGAGACTGGACTGTTTCCTACCATTTACCCAGCCGATCAATGGCCAACCGCAGAGTGGAAACACTTCCAATTCAATCCTGATTACCGGTTTGAATTCCAGAATGCTTCGGAAGGGGAATACGAGGCAGTCATTGCGCGCCATCCCGACGGCGACAAGGAGCAACCCGTGTTCAAAGTCTTTCCGGACCTGAAAGAATATCGAACAGGAGATCTATACATACCGCATCCGTCAAAGCCAAACCTGTGGCAGTACCGTGGAAGAGGAGACGACATTATTGTCTTCCTGACTGGTGAAAAGGTGCGTGTCTGGAAGTTCTCATTCACAAGACCCTGTCGCATCCAAATCTTATCCCCTTTGAAGATATATCAAGCACGATTTGATACTAACTCCGGTCTCCTATTTGTCACAGACAAATCCTACGACGATGGAACAAATGATCTCCAGCCATCCCAAAGTCAAATCTGTTCTTGTCCTAGGCTCAATGAGATTTCAAGCTGCACTTTTGGTCGAGCCTCAGGACGCAGAAGCTCTATCTGTCGCGGAGCGAGCTGACTTTATCGAAGAGATATGGCCAACAATTCAAGCTGCCAACATAGATTGTCCTCGCCATGCACAGATCAAGAAATCGCACATTATGTTTATCAAGCCTGACAAGCCTATGCTCCGAAGCGCTAAAGGCACTATTCAGAGAAGACCGACGTTGAATTTATACGAAAAGGAGATCGAAGAACTTTACGCCGACGCGGAGAAAGTTTCAGCTCTTGATGTGGAAGATCTCGACATGTCCACTTTGTCGATCGACTGCAAGGATTACGACGCTGTCGCTTCGTTCTTGACAGAGACTCTCAGCAACTTTATGGACTCCAAGACCTTTACAGAAGATGAAAACTTCTTCCTCAGTGGCGTCGACTCATTACAGGCACTTCAAATGACGCGCCGATTGAAAGCCATGCTCGCCTTGCCTGATCTCGAAATTAGCACTGTATATGCCAACCCGACCATCAAGTTGCTCACGAAGGCCATTTTGAGCCTCGCCGAAGAAGGGAACGCGACAGATTCTTTGGAGCAATCATCTCGGATCGATATCGTCGAGACCACGATCAACAAGTACACGGCGCTGATTGAAGATGTTGCGCAAAATGGGACCGGAATCCCGCTTTCGAAACACGATTCAGGTATCGGGATTCACGACGAAAGAGTTGTCCTTCTCACCGGGTCTACCGGTGGGATTGGATGCTACATGCTGCAAGCACTGCTCTCAGACTCTTCTGTGGCGCACATTTTCTGTCTGAACCGAGCAGAGAACCCAGAAGCTCTTCAGCGAGCACGTTCTTCAGCTCGTGGTCTCCCTACCAACTTCCCAGCCCATCGGGTGACTTTCTTGACAACAGATCTAGCCAAGCCGCAACTCGGTCTTGGGGATGAGGACTACTCTCGGCTACAAGACACTGCCACCAACATTATTCACAATGCCTGGCCTGTGAACTTCAACTTGACGCTACCTACATTTGAACCACATCTTGAGGGTGTTGTCAATCTAGTCAAGCTCGCTGCAGCCACTCCAGGACGTGCCCATGTCACGTTCATCTCCTCTGTTAGTTCAGTCATGGGATCTTCTCAGAACCCCATCGCAGAAGGAATCATTACGGACGCTTCTGCTCCCTTGCCCATGGGATATGGACAGAGCAAGTATGTTGCTGAGCGCATCCTTGGATACGTCGAGTCCAAGATCGCGAATGTTGATGTCACAGTTGTCCGGGTCGGACAAGTCGCCGGTCCAGCGTTCGCACCAGGCTCGTGGAATAAATGGGAGTGGTTCCCTAGTCTTGTCGTCAGCTCATTGCATTTGGGTATGATTCCTGATTCTTTGGGCAAAGGCAGGAATAACCATATCGATTGGGTACCCATCGACGTTCTGGCACACACACTGGTTGAGTTCTCCCTTCCAGAGACACGTGAGAAAAGAAGAGTGAGTGTGCTCCATCCTCAAAACCCAAGACCAACATCATGGGATGGTTTGAGACCTATCGTGGTTAAGGCTCTGAACGACGCAATGAAAACCAAAGGGCGGGCAGAAGAGATCCAAGAGGTGGCCTTGAGTACATGGATCGAACGGGTGAGGAGAGACGCAGCTTCAATCGATACCGCGGGCAAATTGCAGGACATGTTGCAGTTCAATCCTGCAGCCAAGCTTCTTGATTTCTACCAAGGGCTGCTTGTTGGCGACGAGATGTCCGCAATGGATGGAGATAGGGCTTTGCAGGCAAGCAAGACACTGAAAGGCCTGGACGAAATTCAAGCGGACTGGGTGGAGCGATGGGTTCATGATTGGGTTAAGGCCTAGTTTTGTGGTTGCTGACGTAGTCGCTTTGTTCGAATTCGTCGCGAACAATAGCTGAGACGAAGAGATCGTCCTAGGAACTATTCTCGTCCAGATCTGAGAACTCCCTTCAATTGGTACACTCATGAGTGTTATCATGGTTTGTCGAAACCCTCGCCTGCCAAAACTACCATGGAGGCGCCGATCGCGGCGATATCATCCGACAACTGCGGTTGTCCAGATCGGGTCTAGTTAATGGCTTGATCGGCACGCAGAAAATTCAATCTTACCAAACCGAGGACGTCTTCATGAAACCTGACGAGCACTGCACCAACACTGTCATGCTGGTGTCGAGAGTTCTCTTTACTCAAGCCTGCCCTTGGGAAGATCTTCAAGAGTCTTGGGTGTGCCCTACCGAGTTGTGGCAAGGGAGCGAGATTCCGAGTCGACGTCAGGCCGATATCGAGCTGAGGCCGGACTATCGCCAACATCAAGATACAATTTTTGGTGTCACGAAATGCCCAATGAAAGCTGATATGATCGACACTACCAGGAGCAAGCAACAACCCCGCGGAGAATGCAAAGAAGATCCAGATTTGTCGCTCCAAGGAGAACAACAGCCTTATCAAGCGCAGGGGGCATGCCGCAGATAAGGAAGATCCACCTCCGACGCATTTTGGTTCTCGAAGCCAGCGCCTTCAAGAGATAAGCCTCGCCAGCCTCGCCCAACCACATCCTCGCCATTGTCGCTTTCTTATGCAACTGCAGCCTTAGGCGCTTCCCATCAGCTTGGTCCTAGGTCTGCGATTGAGTGTCAACCGCCCGCCTTCCACCCAATCGATTGTCAGCGGTGTCGCATCTTAGATAGATCAACCTGCCACACTTACTGCTCATCTGAATTCTGCATGCACCCGAACAAAGGCTTGGGCATATCACTGCATCTCCCTTTGAAACAGGCGACGTCAACGGCGTTCCTGAAGAAGTAGTGCCTTCAAAGACCAAGAAAACCACCCGGTGAAGACCACGCACCTGCAGAAAGCGGTCGGAGTCCGCATAGGCCTAGGCCTCTCGACCAGCAGAGATCAAACAAAAGCAACATCGGTCCCGGAATGAATCTTTTACGACAACCTCCGAGGATACAGATGGAATGCACTCAATGTTGATATGTGTCCAAGTATTTGAATACACTACAGACGTTTCCGCCTCGGAGCTATAACAGTATAACTGGGTCTTGTCAAGACAATCTGGACCCATATTTTGCACTGTTATCAGCAGCGCTCTGGCGCCGGTCAGATTGTGGCTTGCATCTCAACGCCGTTGATTCGTCCTGTGGACCTCGATCGTTGGAAGCAGATCGCCGCGGATTTGCTCATCTAAACATACGTCCGGTCTAGAAGCGGAGACTTGGACTTGGCTTGAATCCCCGGAGAAAGCATACAATCGTCATATCAGGCCGCGAGTCTGTGTGCCCTCAACGACGGTAAGGATACGGGGGCGAAGCGGATGATTGCCCCTAGCATTCGACATATATCTACGGCTTCCCAGTCTCCTTTCCGTGAACAGTCAGTCTCCATCGACATCTTCCAGTAAAGGCCAACATCGACCTACATTTCCGATACCTCATTTCGGGTCGAGGCTACTATTCCTGCACGAAGACTGTTCGTGACTTCCATATTCTTTCATCATGCGCTTCGCTTCACTGTGGCAGGCCCCAGAGGTCAACCCTGTCACCCACAAGGCACGATCCCTTCCCTTCTTCAACGTCGTCAATAAATATGGTCGGACGTTCTTCTTCTCATGGTTCGGCTTCTTTGTGGCTTTCTGGAGTTGGTATGCGTTCCCACCGTTGGTAAGTCGACATTCTGTATTCATTTTGGTCGGTTGTATACTAATACACGCTCAGTTGCACGATACCATTCAGAAAGACCTCAAGTTGACCAAAACCGACGTGGCCAATTCCAACATCATAGCCCTTTGCGCAACACTATTGGTGCGTCTCATTGCCGGACCCTGCTGCGATAGATTCGGCGCTCGATACACATTTGTTGGATGTCTCCTCATCGGTGCCATACCTACCTTCCTGTCCGGGACGGCATACAGCAGAGGCCAACTCTTCGCTCTACGATTCTTCATCGGCATTCTTGGTGGCAGCTTCGTCCCGTGCCAGGTCTGGTCGACGGGCTACTTTGACAAGAATATCGTCGGCACAGCTAACGCCATCGCTGCCGGCTTCGGTAATGCCGGTGGTGGTGTTACATACTTGTAAGTATCGCAACATCAACCTGTGTCACGGACATACTAACGGTCAAACAACAGCGTGATGCCTTCAATCTATGACTCCCTCCTCCATCGAGGGCTAACACCTCACACCGCGTGGCGGGTCGCCTTTATCGTGCCTGGCGTCATCATCGTTGCCACTGCTCTGTGCATCCTCTTCCTCTGCGAAGACACCCCAAATGGCAAATGGAGTGAACGTCACAACATTGCTGAAGCCAACCTCGCTGCCCACGGCATACAGGCTACGCTCGTCGACGCACCTAAAGCCGGCATCATGGACGCGCCCGAGTCTCCAAAAGGCGCTGATACGCCCACCGAGAGCGGCGAGAAGATGCACTTTGACGCCACGGGTGAACGCAAGACATCTCAATTCGCCGACCGTGAAGCCCAGATGACCGAGCAGCAAATGCTCGACACTGCGCGCGGCGAAATTGTTGTCAAACCTACGCCCAAGGAAGTTCTCGGCGTCATGTTCAAACCCCAGACGTTGGTGTTGGCTTTTTGCTACTTCTGCAGCTTCGGCGGCGAGTTGGCGATCAACAGCATCCTGGGCAGCTATTATCAAAAGAACTTCAAGTCGCTGGGCCAGACGACCTCAGGCCAGTGGGCAGCAATGTTCGGTCTGTTGAACGTGGTGTACCGACCCTTGGGTGGAATCATCGCAGACATTTTGTTTAAGAAAACTCACAGTGTCTGGGTCAAGAAGATCTGGATCCACGCGCTCGGGATCATCACCGGCGTCCTGTTGATCGTCATCGGCGTGTTGAACCCCCACGACCAAAGCACCATGTTCGGATTGATTGCCGGCATGGCCTTCTTCCTGGAAGCTGGCAACGGCGCCAACTTCGCCTTGGTCCCTCACGTCCTGCCGTGGGCCAACGGAGTCGTGAGTGGCATGACTGGAGCATGTGGCAACTTCGGCGGTATCATGTTCGCCATCATCTTCAGATACCATCCAAACAGCTACGCGACATCGTTCTGGATCATTGGCGTCATTACCATCTCGCTGAACGTGGCACTGTGCTGGATCCCGCCGGTTGTGAAGAACCAAATTGCTGGGCGATAAAATGTTTGCAAACGACTTATCTGACTATACGGTACAACGTACTTTTTGATTTTGTGGATTTTGTGTTTTCTACGACGAGCGTGTAGAGAGTCGACAAGAACAGATAGATGAGCGTTTGTTTCAAAAAAATCTCGAAGAGTCTCAAGTTCTAAACCCCTCAAGTCGAAGAAGAAGCCATATTATGGTGTGAAAGACCTCGAATCGTCAAATAAAGACCTCACCAATTAATCCAAGGCCCCCGGGGGGGCCGGTGTTCAGGACAATACAGCAAACCCATCATTCCCGGCCCCTTTCGGGCCTCGTCCAGTACCCCCTTTCCCACTCCTCCAGCCCAAATCCCCCCAAGACCCCTTTGCAGATCCGTTGGGCTTAGATTCTTCTGTCGCTGCCGTTGCTGTTACACCTTTCAAGACCGTCAAATTAGATTTCATCGTCACCAGTGACTTTTGACACGTACGACTCTCGCGTAGTATCATCATCATCATGAGCATTTGTTGCACCCTACCCACCACCACCACCAACAGCGGAAGTGAGTGGCAGCGGTGGGAGCAACTCATTTTTTCGGACCTTCTCAAAGAACATCATCATCGGCATTTCGACTATTGCGGTGAATCATCAGGAGGCCGGAGAAGAAAATTGTACCCGGTCCCTCGTTCAAGGCTACAATACAAAACACATCACGACACACAACCACGCCTAAAAGATTCGCCGTTACTCTCCGCGACGCTTCGCTTTGCTTCAAATCAATCGCCCATCTCCAGAGTACCTGACTAGATAGATAGGGAGGGGGATATGTGTACGGCAGTGGCAAGATGTATGCATCTTCAGAACCTCAAAAAACTCCCAAACCGTCACAACAAGCGACAGGGGCAACGTGGACTCTCCCCCGTGTGGTGGCCAGCCCCTAATATCAACAACAACAATAACAACAACAACCGTCTCTGACACTCTCTCGACATCAACATCATCACGTTCTCCTTCTCAAGATCCTCGGTTTGGCATGCGCGCCCTGTTCACGGCCCACGGGCACAATCGTCTGTTTCGCGGCTTCTTCCAAGAATCCTGCCATCTCCCTCTCGGTACTGTCCCCCATGACGCTCGAAAGCAATGAACTCGCCGCCGTGGTAGGTACCGGGATTCCTAGACTGGCTCGTCTCTTCGGCGCTGGAGTCCCATTGACGTTTCCGACATTCAGCTTCCTCAACCGACGCACCTTCCTGACCTGCTTCTGTTCTTCTCTGTGAATCTCGTCGTTCTCCTTGTTCTCCTCTGGATTCCCTCCGGTCTCGTTCTTCTCGTCCTCTGCACCACCGATCCCGTCTGTGTTCTCGTTCGCCACCAGCGGCTTCTGATCCCCTTGAGTCTCTGCATCACTCCCCGGCTCATCCAGACTGCTGTTCAACACCTCCTCCCCATCCTCGAATCTCGCAATCGTATTGTCCCAACTCACTACCTTGGTGTTTTTCCTCTTCTTCCTTTCTGCGCCGTCCTTTTTCGGAAAATGTAGAGGTCGCACTTGTCCGGCCTGTGCCTTTTGCTCGGCTGCCAGTTGAATCAATTTAAGCTGGACATTGACCGCGTCGGCTTTGTTCCTCTTCGTATTCGCTCTTGTCGTCATGGCTAGCGACTGGGTCTCGCGCTGGGTTGCGATGAATTCAGTCCCGTTCAGCCTCTTAAGCGCGATGTTGCTTGGAACTGTGGTGATGGGCTTCTGTGGCCGTGGCAATCGGGTGGTGAGTCTTGAACTTCGTCGTGGAGAGACCACGCTGGGCTCCGTATCTTGATCGGCTCGAAGTACTGGAGTCTCATCCCACGTGTTGGATGTGGTCGGAACAGGTTCCTGGGCATTTCCGACATGGGACGTGGTCGGAACGTTGGAGGATATAATGTCATTGGAGCCTGTAGCGTTTGCGTTTGCGATGTCCATCGGTATTGCTGCTTGGTCTTGGGACATGGCTTCTTGTTGTTTCGCCGCTTTTTGTGCGCGAGCGCGAGAAAGGAAGTCGTGTAGGAATGCTGTATCGTCGTGGTCCGTAGACAATGGAGGAGCTTGGTTTGCCGTTTGCAAAGTGTTTGACAAGAGGCCGGCCTGGCACTCCAGGGTTTGCTGCATCGGACCAGGAATTTCCTCGGAGTGAATTGAATTCGCCATAGACTTCTCGACCGAAGACCTCTCGGGATTCAACGTGGCTGTACGCTCCTGCTCGTCGCTCTCTTCACTCGGTGTAGGAGAGTCCAAACTATCTAAGACGTCGTGTGAAAGGCCATTACCCTCTTCCCTTTGTTGTTCCTCGTCTCCTTCTTCTTGTTGAGACCGAACGGAGGCGTCCACACCAGCCATTTCAATATGCTCCGAAACATCATTCACCAGCTCGACATTCATCACGTCAGACACTCCATGATCCACATCCACCCCTTCAGCCGTCTCCTCCAGGAAATGGCCGTCACCTTCACCTTGCACCGCAGCAGCGGCGTTAACTGCCACAAACCCACAGGCAGCATGCACCGCCTTTCGTTTCGGACTATTCACTCCCGCGCCATCTTCCCATTTCGACGGCAAGTACCGTGCCACGTTCTCTTTGTCTGCCTCCTGGAGCGTGACCTTCAACCTCTTCACGGCCCTTCCGTTCACGTTCCCACCGCCGACATCCTTCCTCCACCCATGGCCGACATTGGCCATGACCTCCCCGAGAGGCACGCGCTTCCAGATCTTCTGCACATCGTTCCGAGGTACGTGCGGCGTGAGTGGCCGTCGTTCCCAAGCTCGAGGGAGTGACTTGATGCGCCGCGGCGTGAAGGTGTAGGTGCAGGCCGATTGCTTCCCCGACCGCGCCGGGCTGACGCTTGAGCTCCTTTCAGTCGGACTCGAGGAGGGAATGAAAGGGGTGGGTTCGAGGGATCGATGGCGGCGCGTGGGTGTCGACGTCGCCATTGCGGTGCTGGCCCAAGGCTATCTACCTAGGTATTGGCTCTAGAGATAATGATTGAGGGTGTTGGGAGAGCGAATGTCAGCAGCTCATTGAGAGGGCCGCGAGGGACTTGGCGACGACGACAACGGGTAGTAATGCCAGCAGCAAGCAGCAAGCAATAGCGTCGCCGGCCGCGATACCAAACAAGACGCAAAATACTGTGCGACGCGCAGGTGGTTTGGGCGATGTTGATACCCGCCCAAAGGGGCTAAGACCCCCCCACCAACGCCTTTAATGCCTATACCGTACGGAGTACAGGTATCCATCTCACCCATTTTTCGCGCATCTCGTACTCCGTACAATTCGAGGACTAGAAGACCCATATAGGAACCCATGGAGGAAATCTAAACTTCAATTTTCATGTATTGCTGTTGTTACTATCGATGCGCTCTCGGGGTCGCGTTTGCTGTCATCTGGCATATCATCTATGCTTCGTCAAATCATATACATGAACATCTCCCCGGCTTCTTTCAGGTCTCTCCTCAACATCAGTATTACTTCCGAGAGCAAGCCGAATATAACAACTCGACTCTCAGCGAAACCTTGCTTGCATTGAAAAACTTCCCAGACAAGCCAGCCCAAGTCCCAAAATAATAGATCGCTAAGACATGACCCCATCTGTGGTGTACAGAAATATGTTGTGTACATGACATCGTTCTTCCCAATACATTTCCCAGTTTTTCCCCTGCCGACGCCGTGATAATGAATGCAATTAAGAAAATACTCCCGTGGTGGGGGATGGGAACCGGAGGACCCTGTGTTCGGCAGAAGGAATGAGATGCTAAGGACAGTCAAGAAAGGGAAAATGCTAGATTACTTGCACACTTCAGCGTTGTGGATAGTGCATTGGAGGCACGAACTCGTTCGATTCGAAGAATGCGTGTTGGTAGGCGGCCGCTGGAGCGCTATGCGGCGCCGTGGTGACGGGGTTGCCGTTGGCGAGCGCAAAGTCCAAATTAGGACGGTTTATTGGTGCTGTCATTGGACCACGCTGCATCGGCATGGTCCCGTTAGGAGTCTGGACCATTTGATAGTAGAATTGGCCATTGGCATCGAAGGTTCTGTATTCTGGCACCTGCAGTTGAAGCTCAGGAACCGGAGGTGGTGCTTGCATGGGCATGGGTTGTGGCGCAGGCATGTATTGCATTTCCGAGCTCATGACAGGATAAGACCCAGTTGCAGACATCGCAGGCATGTACTCTTGTTGAGGTGAAGACATGAATCGGAAGTCGACCACATGGTCAGAATACATCGAAGCCGGGTTAACGACCGCGGCTGTTGAAGAATAGCTTGCGGAGTACTTGGAGATGATCTTCTTCAAGGCGGTAGATAGAATCTTCCATGGAAACACCTTGACATCCTTCTCGATGTTGCGGGGTTTGGGATGAGGGAAGCCCATGATGACTTTGAAGAATTCCTCACTGTCTGGCTTGGCCTTGGAAACAGTCATCGGCCGGAATCCTTCCAGGTTTCGGCGTATTCGGTTCTTTTCCTCGACAGTGAATCTCACCCCAACAAGAGCCTCGAGCAGGTAGATGGTATCGACGGAGGTGACGTAGAATTCGTTCTTCTCTTTCCACCAGATGCACGAGATGCAGATGCTGCTAGGCTGACGGTCTTGTGGTGCAACAGGCTTAAAGTCGGCGGTAATGGTGCTGTTGATTTGGCTTCGTCGGAACTCAACGAGACGACGACGAGCCTCTTTCTCATCCTTGGTCCAGGACTCTTTCATGGTCTCCAGGTCGCCGTTCAATTTCAAGCTCGCCTTAAGAGGATGCATGGAATAAGGGTTGAAGGTCTGAGTTTGTCCCATGGTCATGCCGGAGAAAGAGCCAGGAGGAGACTGTTGCATGGTGGAGGTACGAACCAACTTAGGGACAGATGATTTGACGGGAGAGCTTGTCGCCGGCCGAGGAATGGGCGTGACTGGTGCCCTGGGACTTTGCTCGCTTTTCACAGTAGCGAAGGACGGGCTGTTGAAAGCGGGTGTATGCGGTGACGGAGCAGTCAATGACACTTGGGAAGCCGTCGAGGTGGAGTAATGGTGGCCAGACGGTCTTGGTGATGCAAAGTTGGGCGCGCATACTGGGAGTCCGGTGCTGCCAGTCGGGGTAAGTACAAATGGTGTCCCGGGCGAGGTTTGACCGCTGAGGTCGTAGTAATCACCCTGAGGGTCTTGGACTTGAACCTGTGCCACTGCTGTTCTCTTGGAGGCTGGCTGGTCGTACTCTTCAGTCATGGAAGCCTTTCTTTTCAGAGCAGGCTGATGAATGGTGTTCGTTGAAGGTGCCCGAGAGTGTGGAGCACTGAAGTTCCTCATGTGTTGGACCGAAGGTTTGATGTCTTGCGACACAAATTGGAAGTCAACATCTTGATTCGCAGTAGGCTGGAGAAGATGGTGATGACTATACGGAGCTTGGAGAAATGTGCCGTAGAACATTGGATTTTCAGTATCGGTAGGCGGGAAATCTGTTGTCGAATGAGCGACAACGTCGGACAAATGGTTCACACCCATACCTGCGAGCTCTGACTTCCCATAACCAGACATGGGGAACAGCGGACCAGGTTTGGCCGCGAGGCCTTCCTGGTATTGATTGGCAAAATGCTCTCCCTCGAAGACTGCCGGGTCGTAGGAGTCGTCGACTATGAAGGGGCCGGGCAAGTCTGGGAGAGCCTGAGATAGGTGTCAGTATTTGAATCATTCTGGAGAACCCCTGGGTCATGATGCCGACGTAAAGGCTAAGACATGACCAGGAACAGCAAATTGCACTCACCTGAAGATGACCGTAAGTGATGGAAGCCAGCTTGACGGTATTGAAATGGTACGCGGGCTGAAATTAATGTGAGAATAAAAGCACAAAGCGAGCGACTTGTAACTAAACGAGTGTGGTGGATATGAGGAGAGGTCTCCTCAAATCAGAGCGAGCGACTGTTGCAAATGCTATCGAGATTCGAGTTTAGAGTCGATAGTCGTGATTCTCGTGGTGAACATTCGAGTGGCAACTGGGTGTATGTGGAGATATTTTGCCCCTAGGCTTCTGAGACGTGGTCTGAGGGGCTGGCCGGACAAGCGACGAGGCCTTGAGCAGTTGGTACGTCGAGCTTGCGGCGATTTGAATCGAGACTTGGAATCTTGTTGTGGGCTTCCAAGACGGTGAAAGATCCTGGATGCCGAGGCAGACTAGCCCCGAGAACAAAGAATTCCAGACGGACGGCACGAACTATCCCATGGATCAGCCAAACTATTGCCAGATGATTTCGAAATTCTTGACCAGAATGATTATTTGCTTACCTTTCTGGAGAAGAGCTGAGGTGGAAGGCTAGAGGTGAAGGTGCTGGATATGCTCGGTAGGCAGAGGCTCTGGAGTGAAGACTTCACTTTTTCAACCTGAGACAGCTGTCACCCAAGGGATGTTAGCGAGATATTCAAGACGATTCCTGGACACGAGAATGACCCAATTTCACAAGGAGGAAAATTATGAATCAAATCTCTGATGCAAGGGTTGGTAGGTCGACACCGGCACCGTGAAGCTGGATGCTAAATCTGGTAACTGGTCCTCAGGGATATACGTACCCAGAAGTCTGGATTCCGATACGGATCAGTCACAATATGAATGAGCTGGTCTGCTTGATACCCTCTCGAGAGGTAATTCCACACACCGGGTGTTCCGGGAGTATGGTTAAAGCGCGGTTTTGTGTAGACGCTCTGTTGCGTAGGCACAGCGCAGGCAGGCCGATGAGCTCCAGTATTCAGTATCCAACGATAGAATTCTTCGAGCTAGCAGCAGGTTATAGGGATTATTCCAAGTTCAGACCTAGCGAATGTCTTCACCCGGTGGAAGAAGCCGGGATGGTCAAGTAGGCGGGTAGAAGGTACCGAGGCGAAGAAGGCGCTTTTCAAGGACTTTTCAGCGAACGTATCGAAAGCGTAAGACTCGAGCGATTGAAGATCCTAACGAACAGGAATATCAAATGCGTCTGAAAAGCGAATGTTGGGTTCGTGTGTATAAACGAAGGTATGGTCTGCGAACAGAGCCGGAAAAATGTCGAAGGCAGATAGAATGGGTTGATGGAGAGGTGGAGCGGGAGTGTGAGAGAGGCAGCCGAGGAGGGGAAGGAAATGGCTACAGTATATCGGGCTCGGCCAGCACCAGCCAGCCAGGAATCTGACGGCGAGGGCAAAAGGGCTCAAGAAGGCAGTGTTCAATCAGGTCACGCAGGAGTCGCACCCGGCGAGTTCAACGGGAGCATCTTCCCCTTCGCTGGCTGGACGGTCACTGGCGAGTTGGCATGAGGCAAGTCTAGTGGCAGTGAGCGACTAGCGGGCTGAATCGAGGAAAGGCAAGGGGAAGAGACGTTCGAGGATGAGCATCCGACGAGGGGCTTGCAGCACAAGTGGGTTGAGAGGTGGATAAGCTGGGTGGTGCGATGATGGCAAAGCGAAGAAGAGTGTGTCAACGATGGGAGGATGGCTGAGCGTCGAGGGTGAGCGGGTGAGAGAAAAATAGAAAAGCGGAGACTGCGGTGCCTCGCTGAGTGGCCCAACTGCAGCCAGCATGCGATGCGTACGAGTACGAGAACCACACTATGCCTGTTTCTGTCCCGCTGTCGCTGTCTGCGCTTTCTTGCCGATGTTCTTCTGGCACGCCCGGAAGCCCAGCCATCGCCAGTGGCTTTGCCGCCGCGAATTCCAGACACCTCTCAAAATCATACCGGCCGATGCTTCGCACCGTCTGCAGAATTTTCGCCGCATCCATCACGAGTCCTCGAAACGTGGGAACCTCACTACCTGGAACACGGCCCCCTTCTCGCGCTGGGAGTAACAGCAATCCCAGGGCAAGACGAAGCGACTGGCGACGCGAGGTGCATAACACACCCTGCCCGTCCCCAGTTTGACCGGCAACTGGCGGTACGAGTAGGGCCAAGTGGGAATCAACAGTTCGACTTCCACAGGCGTGTTAGAAGCGTTACGAGGCCTGAGGTCAATGACAGTTGGCTCCAGAGCAAAAAAAAAAAAAGACCCAGAGCCTGTAAGCGATCCACCGCCGAGGGAAAAGCGTGGCAGGGTGGGAGCCAAAAAGCAACCAGGGCGTCTGATCGGGCATGGCCTCGATGGGAAAGGGAATGGCTTCATGGGCCTGCACAGCCGCACAACGGCACGACAAGGGCCAGGAGGGTTTCCTCCCTGAAGCCTGCAGCGATCAGATGCTTCTGGGTGAGGTCATCACCTCCTCGAAGCCCAGTCCTATCACTCCCTATCTCTGCTCCTTACCTCAACGAGTTTGAGTCCTCTCCACTGGCCTCGTCGAACCCATGTTACAGGCTCTTTCCCCTACTTGGATCCTGCCGGTTCCCCTACTCTAGCGCCGTGGACATGAGCCAGGATCATCGCAGTGTGTCCCCGCGCTCCACTGCTATGTATAGCCCACCAATCGTTCCGACCAGGCTGTAGCGTCGACAGATCATCACTCGTCTCGTCTCGTCTTGTTTTGCCTCTCAAGAGCGACACGCCCGACCATGGCCGCGCGAAAAACTTGTCAAAAGGCTCAAAAGCGGACTTGTTGTGGCTAAGGGCAATTGGTTGGAAAGGAATGTTTTTCGCTTCGTCCCTTTTCTTGACATGCCCGAGCACGACGCGTAGGGCGGCTTACACAATGCATGCATCACGGGCCTCGCATTGTTTGTTTGGTTCCATTGTTAATAATAATGTTATTGTTGCAGCGTTCAACCCCTGGCGTACGGAGATACCTCTCGTAAAAGGCCCCCAATTGTTCCTCGGAATCGGCATGCTGCAATCGTCCAGGGCGCGCATTGCCGGTTCGCCACTTCCACTGCCACAATGCTGGGGGCGCTTCTGCCCGATCATCTGGTCGTGGCTCCAGAGCATTATTCATGGCTGGTGACTTGGTGACAACCCTTGCATAGCTGCCCGGGCTCACATCATTTGTGCGCCCGGCACTTCCATTTTCTTGTTCTTGCATCGGCCCTTCTCCTGGATCGTCTTCAAATGCTTCAGCCGGTCTATTGTCCCTTGGCCTGCCTTTACGCGAGGATGAAAAGGCCATTTTGTCCCGCTTTGCGCCGCTTTGCGGCCGTTTGGGGACGATAAGCTAGATTCTCTAACACCGGTCAAGTCTGGGGAAGTGCCCGTCCATCCACTTTGACCGGCTTCTTGCCCAACTCAGGCCATGGTGTCTTTCCCTGCATTGAACTAGGGGTTACAGGCGAGCACGCCGCGCTGACCCAGTACGGTCTCATCACCTCTTTACCCAAGCGGAGGTGGTTTGTCTACTAAGCATCCTCTTCGCATGTGGGTGTTTACGGAGTTTAACATCCACTGGGAGTACGGAGTATGGCTGACAGACTTCGTTATCGCAACCTCTTTTTCCTCCCTTACTGTGCTCTTTGGCTCCGTCTGCCGCCCTTTTCCGCCTTTGCTCGTTATTAGTCCATGTTTAATTCGTAATCGAGGCTTCCAGCTGTGACCAGACTGCATTTAATGCACCGCCGTCTACCTGCTATAGCGACATAGCGCCACTTGTGTTCCTTTACGAAGCGCCGGATATGTTTGGGCAGTTCTCCTGACTCGGCGCCACACTTCAGCCTTTTTAGTGTCGGTGAACATGTGGTGTCAGCGCAACAGTTCTTCATTAATTTATCGTCTCCAAGTTGTGCGCGGCACCGTCCGGAAAGGTCAATGAAACTGAACTATTTTACTGTAAAGAACCCTCCAGAGTGAGGTGACGTGGACCAGAGACTGCTGGAAACCTCGGGTTCTGAGGTTGGGAAGCTTGCTCTTTGGCCAATGGATGTTGGTTCCATGGTGGTAGGCTGAAACCCCTAACGTGCTTTCTATTTTTGCCCTGATCCTCTGGCGGATTCGGTTATCCGCAAGTGTATTGTATCCCTCTGCGAGCGTGACCGGCAGAAACAGGGACCGTTCCTTCTAGCCAACGCCTCAGAGTCCTCGTACATTTTCGAGCGCATCCCTTCTCGTGCGATTATTACCGGCCCTCGCTGACCCCTCGAAACCAAGCTTGTGATGATCATGACACACCCACACACACCCACCTTGTTGGGTCCCGGGTTAGACGACCGCCGGCATGCTGTCTAACTTTGTGCAGCGACGCGCCTTCCATGTACGACTCGAGTGATGAACGCATCACACTGCAAACAGCAGGGGTTCTAATCACGCTGGCACCAGACGCGCCCGTTCGCATCACACACTTGATGGCTCCTGATTCATGCAGCGAAATGATGTGAAACTTGTGCAAGCGTCCAGACATGCATTTATCACACGATCGATCATGTGGAGCGAAGACAGTCGGTGCCAGCCTCATTTCGTTGTCGAAGCTCGACCAGACAAATCGACAGTCAACCAACGGTTGGATTCTAGCCGGCTGTCCTGCTTCTATGGCGCTCTTCGTCTGTCAAAGCTGCATGAAGTATCCAACAAATGCACGATATCAAATCCGTCAAAACCCAGACGCAGAACGGTCGTGTGGCAGTCTATGAACCACTCATCCCGCCAAGGCCTTCTCTAGACGGCCTACGGGTTCTTCAGGCCGATTATTGCTGACCCGAATAGTATACCTCTCCTTATCTTCGTGCTCCCTATCCGATTTCTCAGCTCTTACCGCCTGTCGAGCGGGACAGGGAACAAGTCGCAGAGCAGTGGTGTTGTGATCTCCAGTACCCTATTCCTGGATCGTCGCTACAACTTTACGTGAAGATCTGTTGGCTGTGCACATTTTGGTGGCTTGCGACCTGAGTATACATGGAAAAATTGCGTTTTTGCCACAGCGCTACGACTTCAGCCATGAACAGCACGATTGCTCTATCGACAGCGTGAGACCCTGCATACCATTGATCACACTCTTAAACAGACCAAAAATAGCAATGCTGCATTGCATCACATTGGTGCTATTTGTACGAGGAAGAAGAGCAGACTTCCCAGAATGCAGGTGACCTCAATCTTACGTTTGCGCCGAAGATGCAGACCGGATGGTACACGTTTACTCCATCTGTTTATGTTTATGTTCACAACTTGCTGTCGGCACTTTCCTTGGAGAGCTCAATCACCAATTTGCCAAACTGGCTAGCCTTTTTCATGTCCTCGAACAGGCCGTTGATAGCATCGAGATCGAACCCCTGGACGGTCCGCGAGACTACAGGCTTTGCCTTGTTCGCCTTGACGAAGTCCACCATATCTTTGAACTCCTTTCTCGACCCCATGGTTGTCCCTCGGACCTCGATATTCTTGAGCACAGCCTTCATCAGCCACGGCATCTTAGGGCCCGTGGTCATGCCATAAATCGCGATGATACCACCGGGCTACAGCATTGTCAGTTATCAACGGCAGTTGGACAGCGATTCTACGCACCTTGAGCAACGTCACGCTCTTGTCGACGATGTCACCACCAGCCCCGTCAACAATGGCATCGAGTTGCTTGTTATCTGCAGGCAACATAGCCAACAGTTTCTTTTCCCAACCCTCCTCCTTGTAGTTGACACCGCCTGTTGCTCCGAGATTGATGGCCTTCTGTAGCTTCTCTTCGCTACTGCTGCTAACATAGACATTGGTGCCGGCGGCTCGTGCGAATTCGAGGGCGAACAAGGCCACACCGCCACCAATACCTGTAACGAGGATGTTCTTGCCTGGCCCGATGTTTCGAGGCCCACATTTGGTCATGACCGCTCGCCACGCAGTAAGGCCAGTCAGGGGAATCGCGGCAGCTTCGACATCGGAAAGGTGGGACGGCGCTTCCTCGACCTCAGCCTCATCTATGATCATGTATTCCTGCAACGTGCCGTTTACATTGACTTTTGTGCCGCCCAGGATTCTGTAGCCGCCCTGATCTTCAGGGCCCTCAGGGCTGTCATTCCAGCCTAAGCCTGGGTTCACAATGACTCTCTTGCCTTTCCAATTTGGATCAGCGTCGCTACCTACAGCAACGACCGTTCCGCATCCGTCTGCCAGCAACGTCACGCCGAAGGTTGTGCCGGGGTAAAGATGCTGTCGGACGTAGAGGTCTCGATGGTTCAGCGCCGCGGCGTGCATTTGGATAAGGACCTCTTTGCCCTTCGGCGTAGGTTTAGCAACATCGTCAAGCGACAATGGATAGTAAACCTGGCCCGGCTTGCCTTCTACCTTGGAGATGGAAATTGACTTTGGCATGGTGGCTTTCGTTGTATGTTACTCCCTCTGCGTAGGTGATGCTCTTCGGGAGGACTTCAAGGGCAACTATTGGGGACCTGGAACCAGCCACAACATCTGCTGCGTGACTTGTGTTCTCTCTTTCTACCAGGTATTGATGATGTGCTTAGAAATTGAGCTTCGGTGTTTTCTCGCAGTTGAATGCTATCGGTCTTCTCTGACGCTCCTTAATGAACACGCATCCGGAAACAACGTATAGCAAGTCAGCCGAAATGCCAATGAGTCAGCATTGTCCAACAAAAGCCCCGCGATCGAGCACGTCGGGTAATCTGGGTACCTAACCCAATGTTTGTGAGCCGAGGTGGGCGATATACGGGATCAGGAATAACTAAAAGACCGAAGGCGTTCACGTGACCATTCTCTGAAGGGCGTGTCAGACAGGCATTGGCTTGCTGGAGAGCCCTGCTAGATACTATGGCTACGATACGACAGGTACATTTTGAGTTCTCGTAGAAGTTTCTCAAGTACAGTTGCTGCCCAGAATGCGGCGAAGCAACTAGGCAAACCAGCTGAACGTAAACTGCAAAGTGTGGCGAGCTGAATCATATCTTCATCACCGGACTCGTGGTGCCCAGAACCCCGATGATCATGCCCGAAGAGCCCAAGGAATGATTGGTGTATTACTGCCCCAGAAGATCCTTTAGCAAGATACGTTACGAGACAAGCAGGTTGCTGTATGTCTGTAATGAGGAGTGGACCGAAATGTTCATATTTCCACGCACTGAACTCGCCCCCGAGCACAGTCAAGATCCCCTTGGGTGGGCATCACAAACCCTTAGCGATATCGACCGTTTTCCGCCCCAATGCGTGGTATATCAACTTTTGATTTTCAGCTCCAACCTGCGTGGCTCTCTGAAGGAGACGATTTATATCCATAGGCAACACAGGGGTTTGGCCGGGCGAAGACGGCCTTTTCAAAAGTTCGAATGCGCCTCTTGACATCCAGAAAAACCTTGAATATTACGAAACTCAGGTGACAAAAATCTTAGTCAGTGGAGCACAGAGGGGTATCTCTCCTTATCCGGTCCTCGGCCTCCGAATCATTTCGACGAGGACGACAGTCGCAGAACAACAAGCTCACTGCAGCACCATGGGCTCTTTTGGTGAAGTGACTGAGTTTGGACATGGCTTCAAATCGCAGTTTCTGTTCGATCCAAAATATACCAATCTAAATCATGGTATGTGTCTAATTTAGCACCTCTATCTGGACGAGAACGCCAACTTGTGAATCATCGCATGACGGTGACGCTGGACCACATCGCAATGCTCTCATAAGTTGAAGCACATAGTCTAATCCCACTTTCCAGGGTCATTTGGGACATACTCCCTCCCCGTGCGCAACGCCTTGCGCGGGTACCAGAAGCTCGCGGAAGCAGCCCCAGATAAATTTCTGAGATATCAATATATCGATCTTTTGGACAAGGCCCGAGAGCGCATTGCTCGACTGCTCAATGCCCCTGTTGATGAATGCGTATTCGTTCAGAATGCGACGACTGGTATGTATCAATTGACTGGTCTTGCTAGTGGTGACTAACGAGACAGGGGTCAACACCATCTTGCGAAACCTGCAGTACAAGGAGAAGGACTGCATCATTTACTTTGATACGATCTACGGAGCTTGCGAGAAGACGCTAGCATCAATTCTCGAAACAAACCCTCAACTTCATCTGAGGAAAGTCGGGCACGGACAGGATTTCGGATACTCCTTGCCCTGCACTCATCCTGAAATCCTCAATGCACTTTCGCAAACAATTTCCCGCGTTATATACGATGGATACACGCCGAAAGTCTGTATATTTGACACGATCGTTTCGATTCCGGGAGTTCGATTCCCATTCGAGAGAATCACGAAAATGTGTAAAGAGTACGGCATTCTCAGCCTGATCGACGGCGCGCATAGCGTCGGCATGATTCCACTGAATTTGGCTCAACTTGATGCAGATTTCTTCGTGAGCAACTGTCACAAGTAAGTCAGTGTCCCGATGAGAAGATTGGCGCTTACCGCGTTCAGATGGCTATACACTCCGCGAGGATGTGCAGTTTTACATGTCCCAAAGCGCAACCAACACCTCATTCGAACGACCTTTCCAACCTCCCATGGATATGTGCCTCCGTTTGGTTCGATTTCCAGATTCCGCAACCCGCTACCACCATCAGACAAGTCCGACTTCATTAACCTGTTCCAGTTTGTCGCGACTGCCGACAACTCAGCATACTATTGCGTACCTGCCGCCCTCAATTTCCGACAGAATCTATGTGGGGGCGAAGAGGCCATCTACAATTACATTCGTGATATCGCTCAGCGAGGGGCTGATCTTCTCGCCATGGTTCTGGGAACAGAAGTCATGGATGATCTCGATGCTGGCTATGGGTTGAAAACCATGGGAAGTTACGAAGCGACTGATCGCAGAGAAGGGGGTAGGACGGGTTGGTCTGGCGGTCTGAGAGATTGTGCCATGGCCAACGTCCTCTTGCCCATTACGATTGTTGGGGCGTCTGCCAGGGGGAGCATCAGCATGGGACCAGGTGGAGCTGGGAGTGCAGGCGGATTGTCACCTGCACTACGACAAAACTCCTATGGCTTCCCCAATCCTGGCAACCCGCAATCGCTCTGGACACCGTCCCCCAGTGGACTTTTGGGTGAACCCAATATAGCACGGTCTCCGTTGAATTCTCCAGGAGTGCTCTCAGCAGGACCGATCGTGGTACAGGAAGCCGATGTTCCGACTCACGTCGCGTGGATGGAGAAAACCCTGGTGAACGAATTCAACACATTCGTGGCGATCTACGAGTACGATGCAAGACTATGGACTCGGATTTCTGGTCAAATCTACCTAGAACTCAAGGACTTCGAATGGCTAGGCGAAGTCCTCAAAGGACTCTGTGAACGCATCCGAGCCGGCGAAAGTCTGAGGGGCAAGTCAGACATCAGCGACAGGGTTGAGGCCATGACACTTGGAGAGCCCAAACCCATCTCACGGCAAGGGACAACTGAATCGCTAGCATCCCGAAGATTCGATATCACGCAGGGCGGCTGGGTTGAAGAATGAGGGAAGGCTACCGCCGGCGTGATCAGTGTCTCCTGAGCATCCCCCGGATCCCTAGCTCACGGTGGCATTTCTACACGAATGCACCCCCGGATCGTCGGTTTCCTCCGCACTTTTCGAGGGCGTTACCGTTCCCCTGAACCCAAGGTCTGTGCGGGTACGATGGTACGACACATGAGGAGAGGGTTGGGCTTGTCGGGAGGACCTGAAGACGGAGAAGTACGAGTACTGACATGGGAAATGGCAGGTGATGGGAGGTACAGAGTGTGTCAAGCGCTGGAGAAGTCTTTGCCACTATTACCTCACAGATATATATTTTGCGCAGGCCGCTCGCCCTCCCGGAAAAGCTTGCGGGCGCACGTGAGCCCGCCAAACATACCCCGGATTTGGCCATTATTCCGGCTACGTAATTTCTACCTCGTTCTGACAGCACAAAATCTCTTCCGCCGTCCGCCTCCGCCCTCTGTTTCGCCTGCGGTCTTTGCTTTCCTCTTTCAAATTTTCATTCCCGCCATCTCCGGTCTATGTTTGGTCATGGCGTCCAGCTCACCACATGACTTGGCCTGCTGCCAGCATATCCGTGCAAATTTCTGCAAATCTGGGGAATATTGTGAATCATAGCTTGCCGTTAACTGCTTAGCCGCCAGGAGTCCTCGTGGTACGCGTTACTTGATGGCAATATCGCCATCCAGGCCCAAAATGAAAACAATGACACAGACTGCCTTTCTCCGTCCCTTCACTTTGTTTCCATTACCCCCATCAAACACATTCCAAGCCCCTTCCTTGCATCTTTTACATCCCTGTGGAGCATCCTTCATCGCATCAGTTGATTCTCATCTCAAACCCTGCTGTCATAAGTCGGCATGGCAATGGCACCATCCGCCCTTTTACGGCGCATACAAATCCGCCGTCGCCCAGACGATCATGTAGCCCCTCAAATGTACGAGAAGGAGACCGAACTCACACACAGTCCTCAGCTGCTGCTGCTACCTCCAGAAGATATGAATTCCCAGAGAAAGTTTTCCTACGCTTCCGTCAAGGAAGAGCAAGGTATGCGGCAGTATCACACCATCACACCATCCCGACATCATCAGCTAACTCGATCTCACAGGAGAAGGCGTTCCCCAGTCATTCGAATCCTCCCTATCGACCCAAGACCTTGAGGAGGTTGAGTGGATCGCGTGGCCATGCAGTCACTGGTGCAGGACGAAAGGACTGTGTTCCTACCATTTTGGGGGCACGCATGATGACTTCGTCCGGACGAGGCTCGAAGGCTATGCTCGCAGCAATCCGAGGAAGTTGGAGAAGATCTTGGACGAACTGGACAAGAGAAGGGCAGCACAGAAGTTGTTCAATCTTCCCGATGCCAAGGAGATTACTCAGTTCCATCCATGCCCGGCCAGTTTCAGTCTCGAGGTCTGGAGGGAAAAGGTCAGAGATGCGGTTGGCACACGAGACTTTACCCTCGACAGCTTCGACGAAACGGCTATCATCGACGACGATGAAACTCTATCGCAAACTTCAAGCTCCAGACCTGCGTCATATCTCGAGTCTATGCCAGTTGAGATCCTGGAAATGATCTTGTCCCGAGTCACGGTTGACCACACGGCTGATCCCTACGCACGACCACACGTCGATCTCGCGTCCTGCTCACTGGTCTGCAGGAAGCTTTATGCTGCCGCTGTGCGAGTCATGTACAGACATGTCTCTATCCCGCAATCCCGAGCCTTTTCCAAACTTATGCGCAGCCTCAACAATGACAAGTCCCTCGGCGAACTGGTTCACTGGCTTGACTTTTCCCATTACTCGAATATGGGTTTCGGCAAGGCTCGCTCAGCACGTAACCAGACGCCGTTCCTCAAACCCGAAACCCTCCTAGCTTGTCTGGACATGATTCCGAATCTTCAAGCATTCCTCGTGCACGAGCATGTCGATGACGAACTCAACGCTGACATCTTCCGCAAACTCTTTAGCATGCCTCTTCTGCAGGCTCTCGATCTCTGCGCTTGCTCGTCCCGTCCTTTCGCCGATGCCTTCACCAGTGTTGTGACACAAGCATCACTCCCCTCAGACCTGCCTAGCCTCAAACGACTGTCGTTGCACGAATGCACGACCCTTCAAGAAGAAGTGTTTGAAGCCATTCTTCCACGCCTTTCAAACCTTACACATCTCGACGTGGCGCATACACTCATCAACGACACCGCACTCCTCTCGATTCCCCCGACAGCCAAGATTACCCACCTCAACATCGAGCGCTGCACACACCTGACTGGTTCTGCCGTGGTAGAGTTTCTCACGACGCATCCGGCCGTCAAAGACAGTATTGTCTATCTTAACCTCGCAGCAGATGCTTCACGCCACAGGCTTCTAACCGCAAGCGATCTGACGCTTCTCCTTCCTGCCTTGCCCTCGACGTTACGCTCCCTCAACATCAACGGTGCAAGAATCAATTCAAGCCATCTCTCGGCGCTAAGGACCCTGGCATGCCACGTCGAAGAGCTCGGCATCCGTGGAGCACAGTTAAGTCTGGCCAGCGAGATCAAGCCTCTCCTCAAGCCGGCCCATACAATCCGATACATGGACCTGGCCGACATCCAGTCTGTCACACAGATGAGTCTCAACTACAGTCCCAGCAGTCTTACCGACACCGATACACTACCCTTGGAGGTGATCGAGCTGGGCCAAGACGTGCTCGGCGAAATCAAGCGTAGAAACGCACATGTCAAGAAACCCGACTGGGTCGTCAAAGAGCTCGGTCGACGTGGTTGGTTTGTCAGGCAGCGCGTGACTCCCAACGACGGCACAGATGAACAAGGAAAAGCACAGTGCCAGGTGGAAGCTGACGACGGGTCCCGATCATGGAAGATGGGAGCGCGCTGGTGGGGATTGCGCAAGATTCCCGTCGTCGAGCAGGATGTCGGCGGTATGTACGGGTATTTCATGTTCAAGAGATCATGATCACGAGCAGCCATTGTGACCGAGACCTACGTACGATCGAGGATGCGATAAGGTGGGTCGGTCACGGTTAATACTGCACGAATTCTTCTCTCATCGTATCACCATTGGGTTCATCACGAGGTTACGAGAAAATGGTCTGGGGAAATTGGTTCTTTCAGCATCAGCATCAGCATCAGCATCAGCATCAGCGTCAGCGTCAGCGTCTGCACGCAAGCACCGGGAACCAGGACGGTTTTTTTCGGTTTGCTTTTCTTCTCCTTTTCGGCACGGCATGGGAAAGCACGATGAGCGTTTCGTTGTTCTTCTGGATGAGTCTTTTGATTGACACGGTATAGCGAAATGGGTTACTTTTTTGGGGAAACAATCTTTAGGGCTCGAGCACGAATTGGAAAATGGCACTTTGGGTTAGCTGGCATTGCAGGCAGGCAGGCAGGCAGGCAGGGGGGGGCAAGAGGGGAGCCGTACGCATCGAGGCGCATGAATGCACGCACGGGAAACGACATAATGACCGATACGGATCAACCTACCTACCTCAGGTGTCTAATTCATGAGCATGATCATTACCGGGACCGGAGTTTGTGTAGATCTAGGAATGTCACGGACGAGGAGTCTCTTTATGATCAAGATGTCGCCATCCGGGTTCTCAATATTCATTTACTTTTCTCCTCGACTCTCGAACAACGAAACGTAATCGAAAGTTAGTGTTTTTGCTCTCCGCCTGAGTAGCCTTGTAGGCGTGTATGATGGACGGCGTTTGTTTGATATCATGTGTTTGTTGTTCGTCCTTCTCCTATGAAACAAACTGTGTCAAGAAGTCTAATTTATTGACTCGCGTTTCCCCCCATCTTTCGCCTGCGGGTTGGTGCTTTGAGGCGGACGGTATCATAAATACTCCGCAGACGTGTAGTTTCCGTTGTGGTGGCGGCGGCGGCGGCGGCGGCGGTGGTGGTGGAGATTTATATAAGTTGGTTGTTTCGGATATATTTATAATATATGTACACTATAGCCACTGCATGTGTACCTTATGTACCATGTTATGCATGACTTCTTCTTCTCTCTCCATGGACAACCTGATACAAAACGACAATGATAACGACGAGCGTGTGATCGAAGTTTTGTATTTGTAGGTATAGTTTGTATCTCTATGTTTTGCTGATGTACAGCCACAAACCTAGGTACATGTAGTGGTACAGTCAGGTATATACATCCTACCCTGACCCATTCCTTCCCTGTTCCCCAATCTTATCCTGTCATGTCCTATCTGATCAGGTTACTTATCTCTCGTTATTTGTGAAAAACCCCCTGGACGACTCTTGCGTTCGGAGCACCGGAGATCCAATAGTGATGGTGACGATGGTCGATGCCTCTGTTGGATGGTTTCGCTTTTTCGAGTGTCGATCAATAACCACGGCCCAAATCTCATGATAGGGGGAGAAAGGGGATGTTTATTTCCGGCAACGAGCCGTTTGGAGAATTTGAAGAGGAAACCAAACCACAGGATGGTTGGTTCCGGCGGTGGTCATCTCTCAATCGAGTCCGGGTCGTGAATTCGAGAAGCTCTCCCCTCCATATTTCTCGTGCACACTCGTTTCTGGAGAACCCCTCTCATATCTTCTCCTACGTGCACACATTTCTGTCTAGAGTCGATTCCTTCTTGGCTCATGTATAGATCCAACTCACAGGTTTGAGGACGCGAGAGAGGTTCGGCTTTGAACATATCACAGCATACTTCTAGATTATCACGTTCTTCTCTTTCTCGGACCAGCAATATTCGGAAACAGACGGGCGAGATGGTGATTGATTGGCGATTTGTCTTTCTTGGGTCCTTTCTGTAGGGGTGAGAACAGATTAGCATTCTGAACCTTTGAACCTTTGCACTTTTTTGGATTGATGTCTCTTGCGCCGTTGCGTTGCCTATGTGAGATAATGGATTGGGAGGAAAGGAACGTACCGGCGCATCTACACAGTCCCGTAGAGCCTTTTCAAGGTGTCCACAATCTCCTGACGCGGCGCCGGCGGCCCAACAGTCTGTCAGGTGAAAGTGTCAGCAATATGTTATGTACGTTCTTGACTTTGCTCTTTTCGCAGTTGTCGGAAAGTTGCACGTAGAGGTAGAGGTTGTCCGGCAGATTCTCCAATAAAGGTAGGATCAAGCGTTTTTGTCAACCTTTTGCTACAGTGCATTCCCATCCAGTTAAACTGCTAGACATAGCGTTTATCTTTGTCATGGGTATCAGGGCTGTTGTGTGCACATACTTAACATGGCGCTCATGGGTCCTAGGCATGGATTCGGCTCTGCTTTGTCCGGGTGTCTGATCTTTATCCGGGAGACCGTTTGTAGTCTGATGGGGTTGACGGCGGTGGATGCACCTTTGGGAGGCATTGTGAAAGAGTCCCGGAGGGGAGTATTGGTATTGGAAAGGATGCTTCGGTGCCAGGTGTGGGCGCTGGTAGAGCTTGTTGCAGTTTGATCGCGACGTCGGACGGGTACTGTTGATTTTGACGGGGCTTTCTACCCGAAAAGATACGGCGGCTCCAGTGTAGACGATCGCAACCGTCAGAACGGGAAAAGTAGGCAAGAAAGAGCGTGGGATTATAGCGGGTGGTTACTGTGTCTCGAGTGTAGCTTGTTCAACTGCTCAGTAGACTTGAACTCGGGGTGAAATTTAACTGTCACGTGGCAGCCTGTCCACTTTGTCTCGACTGGGCGTGATTGGACGGACTTTGCGGAGAAAACAAGCTGCGAACTGCGGCGAAACAGAAGCATTGCGATATGATCATTCAGACATTGGCTCGTACACTCATTATTGTTCTTCCATTCTAATTGTCGGTTGCGGTTCGATTTCTTTTTTGATTTTTGTCGGTTGCATTTGAACAATGAGCAAGCATAGTTCTCGCATCTACACGTGCTCACGTTGCCTATTGCAAGCGCAACGACTGCGGGGAGGCGTATCGAAAGTCCCTCGTCTCAATCCCCAAGCCAATACCTGCTCAGACCGTGCTTTTAGCAGCACCTCTATAGTCGCCACTCAGAAGGAGTCTGGCTCGACCGCGACACACAATAGTCCTCAAAATGAACCAGAAAAAGGTGCTATGTCCAGGCGGCTGGCAGACATGGCGGAAGAGACCATGGATACCGGAAGCAGAAGCGATCGCAAGCTGATGCAAGAGGCGGGCTTTTCAGAAGAACTCAGAGCACGGCTTGAGCAAAGGATAGCACAGACTAGCTTCAATGCCGAGAACCAGCGGGCTATAAGCGAAGCCACTATGCCTGTACGTTTAGGAATACATTCATCAGTGGTGGCAAACTGACATTCGCCATAGACGTCCGCTGGAAAAGGAACCCGTGACATAGCTGCCGCAGAGCCATGGAAAGGCTCAGAAAATCTTCACGATGCCGCCTTACGCATGCTCGATGACTCCCAAAAGAGACTACGTACACCGAGCAGACCTCCATCTCTGGGTGGGACAGTCAACCTGCGGCCTGCACCGAAGCAGGGAGTGTCTGCGGCTGATCGGCTGGCGAATGCACGAGATAGAACCTCCCAATATGCCATTAGCCAACATGAGGATATGTCTGCGGAAGAGAAGGAGAAGTACCGCAGAGAATTGAAGGACAGATTTTCGCCTGGCGCAAGACCAATGCCTACGTCCCTCCAAGGCCTGACAAGTCTGGCGAACGAGAGAATAGAAAATGCCATCGCCCGCGGTCAGTTCAAGAACATTTCTAGGGGCAAGGGTATCAATGTGGAGAGAGATTATAATGCAAACAGTCCATTCCTGGATACAACAGAATATTTCATGAACAAAATCATCCAGAAACAGGAAATCGTCCCGCCATGGATCGAGAAGCAACAAGAGCTAGTCAAAGCAGTGGCTACTTTCCGTGGTAGGCTCAGGAACGACTGGCGCAGGCATGCTGCGAGACTGATTTCTAGTTCGGGTGGCAGTGCCGATGATCAGGTCCGGCGAGCAAAGGCCTATGCTCTGGCGGAAGAGATTGTCAACCCTAGGGTGCGCAGAGTCGAAAACCTCAGTTCTATCGCCCCAGATGGCAGTTTGACGAGTGTGACAGTCGAAGAAAGAATTGCAGCGGGTATCCCAGCCGAGACTTCCGAGTCGTCGGCGGCAACATCGTCAGGCACGCAAGCAGAGCAAGCACCCGAAGTAATACAGATCGAGGTGACTGAACAGCCAGCGGAGAGCGCGCCGGTTGCAACCACTGAACCAAGCACATCAGACACCACGGATTCTCCTAGCCGCCCAGCCGTCGACGACTCAGCACCACCTATGCCGAGCTCCACCTCGTCACCGCCACGGCCACCGCAGCAACTACAGCCCCGACCTGTGAGGCCAGCTGCCCATGTCTTCCGCGACCCAGCTTGGGAAAAAGCTGAACTGGCATACCACACACTCGCTGTCCAGGAGCTCAACGCCCTCACGCGCTCCTATAACTTGATGGCTCCTAAGATCGCCCAGAAGCCTTACTACACTCTCGACCGAGAGTTGAAACGTTGCTTTGCAGACGTCGCCCCAACCTTAGCCGATGAGATCCTCGAACGCAGTCGCAAACCATTCGTCAAGATCAACGTCATGCCGCATCAAGAAGGAGGCGTCCTTGAACGATTCGGGGCTGGAGAGAAGTACCATGGCCACCACGGCAGGATCCGCGACGAGGGCCATGGTAAAGAGTATGGATTTCGGCAGTTTTGGAGAGATCTCTTTGGTGGCGGTGGGAATAGTAAGGAGAAGGAGAAAAGACGCGAAGAAGTTGTTTGAAGAATCCACTACAAATGTACTTCTTCCGCCGGCACTCCCCTGAAACGATGGGTGTTTTCTAGAAGAATCTACTCTCCTGAAGGAATTCAAGACGATATTAGCGACCACTGTCACAATCACGACGACTAGGTTCGACTCAACATGTACATCATGGTATACAATCACGATCACGAAGTTTGGAAAATGTAAAACTACAATAAAAGAAGAACGAATACGAAAGATTCTCAAATTTCAAAACACTATATCGTTCGCTCATTCAGAAACTCTATAGCAATTGCATACTAAAAACTATCAGGACCCCAGAGCCATGATGCTCTCCGATCAAATGCCACTCATGCGTGGCTCATGCATCCATCTTCAGTCGCTACTTCGCTAAATATCAGTCCATTACCCAGGGAGATGACCCGTCGTAGCTTCTTGGAAGATCACCTGGTTTGTTTCGTGGCGACGTCGAAGTTGTAAGTATGGTACAATAAATAGAGCAGACATACAATCGATCCCCCCATGGCGTGGCTTCGGTCCGCAATAGAATCGAGCTAGCCAGCTCCTTGTTGTTACCATGTTCGCCATAACTCTGTCTGCACATGCTAGGCGTGTCTTTGACATTGCAAACAAAGTCCACAAGTACAGTCTTCGGGAGAGTATTCGATGATCGTACTATAACTTGAATCTGCACTGGCGGCGGGTCGGATCACCTCACACGCTTTAGTAGACTGTTTATCCTGGTCCGGCTCCGGTGTATGTTTGGAGATGGAGCCGTATTGGGACGACCGGGTCGCGGGCCTCGGGACTGGTACTGGCTCCACGTATCCGCAATACTGGAGGCCGTTGAACTTGAAGGGGCCCTCCACGCGCGCTTGCTGCAAAGCCCGTTCGGCGTCCTCGTCGCTGTCATAGCTGAAGCGCCGCCTGACCATGTACCGGTAGATGGGGATGATGACGACGTGGAGCGACAGCAGAGAGATGACGACTCCGCAGATCGCAACGAGCAAGGCCAACGAGCCCATCAGGACCGGAGAGCGGCGGGCCTCCGCGGACCCAGCAGCGATGATATCGCGAGGGAGGTTCTGGATGGCGAAGGGGTTGAACTGGTCGACATATTGCATGACGGTGTAGGATGGGGCGCCGTGGGTTTGGCCTGGGTAGCGGTTGAGGTCAAGGTGAAGGTTGAGGTTGGTGGGCCACATGTTTGTAGAGAAGGTGTGGTACTGTGGAAATAACGGAGACGAGAGGTCAAAAGACGTCAGTGTCCTGAAGACGATATGATGGGCGAATAGGTTTGTCTATTGGATTCAGTGCAAGTGGGAGTTTGCGAGACCTTGAATGTGCTCCTGGAGAGTGCCGATTCATGTCGATTTATATACACGAAGATATATGAGGACCTGAGAAATGACTTTGGCGGTGGACCGCACAAGAAGACAAAAACACTCGTATGAGGATCCGCATTCCGTCATATCGAACGCGGCGTGGAGTATAGATCTCATGCAGTCGGATTTTGGTGTGGGATGGTTTTGTGAACCAGACATTGTATGTTGTCGGTCGAGCTGTACCTTTGAAAGTCATGAAAAACCTAGTCCAAAACTCGTGAGGGATGAAGGCATCACCCCAAGCAAGAATCCTGAGCCACTTGATGGGTGATATGGAAAAGCTTGTCGTGATTTCTCACCATGACTGGCTGGTTCTCCTCCGTTGCAAAATTTGTCCATCTGGTATTGCAAGAGAGTTCAGTATATCCGGGTCCTCCTTGAACTCAGCGCTATTAATCACATCTTGCGCCTTTGTCATGTTTCTCTCGATGACAATTCCAGGGATCGCGCCGTTGTTAATCCTTTCGTCCTCAAACCCTAGGATGCCGTTCCCACTCTCGAGAACTCTGGCTAAATATCTCATGAGGCTTGTCAAGGCCTTTCGTTTTCCGTCGCCATCGGATTCTTTTGTGTTTTCAAGAGTTGTTGAAATAATCGCAGGCATGTAATATGGCAGCACCGCAGTTTCGTTGTCCTTTCCATCGATATTAAGACCTCGAATGAGCTGATCTCTGCTTCCCGGATCCAAACCCTCAAATGCGCGGGAGAAGAGTTCAGCTTGTTCCTTGTCAGCTGTTCGGCCCATGGCCAGTAGTCGTAAAAGTGCTCGGTCTCTTTGATCGCTCACACTCAACCTACGGAATCCCTTCAGCGACAGCATATTGCCACGTTTAGTCAAAACTTTGTCGTAACCCTGCCTGAGACTAGCCTTCCCAGCTATGATCTCCAAGGACACTTCATGAACTGTTTTGAACGCCTGAAAGACGGGTTCGATCAAGTTTTTCGCGCCGGAAGAGTCAATATGCCCAGCTGCGCCTGCAACATCAAGCACCTGCTCCATGAATTTAAGCTCAAAAGCATGTTCATGACCCCTCATGGCGAGGAGGCCTTCCAGATTCACTGGGACACTTTCAGCCTGGGCTAGTTGCCCTGCATTTAGCTCCGAACCAAGTTCCAGGCCCAGCATAACATCCTCTCGTCTCTCAGGAGATAGATAGGCCAAGGATGGAACCATGCCAGCCTTTGCCGCTTCGAGTAAAAGGGCGTCGTGATTCTGATCAGGTAACCGCTGGTTGTTCGTAAAATAAAAATCCTCCTCCAAATTCGGATCTTTTCCCAGATCATTGATGATCATGGATAGAATCAAAGTAAACAGATCTTCCTCTGACTTCAGGCCACTGTAGAATAGTTGGCAAAGCCATTCAAAAGACTCTTCAGTTAGCCGGTATTCTAGCGGTTGTCCGCGAGTGAAACGTTGATAGTCCCTGTTGTGAATCCATCGTAGCGCGAGAACGCCGACTAACGTTCGGTTGATCTCGTCGTAGTTTGTGCCATACAATATCTGTGATGGACTGCGATATTGCGAAGTCCCATTTGCATAGCGTTGCTGGTCGGTGCCTTCAACGGCCCTTGCGCACTTCAGGCGTTCTAGTTCTGGTTCGAAAGCTTCTCGGATTTGGGTCAATATCGTAATTTCGTCCAACTCGAAGAACTTTCCTTGCTCTATGGTGCCTTGTAGAGAGCACCGAGGCTGGGATTCGGTCATCATCGAGAAGCTTGGTCAGTTGTCATAGTGCACAAAATTCCTTCTGTCGGAAACCGCTCCTGCAGTCAGGCATTATCAAGGACCGAGCTTTGTTCGTAGAGGTGACAATGACTGTTTGTCAAGAGGAAACAGTCATTTGCGCGTTTCTGATCGAGCTGAGTGATGTCTGCCGGCCTTAGCCCAGAGATCTTTTGGATCGAGGCTGTGCTGATGGAAGCGATTGGCCGCCCTTGCCCTCTCCCAGTTAAGACAGGAACACCTCGTGGTTGAAAAGGCGGTCACTTTTCCCTTTCACGCGGGGTCGATAATCGTCGACAGGACCAAAGGCCCAATAGAAGGAGGCGGTGTGGCTGAGGCTAGATTCTGGTAGCAACAAGGCGTAGCATGTCGATGTTCAACCTTCCTCTGGGCGATGCACGCGGGACAAAGTCGAAGCCGGCATTGCCCCCTCGCCCTAATTGGCTTAGTCTCTGGTACTGTATTGTAGCAGTATCAACCGCTCCCACGTCCGCTGTTTCACTTCAGCTTCTCCTCTGCACTACCCGTTTGCATCTGCCGGCATCCGACCTCATTTCGGACTCATATCGTTCCTCTTCTCTATGTCTATGCCTGCGGTGCTAGAAAATCTCCTGCCACCATCTCAAGCCTGAGACTCGGTACATGAACACTTCGCTCGCGCCGAACATATGCTTGCCGGATTGAGCTGGAATGGAAGTCAAGAGCGAGGAGCTACTAATGATAGTATCACTGTTGGTTGCGGGAGCGAGGAATGGCTCAGAGAACAAGGCACGCGAGACGGGGAATTACAAAGCAGAGCCTGCAACCAGTATACTGAATTCCTTCGGATGGGCACTCTGAGGGGAGAAAGTATCGGGAAGTGATCTTCAGGCGAGAACAAGGCAGGCCTACGAATACATACTCAATTTCGTGTTGCTCATGAATACTGTTGGCTGTGGGAAACTCGAGGTCAACTCCGGACGCCCTGTGTGATAACCTGATATCCCCATCACTGCCATGCTCAATGCCGTCGTTCACTTCTCAGCAGGATTGCTCACTGCCCCAGAGGACTCGAATTTTGTTGAATGTGAATCGAACGTTGAACGCAGGGGAATGCTCCTTGCAGAGTATCTAAGGCAACCGTAATGCAAAACACCTTGGCGCACTGCATGCTAGACAGACGCAGCGTCGTGGTCGCATTTCTATCACTGACACCACACCACCAAGACTATCCATCCGAGAAGCAAACCCCTTTCCATCCCCTTTCTCTCGAAGTGAGTCCCGTCTCGAACTATCATCCTCCCAGCCTTTCGCGGCGTTGCGGATCTCGGCGAGATCGGAATCATGAGTTCATTCGATGATGATGATGGACAAACCACTCGTCCCAATCCATACATGGCGTTTGTGCAGAAATCTGCCAAAAAACAAGCATTTCGTCGACCGTTTACCCGAAACCTCACCAACGAGATCAACCCATACATTCCAGTTCCTGGCCAGAATACCTATCCCGCGTCCACTCTTCTGCCCCGCGACCGCGGCCTCGGTTTCGATAGCTTCAACCGATTGGATCTTCCAGTCCGTCAGTTCGAGCCTGCTGCCGCTAGCTCCGGCCGCCGTGATGGAAACGATGCCAGCATCTGGGACTTTGACGGGCTACCAAGCTATCTTCGTCCTGGGAGTGATGGTGATGTCGTGCCGTTCTCTCCAAAGAAGAGAAAGCGATCCGGGAATTCCCCCAAGGGCCCAGGAAAAACCCGTTGTGATAGGTGATATTTTTCTTTCATCCTCTACAGTTCTGTTGTTTTCGAATCCTCTGCGTATACACGCAATGGGCTTGCGTCCTGCTGACTTGTGGTGCTCATTAGCACAAATTCTCTCAGGGGCCCGTCTTCCGATCGCGACTACAAAGCGAAGCGAGTTCAAATGACTCCATTGCCAACTACTCTAGAAGACGCCACTTTGGGCGACCGCATGTTGTGGTTCTGGAAATTGGAAGGAAAGAGCTGGTCAGCCATCCGCGCAGAATACGAGAGGCTCACCAAGAAGAGCTACCAAGAAAGCACTCTTAGCGTGCGATTCCACCTCATGAAGCGAAGCTTTGCTAACAACGGCGCCCTGGAGGCAAGTATTGGCCCCAATTTCCAATGCACTCTCTCATAACACCCTCTCAGTTGCCCGACGCGTACTATCAGCAATACCCCGAAGAAAGCTATCTAAAGGTCATCTCTAACCGGACACAACAGTATGTCGAGTATTGTGAAGTCATGATGGAAGCCGACAAAGAGATCGCCCCAAAACGGTTCGAGGCCGCTGCTCGCATCTTCCAGTCCCGAGGAAAGAACATCGCGCCCGCAGTCATCAAGAGAAAATTTGCTAATATGCAAGCGACGGGTGTGGAAGTTCGCCCGTCTGAAAGACGCCGTTTTATGGACGACGAAAAGCCCAACCAAGGGGGTATGGCAGACATTGCGCAGGAGGATCTGGCGAATTGGATCAATGAGGCGGGTGACAGAGAGATCACCGAAGAGGAGGTGACAACTGCAGGCACACAAGTCGAGGGGGCTGGCCTAGTCGAGTACCCAGACAGCGAATAAGCTACAATTAGTGTGCTGTGTTCCATGTCAGGAGAACACCGTGCTCTTTACATGAAAAGAAGCAAATCATGCTTGATGCAAAGGCGAGAGATCAACAATCAAATGAAAATCTAGCCGAGTGAGTCGTTCCATTCCAACGAGATACGTTGCGCTTGGTGGACTTCGTATTGCCTTACGTGACTTGACATATCACCCTAGAGATGAACCTGACGGCACCCTGATACTTATGATATCGTCAACCCTAACGACGTCCTCATGTTTATCTTACTGTAGCGTATGCAGGGCATTTTGGGGTTTCCGCTTGCTAAGTCAGGCAATCGGAAGAGTGATGATCAACTTCTGTAACGAGACCCGGTATTTCCCTTGCTCCCGCCTTATGACAAACATATCTGAGGAGAACGTCCAGTCGATCTCTCCGCATCTCAGTTTCTTGCGAGCTCAAACCGGGATCCATCACCAAGCCCTTGTTTTCCATCTATGACTCTCTCATGCTCGATAAATAGTGCATAATCGCACTCAGGCCTCGCCGATGCCAATACCCGGCGCCGAATCCTCATCTGAAACAAGTATCTCAGAATGGACAGTGTGAGAGTCCTCGAGCGTACTGAGTGGAGCGGCGAACCACACCAATCAATATTACTTGTGGGGAGTCAAGATGAAGCTGTTCTCGAGGAAAGCGTGCCTCCAGAAAATGCGCAGCCTGCCATGAGACCCGTGTCAAGAAAGAGGCAGACGAGCATCCTCCTATGCGCTTTTTTGGACGTCTTTGTTACTATCGGGCTGAATCAAGCCTACGGAGTGTTTTTGAACTACTACTTGACCGATGGTAGCAGTGAGAAGGATCCCTTCCTCTCAAAGAGCGAGGTCTCGAGCAAAGCGATGCTGGCCTTTGTCGGCACGATTGGTGCTGGCTTGACTTGGGGAGGAAGTATTTTCGTCAACCCTATTATGGCGAGATCAAAGGATCCTCGATGGATTACAGGCTGCGGAGTCATACTCATCAGTGTTGCCTATGTGATGGCAAGTTTCTGCCACAAGGTAGGCAGGTATCAGCTAGTGTGCGAGGTTCACCTTCTGATGACTAGCTAGGTATGGCAACTTCTCTTGACGCAAGGACTACTGTACGGAGTTGGGTCTTCTCTGCTATACTTCCCAATCCTCGCGGTGGCACCGGAGTACTTTGATGCCCACCGTGGCTCCGCCATGGGCTTCATTCTCTCAGCCGCTGGTGTTGGTGGACTTGTCTATGCACCAGCTGCTCGCGCGATGCTCGAAAATATGGGTGCAGCTTGGACGCTGAGGATATTTGGTCTTGTGAACTTCGCGATATGTATTCCTGTTGTTCTGGCCACGCCACCCTCTAGAAGCCTCGGCAAACGACCAACTCTGGTCGATGTTAAACTGGCGAAGAGACTAACATTCATCCTACAAGCTCTCGCGGCTATGTCGCAGGCGGCAGGCAATCTGGTGCCCCTGACATTCTTGCCCGAGTTCAGCACAAGGCTAGGCTATACTGCTGCGTTGTGAGTATCTCGAATCGTCTCATGGTCGGAGCTGACTGTCGTTGGCAGCGGTGCGGGACTGCTCTCGATCAATAACGCCGTCAATACAATCAGCCGAATATCAATGGGCTTCATTGCGGACATTGCTGGGAGACAAAACACCCTGGTCTTGAGTGTGCTGGGAAGTGCCGTTACCGTTGTGGCATTTTGGCTGTCTAGTGCATACGGCAATGACATGGGCCTCTGGATCACATTTGTGATATCGTACGGTATCTTTGCAGGCGGATACAACTCTTTGTTCCCCACGACTGTCATCGAAGTGTTCGGAGCCCAGGCGTATGCGTCAGTCAATGGATTCATCTACTTCATTCGAGGACTGGGAGCAATCTGGGGCTCCCCTGTTGGCGGCGCGCTTGTGAAAGGGGGAACACACCCTCATGCCTACATTTCCTTGATATGGTATGATTTTGGGCTTTTGTTGTTGTCAAGCGTCTGTGTCATTGGCGTGAGGGCATTGGACGCTTCTGCAAAGGGTGAATTCAAGCTCAAGGCCTGAGGCATGCCTTTACATGTGCCCTCCGTAAGAGTTCAATGGATCAATCTCAACTCCTGTCTTTTGCCGATACCGGGGTCTTTTACCCGGGGTGGCGTCCGGGGGATGAGTCTCCCCGCAGGAACTAAACAGCACTTAGAAGATGCTTCTCCAACGATCGTACCACCTGCGGCTTTCATGCTCCGCGCTCTGGCTGTGATCTCGCCTCACACCTATACCACCTACACCGTCGTCTTCGAGGATTGCAAGATATCGTAACTGGGCTCTTCAGAGATGACCAAGCTCCCTCTACGTTGCCTCCGTCATGTGCGGCCGAATAATCGCACTTTCAGCACCTCCAGAAGAGTCGCCGCCGATCATGTGAGAATAGTGGAAGTTGGCCCTAGAGATGGCTTGCAGAACGAGAAGAGCACAATATCCCTAGACACAAAGCTCGAACTCATCAGAAGGCTGGCACAGACTGGTGTCACACATATGGAAGCTGGATCGTTCGTCCCGGCGAAATGGGTGCCTCAGGTCTGTTGCCACCACGTCCATCCAGGTCTCTTGACACTGACAGAAAGCAGATGGCATCGACCGCAGAAATCCTAGAAACCATCCTCACAGATCCACCACCTGCACCTCATGGCATCGCCTATAATTACCTCGTCCCCAACATTCGCGGCCTGGAGAACCTCGTCAAGATATTCCAGGCGAAAGGCGCAAAGAATCCGACGGGGTATCCCACACCTCCCCCCTCCCCCTCAGCGGAACAATCAGAAGGGCAAACACCCGGAGCCGCCTCCTCCTCAGGTGCACCTGCCAACTCGACGGAGATTTCCTTATTCGCAGCGGCGACCGAGGCGTTCTCACAGAAGAACACGAACTGCAGCATAGCAGAAAGCCTGGAGCGATGCCAGCCGATCATGGAACTCGCGAAGCAACATGAAATTCGCGTAAGAGGCTACGTCTCTGTGGCTCTGGGGTGCCCATACGAAGGTCCGGACGTTGACCCACACAAGGTCGCCGAAATCACAGCCAGCCTACTGGAAATGGGATGTGACGAGGTCTCCGTGGCGGACACTACGGGAATGGGCACCGCACCCCGGACGCAGAAGTTGCTTCAGACGTTGAAAGAGGCAGGAATACTGGGTGAAGACATTGCTCTCCACTTCCACGACACGTTTGGGATGGCCCTGGTCAACACCGTGGTTGGGCTTGAGCACGGAGTGAGGATATTTGACAGTTCAGTCGGAGGACTCGGTGGATGCCCTTACAGCCCCGGCGCAACGGGCAATGTGGCCACCGAAGACCTGCTGCATTTGTTGCACAGCTTGGGCTGCGAGACGGGCATCGATGTGGTCCAAATGGCAGAGATTGGAGATTGGATCACCAAGCAGCTGGGCAAACCCAACAGCTCGAGGGCAGGAAAAGCCACATTGAGTAGGTTGAGGCAGTCGTGCTCATAGGGCTTAGAGAAAGAGCCACTAAGTATATGCACCTCTTTTGATCCAAGTACCGTCCATCAGGTCTTCTTTGTGTGTGGGTTCGTCGTCAGTTTCCAGCGGAGGGTCCACATTATGCGGACGCTGGATGTTCGACTTCGACCCAAAACATATCACCTTGACTCAGACGCCAGCTCCCCTCAATGTACAGCAACAGTTTGTAGATATGCGACCTTTGAAAGATGAAAGAGCCAGACCACCATCGCAAAATAGAGAGTTTGCACACCGGTTGCCTCAAAAAGGCTCAGGATTGTGGTATTCTACGCCGCTGGATGGGAGTGCTCGCACGGCTGGGCGTACGGGTCTGGCAATCGGTCTGGAAAATCAAAATGTTCAAGATCCATTGAGTGAGAATGGGGCATACCAGATCACCTTCAAGGAGGATTTGCACGAAGGGATGTATTGTATGTGAATTGCTCTAGCTCTTGTCCCAGCTCCAGCCAGAGTGCTGTCATGTCGTTCTGATCATAGTCTCATCCCAGTGCTTTCTCACCATAACCTCATCAGTGTGCGATGCTGTTCGAATTGTCCGACGCACGAACCAGCTGGTCCAACCCAAGTACGAGCCAATGGTGTGCCTTTCTAGAGGTCATCGTAAGCATCAAGTACAACAGAGACAGCATCAGAGTTGCCCGTCGTGAAGATATTTGAGAGTAGCTCATTTCCGGCTCTCGCTCGACACACTTGCTTCAAGCCGAGTGCAGATGAGGAATGGATCAGGCCCAAAGTAATCGTCTTGTAGTCCGACTGTGCCGTTTGCCTGTTCGATAACCTTGATAGACGGATGTGTCTTTTCAAGAAGACTCTGGCTGAGCTCGTTGGCATGGTCCCTCGCAAATATCACGTACTGAATTTTCAACGTCTTCAATCCGTCACATTGCGACAGATCCGACTGCGGAGAGGTTAGAGTGATTTCGCCCACGCCCGTAGCACCTGGAACGGGGTGGTCACTGGTGTACGGCGTTATTCCGCTCCTGTAATGACCTGGGTCGTTGCAACAGTGGTAGCCTTTTCTCGTAAGATACCAAGAGTTGTCCTTCTTCGTCGCCGTAGCCATGGTTGTGCAAGTCTCGGAGTATGGAAATAGACCGAGAAAGTGACTCGTGTCCTCTGTGTTTCCTGTTTCGGATCAGAAATCGACGAGATTATCCTGATCGATGTGTACCACCAGGAGGACAAGTGAACAAAGATGGATGAGGCCTCGCCTTTGGTGGGACAAATAAGAGAGATGAGAAATGAAACGTTGCGTGGGAGAGATATAGGTGAATCAGGTGTCATTGAAACTCAACTCGATGAGCATGTAGGGTATAATAGATCGACCATGGTAACCGCATACATCAGCTGGAGAGTGACAATTCATCCATGCGCGTTGCATTATGAACCATGTCTGACACTAAGAGCTCAAACTCTTCACTCACTCGCTTCAGACATTGTGCCAATATGCCTTCCCAGTCCTCGACGTTAGATCCACTGAAGACGATCTATGCTTTCAGCAGAGAACAGGCGTTACTTCAATGGACCGGTTGTGCTTTTATTTGACAATGCTTGACAGTCACCTCGTCCCTATAGTTCTTTAGCAATCATTCGCGGAGCAGCTGGATCCATTTTCGGTCATCCATAACGATGATTTGGATCCTCTTCAGGCCTTTTCCCTCCGGAGGACGCCATGAGAGACGCAAAGGCTACTTCTGGAGTGACTGCCTTGGTTCAAATCCAGCCTGGTGCTCTTGTACAGTGTCCTTTGAAGCTCATCACTAGTGGTGATAGTCCTCGAGAGGTATGGCTCCCAACAGTCATCATCGCACATAAACAAGCAAGACAAGATGGTGTTCTTGCAATCCGACCGGTAACGAAGTCGGAGTTGGGTCCAACTAAAAATGGCTAAGAAGAAACGGAAGCACGCATATGTGAATATTGCTCTGCCGTAGCGCGTATTGCGCGTATAGCCTACGGTCGTGCAAGAAGACTTTTCTTTTGTCGCTGCCACCACCTGACTCATACTTCAGGCCTAATCATATTTGGTTCTTCATGTGCTTTCTATACATGGACAAGTCTTTTGATGCTTGATCCATGTCCGCCCGGATTCGCACAGCCTCAGTGGGAAATCCTCATGCTCAACAGCCACGCTGAGCTAGATAATACCGTTTCAGCCTTGCGCCGTGCAATGCAAGGTGCACCATTGCCCACATGGGTGCTTTCGAAGAGGCACGTCCTGCCGTCGACGATGGCCTCAAGCTTGAGAAAAATGCCGGGCTCCTGATGGCAGTATGTATTATAGACGAATCTATAATGTTCTTGATGGTAGCTGTCGAGTGAGTAATCAGCTGACGGTAGACACAAGACGAATAATGCAACAATCGCCTTCAAAGCCAATACCGAGCGACTGTATATGCCCGAGCCGCACTTCTATAAGCACTTTGCGAAACAGCCGTTTCAAACGTCTCCCGCAATCAATCGAGGATACTGGCTCCGCATGCGGGCGGTAGAGTGGGTCGTTCGCCAATTTCTTGAAAAGCCGTCTGGCCAGAGAAAGGTCATTATCAACTTGGGCTGTGGCTAGTAAGTACTCATGGGGCTGCCTCTTAGACCGATTGAAATGCTGATACATCAGCGATCCAATGCCGTTTCAATGGCTCGCCCGCGAAAAGCCGCTATGCTCCAACACGAAATTTATCGACGTTGATTATGAGCTTCTAATAGAAACCAAACGCGATATTATTTTCAGTCGACCAGAGATGAAGGGCTTGTTGCACTCCGTCATGACCAGTTCGAGCGACATTTGCCCTGGGATCTTGATTGATAGCCAGGAATACTCTGCCCTTGGCTGTGATCTTCGGAATCTCCGAAAGCTGGGCAGACTTCTGACTTCTGTGGTGGATCTAGAAGACAGTATGGTGTTGTGTGTAGCGGAGGATAGCACGTGCTTCATGCGCACAGATGATGCTAATGCTCTCATACAATGGAGTTCTGTTCTCTCAAGGGGTATAACACCACGCTGAGCCCAACCCTAATTCAACTCGTTGACCTTCAGGATCGAACTAACAATACTGCAGACGTGACTTTTTGCGCCTTGGAGCCGCGCAGTCCCGATCAACCTGACAATGCATTTACAGCGAAAATGACCGGCTACTATGCTAAACAGGGGACACCTCTAAGATCTATTTTTGAATACGACGGACGACATACCCAAAACCAACGTTTTCGCGAAGCTGGATTTCCTAGCATTGAGTATCAGAATCTCTGGGAGTTATGGGCAGACTCAAGATTTCTATCGCCGTCTCAAAGAATGGCCTTGGATTACATTGAGCCTTTTGACGCTTGGGAAGAGTTTGCTCTTCACGCTAGCCATCACTGCCTCATTGTGGCTCACAATCAGATGGACCCATTCTTGCCCCAGCGGATAATCTCCCGTCGAAACTCTGATGCGAGTGATGCTTCAGACATATCTGCAAGAACTTCCTCGCCAAACAACCCAGATTCACAACTGACTGCTTTTCGCTACTACAAAGCCCCAGGCAACCTTTGCGAGCGTCATCACGGTTCCACCTACCCAATCCCTGGCCAAGATGCGATCGCAGTATACGGAGGCCAAGGTCCTACCTCATGCCGAGCGACAAGTGCAGTCTGTAGGCCACGATATCTTCGTGATGAGACACCGACAGTTTTGCCTCCTGAAGTAGGTGCTCGCTGCTGTCATGTGTGCACCGCAATGATCAACGGCGATAACATTCTGGTTGGAGGCCGTGCGTTACCGCACCAACCCCTACGAGACTGCTGGTTACAGAAGGGCAATACCTGGCATCGCATTCATGATTTACCAGAGCCTCGGTATCGATGCCGAGTGGTCCCTGTCACATTGCCTGACAACCTGTTCGGTGCCGTCTGTTTAGGCGGAAAAACAGGACCTACAAAAGTGGCCACTGACATACTTCTTTGGGAGCCAAACAGAGGCTGGCGTGTCCTTCGGGCCTTGATCAACCAGCCAGTGCCTCGATTTGGTCCGAACTTTATTCGCCTAGGCTTCAACCACGGTGTGTTCTTCGGCGGAATGCGACAGGATGGAGTAATATGTCAAGATTTCTGGCGATGGAGGCTTGTCATACGCGACAATGTCGTAGTAGGCATCTCGTTCCGTCCTTCTCATGCCCTGGACGCCAGCGCCGGAGCCTACCCGTGGTTCTCCCGCTTTGGTGCGTCCTATGGTTTTGTCCAGGACAATTTACTGATCATCGGAGGAATTGCAAAGGGTGGCTGTATTCCCAAAACATATGAAATACTGTCCATGACTGGCAGTTTTTCTATTCTTCATGACGAAGGAAAAGAGCCCAGCCTCCGTGTTACCTCGGTTGAACCGACCAGAGATTCGGATTGCCCTCGACCATTCTTAATTGGCCATTCGACCCACAGAACGCAGGCTGGCATGTTCGTAATCATCGGAGGAGGGAGTACCTGTTTTCATTATGGTACTTATTTCAATAAAGGTATATGGGTCTTGCACGATAAGGAGGCTGGTATATCAGCCGATTGGGTAATCGTCCCGACGCGGCCTTCTGTCCTCACCGGGGCCAGTTCAGAACCTAGTGTCAATGGTGGCGATCACCAACAAGACGGGTTTCTCATCAAGAGGGCTTTGATAAAGAATCAGCGCGAATTTCAAATCATGATACAGAAGCTGAGGCCAATCGTCATGCCAATGCTCGATTTCGGACCATGCATGCGACTCTGGTCATTGGAGCATCTTCAAGGCCGTAGCGGTCTTCACCTATCATCTGAGCCACAGACAAGAACCACCTCACGGAACGACAGTGGCGACTCTCACGACGTCAAATCAATGCTTCGCGAACACCTTCAGAGGGCCAGCATTGTATCAACGGACTTCTATCCTCATGGACTCTCCGCGACAGCACAAGACCTAAGGCCGATCAACCTAACGGATGAACTGCCGGAACTAGCATACGACTTTCAGCTACCGTCCGAGATATCATGTATTAAGCCTCTTGTCCACTCCACCCTCTTTCATATTTCGAATGGTATCAGCACGTTTCTCAAGTACGACGTGATGGCCACGATACTTGTTCAAGTCCGTGGAGCGAAGAAATTGGTGCTCCTCCCACCGTGTGACCTCAACGAAATCGGATATGCTCCCGGAGCGGTACACAGCAACATGCGTGTTTTTAGCAATACCGGGGCCGGTCAGAGGTACTCATTACATCCCCCGCCTAGGACAAGTCCACACCTTGCCATACTGAAGGCTGGGGAAGCTTTGTTCATCCCGCCATTCTGGTCGTTTGCTCATGTACCCCATTTTGAGCGTTCGAATGTTGCGAAGCAGACTAGCCGAAACTTCAACTCTGATGGCAATATATCCAGGAGATTGAGTTATGCCGGTTCCGACACTTCAAATTCGTCTTTTTCAAGTGCATCAGAATTCGCATACGAGGATCCTAATCTCGGCAGTCGACCACCTCTCTCAGAGGACAGAATCGTTCGAGAACAGGCTTCTAACCTTGACATCGCGGTCAGCATCACTTTCCGCACCCTCGACTCATGTGCATATGCTTCGTCTCCCACATCGGCTGGAAACCTCGCTCTTGTAGCGTATGAAAAGGGCCGCCAGGATATGGAGAGAGTCTTGGAAAGGTTTACACGCCACGAGACTCACACGGCAAACGGTTTGATGCGTGATACTGATGTCAATGGAAAGGCGCACTCGGGTATCACTCTGAATGCCTTGCCGATAGATGTTACAAAAGCTTTGTTGGAGCGGCTAGGCAAGGAGCTGCTTTCGAAGGCGGAAGCTTTGTGAAGAAACGAGTCTGCAAACATCTGTGGTCGTGACGTGATTTTTTCTGTTGAATATTGGGAGACCACACCCAATCAGGGTGAGTCAGCAAGAGCACACTCGTGGCGGGTATGTTTGTCAGTCCAGCTGTGACACCGAAGCACTACAGGTAACAGTATCGGCGCTGACCAGGAGCATTGAATGAAAGCTTCACCCTCTTCTAGAAACAGTCTCACGAAGTCCACGGCGTCACTTCAATACAAACATGTCAGCAAATTCTTCATGCCTGTTCGCTCCCAGGGGGCTATAAATGACATCTCATTACGTCTCCTCTCCCACCTACACCTACCACTAACTTCGAGTTCCTGTATCACATCAGCAGACTGGCCCTTGATCACGCACAGGATCATCATCTACTGCATCTCACAGCATGCCCTTCTCACAAGTCAGGAGCAGCCCTGGAAGGGATGGAAATCGACCCCCTCGCCTTCCGACAGGCTTAAGATACGACCTGGTGCCGCTCTCATCCCGTCCACGCAGTCGTGGTCCTCAATCTCACCACTCTGGAAGTGACCGCCGACCACTTGCCCCCGTGCCTGAGCGTGAGCGCGAGTACTCGCCCACTTCAGAGTTGGACTCGGACTCGAGCTCAGACTACGTATACGGACGTCCACCACGCCACCCGGTCTACCGCGCTCCGTCATCAACAAGTTCAGGGTTGCATTGCACGCCTTGGATCGTCAATATAGAAACGATCAACACCACGCACAGGTGCTCGGATGCACATTTCTTCCGCGACCCGATCCAAGTGCAGCCCGGCGAGGTTGGCACGGTCGCCCTCCCCATCCTCCCTCGCAGCGAGCCCTTCGGCATCGGCCTCTCGATCATGACGCTCACGCCGACCATGTTCACGCCAGGCGCACCGTTCTCGGAGCTGAACTGGCCCGTGCTGGCCGCTCAGGGGTTTTACAAGTTCGACATCCACGTCGGCCACGTCCACGACTCGACGGACGCACCGGCGCTGTGCGACGGGCGCAGACCGACGCGGTTCAACAGCACCATTCGCCACCGGCTTATGCCGGGCGTGGATCTGCTCTGGTGCAAGTATGACGCCGACGTAAGCCCGTGGGCCATGTTGTGTACCCCAGCGTTCGAGATGGTGCACATGAGGAGCTGGGCTGACGGTGTGCGGAACAGAGTCGTCGGTCAGGCCGCAGATATGCCTGGAAGGGTTGCCTGGATAGAGCCGGGCGAGCAAAGTCCGCTGGAAGAGGTGTTGTATGGGAGGCCGTCAGGACGTTGACGTGCTCTGTGTGTATGAGGGGTGCTTGTCGAAAACCTACTCTATTCATACTTGCGAGGTTGAAGGGCGAGTGTGATGACCGATTTCCCAGATGACTCAGTTTTGCTGCTACGCTTGATCCAGGCTTATACCAAGACTGGTGATAGCTACTTACTAGTAAAAGAATCTCTTTGAAATGAGAAACGCCCGGTGTAATATACCGTATCTTTGACGTCTCTGGTGTATATGGCGATACGTCCTGACTGAAACTCTTGCATCCTGCCTGACTTTTGCTCCACCGTCCCGTGGCAACGGTCCTGATATTAAGCATTCCTACACTTCTAGAGGACGTAATCTCTGCTAGGGAACAACAGTCTGGACGTGCTCAATCCAGCCATTTCAAAGGGTACGGAAGAGGCCGAGCTTGGTTGGCCCTGAGGAAGAGGAATCACGACCACCAAACGAGAAGGAATCAGAAACGGGGAAGAGATCAAATTCAGATTGCTGCCTACGTTGACACAACGTCGATGGGCTTTCTGACCCCAGGCAGTGCAACCAATGTCACAGAGAATCATACTATCTCAGCCCAAAAAAATCCGCAATCCGCAAGAAGACCCAGTCCGACCATCAAACAATGGCTGAGTGAGTGACTGGCAACATGCCAGGCCTAGCATCCGCATTCCACCAAGCTTTCGGTCCGAGAAAAGACCTGAAATCGAATCGTGCTCGTACAGGATCGAATAAAAGGTTTCGACGTCTGCAATCACCACATAGCTCGGCAGGTGTCTGAAAACATGGCCTCAGCCACGAGAAGGACCAGGTACCGATCGTGGGTCACTGGCCTTTGGAGCGGGTCGACTTGGTGGCTTCGCGTTCTTCGGTTTAGTCGGACTGTTGCTGCGCCCTGGTTTACCGTCGCCCGTGTCAACGCTGTTACTCATGATGAGAATTTTTTGTAGAGTATAAATCTAGGTATGTAGGTGGGTCTCGACCTGAGTTTGAGGTTTGGCAAAGGCTTGTGGGGAACGTTCGAAGACGAATTGTGATCGGACAGAAGATAGTTGGGATGTTTCAGGTTTATATAGTCCTCGGGGGGGGGGGGGGGGAGGGATACAAACGGTCTCCTGACTCAAGAATTTACAAACACCCCGTCATGATCGCAACCATCACAGCCAAACAGGATTGTACTATTGTTCGATACGGGTGATGGGGACAAGTGCGTTTGATCAGACCGAGCAAGATGACTGGTTCGAGTGTCTGATCGATTGAAAGGAGTAGGATGGCTTTCTCGAGCGAGTAATGTACCACCAACTTTCGCACAGAGGCTAGGGAATACGTTGACATCGCAACCGGTAGTCATTGCCGCACGTCAACCTTGGACTGTATCACTCAACAGCCCCTCCCCACGCAACGGTTGTGGGAGCTGTACTTTGGCCTGACGATTGCCCCCTGCAAGAAAGTACCAACCGGAGTCCTTGAGAAGGGGGAGAAATCTGAGATGTGACAAACTTTAACCCGGATATCCTGGGGAGTGAACCCACCAAAATGAACATCGTAGGTGTCATGGTCTGAGACCTTTGAAAACGTCCCTCGGATAGCTGAAAGAGCCGACTTTTGCTTGAAGAACGTTGGGTATCTCTCGATTCTCACATATCTGCTCAATGCTCAATGTGCTGAGTCAGTCACCGTGCCGTGGCCATCACCAACCAGCGCCGATGTAGTAATATACAGCAGGCAATAATGCCACTCCTTGCTCTTTTTTACCAACTAAGAAATTATGCCTCCGATGTCAATCTCTCTGCAGCCTCTCTCGCTTTCTTCAATTCTGCCTGCTGTTTCCGGAGCGCATCCATACCGGCCTTAACGAGGACTCGATCTGCTTCAGACTTGCGTGCAGTATCCTGTAGTTTCCGTCTGAGTAGCTCGTCCTGCGGAGAGATTGATACATCCTTGCATGCTGTTTTGTGTTGAAACCATCTCCAGATTTCTCTTGAATGCTTGCCCTTTAGAGCTAGGATGCCATTTCTCGTGAAGATGGGCAACGGCGTGGAGGTTGAATTCAGATCGGTAGGTTCTTGTAGTTTGGTCTGTATCTCGGTCCATTCGTCTTCCAGTTTTTCGGAGTCGATTCTTTTTTGTAGCGTTTCTAACGCGGCTTTATCGGTGCTCTCGAACGTCAGCTCTAATGTTGAGGCTTGTGTATCTTCGACCCGTATAGGTAAAGAAGGGTTATGGTATTTCAGTCGTGGAAGGCTATCCTTTGCGAACATTCTGGGGCCCTGATTGCTTAAAGACCATTCTGTCCGGGGATATTTCATCGTGAGTCGAGTTAATTGAGGAGAGGGAGGAGGAGGGAGGACAGCCGCGCCTTTGCCATACTGAACCGCCAATAACTGGAGAGAATAAGCTTGAAGAAGATAGAGCAGGTCATCCAAAACTCACTTTCTGTTTCTTGTTAGCGGAGAATTACATCTCAAAGTCGATTAGAACTCACAGGCTGGAAGTTTCGCATGCGCTTTGCAAGATTAACCATTTTCGCAGTTCACTGTCGAAGCTTCTTGATGGGATGGGCTTGATAATAACACACAAGAAAAACTGAACAGATATCACAGCCAATGTGTCTTCGCAGTTCATCCACGCCGCAGGTGCAAATTTAACCACAGATCCCAGAGCAAACTGACCATCATCATGAAGCCGCCATCAGCGCTTTCGCATGGGAATTTCCTGGCACAAACACGCCGAGACACTTGCGGAGCCTCACCAGCCTTGTCTCGGCGTGTTTGTAAAAGAGCGGAGACTCACTAGACTGGCTCGGCAAGGCCAGGAACAAAAGGGGAGCCATTCTATTTTGACCCGCGTACCTGTACGCCTGCTCAGTCTTATAGAACGATCAATGGATGAGTACAAGTACAATCACACATCTATTGTTGCATATGGTCAGCTGGGAGGAATGACTAACGGCCGTGGTCCCCCATACTCTCAGTCATAATAGCAAAGGGTGTTCACTTGTGGATGGACTGCTAGTTTGTCTGGTGCTGTCGTCATTTCGTCTTGGTGTGCAGAGTATCACGCCCGTGCAATGTTTGTGGAATGAATTCATTCTCTTTGATAGCCACTAAGCGTTGACACCGAAGATTTTGAGAGTCCTTTCTGTCTAAGGCAGCGAGACTCATACACTCGCATCAAATGGACCTGGTGGTCGAAACCCTCCACATCAATCTGTTTCGCTGATGTATGATATGGCGAAGACCAGAGGAAGAAGCTTCCATCTGGTGCTTTGTAGAACTCAGAATAAAATTGCGGCGCCCTTGGACGCAGAGTAGCCAAATCGGTGGCCTAGACCCATACAAGGATCTTTCAGCATGTTTCTTGACTTGTGAGAGGAGCTCTGATCCACATTGACATCAAGGATTCCTAATATGTGTTCTCGGGGAGGTATTCAGGAGACATTGGGGAAGAGCATATGAGAGCAAGTAATCGACTGATTGCGGAGCGGATCGAAGTCCTGCGACGGTCAGTTCATTTGCTCTGTCAAAAATGGAGAATGCTTCCCCTGTAGTGGTTGGTGCCCTTGGTGATGACTGGAAAGTATGGCTCTAGCACTCGAGAAAGCTTAGCACAACTTGCGAAGAGGGCCCTCCGTAGGACACACTTTCAGGAGGGAGCCATGAAGTTTCTCGACGAGGCCTCTTGTAAACAAGGTTGTTCAGTAGTGGCAAGGTGAAGGATTAAGATCCCAACGAATACATAATCCTCAAAGATATGCCACTGGTGAGTTATACCCTCACCTTTGCTGCATCAATTGCAACAAATCACTTGAAGCACAGCAGGCGTTGAGAAGAGCGATATGAATGAATGTCTGAAGAAGGATAGAGCAGTAGGGCGGGTCTCATAAGGGTCCCGGGAGGGCAAGAGGACAGGGGTCCGCTGGATCGTGTGTCAGGCACCCTTGACATCGGCAGGCCAACAGAATCAGATGCAAAAGAAGAAACTAAGAAAGAAAGACCAAGTAGGGTTCGAAATGAATGTAACGGCTGTGCCCGATGTAGTCGCTGGAGAGCGCAGGCATGGTCGGACGTCCTTCCCTCCTCGTGACTCCAGCCAGGTAGAGTCTTCCAGTGAAGTGTCTTTTCACAGCTCTTCCCTTCTCTGTTCAATCCTCTCTCCTCCCAACATCATCCTTTCATCAAACATCCATCAAGAAAAGACCTTTGTAACTCTCTTCTCATCGTTGAAACCGTTCCAGCTTGTCCAGGCTATCGTCTGCGTGTCCGTAAGGACGTCGTAGGAGTACGCTGCCGTCACTCTGAGCGGTCTCCATACTCACTCCCTTCCTTCAACAACCTTGATCATCACAATCAACTTTCATCTTCCTAAAGCATCTCTTCAAACCCTTTCCTAGGTTTCCTTGAGACAACCATCTCAAGTACAGACTATTCTTCATCAATCATGGCCGACACCGACGCTGGCACTTACCAGGTCGACGTCGACTCGCCAGAGGCAGTCCGTATCTTGACCGTCCTGGCTCACCCACAATACCGCATTGTTCAAGTTGGACACAAGCCAGACATTCCCATCTCGCATGTTGCAAATGCATTTGGCTTTCTTGGTCTCGTTCAGCTCGTCGGCTACCTCTTTCTCCTGGGCTACAATGCCTGGGTCAGCACTGCAACGGGCAGAAAGGCCTGGGCCGCATGGTTGTTCGCTATCGGACAATGTCTCGAGCAACGTGAGTAAACTGTCACAGCTTGTGTAAAAAGGCTTCTGACAAGTGCACAGTTGGAATGGTTGCGGATTCGTTGTGGAGACTGATCGTCGGTTTTGCACGCTCTGAGCAACAACGCCAGAGACTTCGTCTCATGGGCGATGGTGACAAAGTTCCACTTGTTGATGTCTTCATCGTCTCGTGTGGCGAGCCAAGAGACATCATTCTTGACACGGTTAAAGCGGCCCTCCACATCGACTACCCCAGAGACCGATTCCGAATAATCCTTTCCGATGATGGGAACGACAAAAAGTTGAGGAACGCCTGCGAGGGCATCAAGAAAAGATACCACAACCTCCACTATTGGGCCCGTGATAAGAAGGAGGAGAATCATGGGTACAAGGCTGGCAACCTCAACACGGCCATGAGACATTTTGATGACCCGGCTGAGTTCAAAGCTGTCTTCGATGCTGACATGATTCCGGAACCTGGTGTCCTCCGAGTGCTCCTCCCGCACATGTTGATGGACGATCGTGTCGGCATGGTGACATGTGCCCAAGTGAGTAATCAGATCCTTTTCATCGTCGAAGCATAAACTGACATTCGATATCAATAGCACCACTACAACATCCCTGACAATGATCCATTGTATCAGGCAAATGTGACTGGCCCAGGTGCAGACGATGGTATTCGTGACAGCGTGGGCGCAGCTTGGTGTCCAGGTAGTGGTTTCATCATTCGACATGATGCATGGTTTGACATTGGTGGCTTCCCCGAATTCTCCATTACTGAAGATCTGATCACAAGCTGGCTTCTCCACGGCAAAGGCTGGAAAATCGCTCTGGTCCATGAGGTTCTTCAATGGGGCATCCAACCTGACTGCATCATCAGCCATCTGAAACAGCGTCGTCGTTGGGTGAGTGACACCGAACACAGCCAGTGAGCAGATGACTAACAAGGCTAGTGGACTGGTCATATTCATGACGCTTGGACACTGAAATTCTCTTTCGACCAACGCGTCCGAGGTGCCTTTCCCATTCAACGTATGGCCATGTTCCACCACTGCCTCCGCCCATGGTTGTACACTGTCTGCAGATTTCTTGGCCTTTTCTTGTGCTTGATTGCCATGGCAGTTGGACCTGTTGTTGCCACTCCTCAGGCAGATTCCCTTTACATGGTGACCTTGGCTCTGGCCTGCCGGTGGGTGTTTACTGCCTGGTCTGACTGGAAGTCCGGTCAGCGTGGCATCTTCTGGAACCTGAGACGACGCCAAGCAACAAATGCCTGGATGGCAAACCACTTCACCCGAGACGTTTTTCGAACCATAATCCCTTCTTCCTGGTGCTCCAGGCTTGGTTTTGAAATCAGTAGAGCTGACAAAACCTCGACTGGAGTCAAGGAACGATATGCGGACAAACGCCCTAAAGGATACAGGGAGCGCCTTCTCAGCATTCAACGTCGCGAGGGCATTTTGTATCATGGTGTTGTCGCCGTCGTGTACATTATTGTCGTCCTGGTCGTCCTGGTCTTTGAGTGGCGCAGCAGCTCGCCAAATTTCTGGTACCGCATCATGGCTCGAATCGGGTTCCCAGGGATGGGCATGATTGAGGTGGTTCCTTTGTACCTGAGTCCCATCATCTATGCCATGTTTCCACCAACAATGCCAAAGCGCCGTGATTGCATGGTGTACAATGCAGAGTTGAAGGTGTGGCGTCCAGCTGAGGAGTTCAAAACCATTGAGTGGACAAGAGAGTCGTGGTGGCTGGAAGTACCACATGCTTTGGCAATGACCTGGCTGCCCATCTGCATCATGTACCTCCGTCTCTTTCTGGCCGGGGAAGGCAACGAGCTTGCGTAAAGCATGACTGAAGAAGGTGGCAACAATTGTGGACAAGACTCGGCGTGTGTGGGAGCACCACCACAACCAACGCAATTGAGCCATCAGGCAGCAATCGGTGAGAGAGGGAGGAGGCATGGTGCTCGCAGGGAACACATACAAGAATGGGCTTGATGAGGCGGCAGTATACACTTTACAATTGTGAATGTGTATTCGGCGAAGGTGTATCGAGAAGAGTGGCAACATGCACAAGTGTGGGAGTATGAAACAAATCACAAGGCAGGTGCTTGGCCGGTCTCACGCAAGGAGACAGACAGACACAACAACGTCGTCAAATGTACTTACAGCCCCAACAGAATTAGCTCAATGTTCCAATGAACAAAGCAGGAGTTTATTGCTGAATCAGGCACTCCTCGCATTATCCAGCATCTCCTTCGCTCTCAGCTTCTCTTCAAACTCGTCGGGATCCTCCTGCGCTCTCTCCTTTCTCCTCTGCGGCCTCAGGCCCAATTCTGCCTGCTGGTCCCAGATACGGTCATGTCTTTTGGCCCACCGCTCTCTTTTCTTCTCCATTTCCTTCTCAGACGGCCGCCATTTGCTCTTGAGGATACGACGAATGGCTTCAGGTGACACTTTGAAGTGCTCCGCCAACAGCGGCGTGGAGTATCTTTCTGGATCCTGCTCGTGTAGGGCTCGGATACCTTCCATGGTGTCTGGTGACAATTTCTTCCTTGGATTCCATCCTGCTTCACCAAACTTCTTCTTCAAAGCATCTTTCTGGGTTTTCCAAGGCTCTGACTTCTGCTTTCTAGGTTCGGCCGAGTCTCTCAGTCCAATGCGTCTTTTGCCTCCACTGTTCTGATCTCCTGCGTTCGGAGAGACCTGATGTTGCGATTCGGACTTGTCTTGTAACGACATCCTGCCAAGCTCTCCCTGAAGCCGTACAACCTCCCCTCTGGTTTCCGTGGCCGAGGACATCCCAGAGCCGGATTCCTCGCTATTTTCGCCGCCAAATATTGATCCTCGCCCTGAACCTGGCTCTTCTATGTGACCAATGTCAAGAGACGCAGTAGCCCTACAAGAGGATGACAGCCTCCGCCTCTTGGACACATGGCCATTATGACTGGGTGCAAACACGAAAGACACGGATTGGCAGCGGTGAAGAGCTGTTGATACTGAGGAGATCGGCGACTTGAATGAGAGGACGGAAGGGAAATATACTTTTTGAGGCTGTGGTCCGCAACGAAGGGTGTTTAGAAGGATTGAGCTCGATCGGACGTTGAAAGACATGATTACGGAACTTCACAAGGTGTGCTACACGCTCGACCGTGGCCTCGGTCCTTGATTTCGTAGAGAAATACTGTGAGTGCATCGGTCTCTTGGAGCGCGCAGGCGATTATTTCATAGTTTGAGATGAAATTGCACCATGACTAGCCGGATCGCCGCATCTAAGCGAAACTTGACTCGTGACATACGTTGACATCAACACTATCCGCTAATCAGAGAGACGATTTGACAGCCGGTTTCGCCTCCCATACCATGCCGTCCTCCCTTCATCTTGAGGCAGGTCGCTGCCGTCAAGGTCCCGATCCATTTTTGAAGATAAAATGGCATGGCCGAATCCCTTTCGGCGGAGGGACGAGCGTACTCGGACCTGCTGGGGCTACACCTTTCAGTTGACCTCGGACCATCTTACCGCAGAGCAGGCACATCCTATGAAATACACCTATGATGTGTTGGGGGAGGAATGCTATCAGATTTTGAATCAGCTGGAGCCGCAGTCGAGTAAACCCGACACCATAGTAGCAAAGGCTGAAGCAGAAGAATCTATCAAGAGCCCAACCTCCCACCAGCCAAAATTGAAGCAGGACCTGTACATCCTTCTGAGGGACAACAAGGACAAGCATGTAAAACTTCGGCAACTATGGGACGAAGCAACAAAAGTCCCAGACTGGGTTGACTGGGATCAAATCGCCCGTGGCCAAGACGTTTTCTATCGATATGGCGGCGCCACCTTGACCGGTCTGGCGTTTCAATCCCTCCTCGGAGGCATGGGCGCCAATCGTGTAGTTGAGGTTCTTGCCAGAACAGGTGGGTTTTCCGTCAAGGTCGCACGCCACCGGCTTTTTGAGACGACGCAGCACATTCTCGAATGCACGAGATCCATAGAATCGATTCGACCCGACGGCACCGGCTTCGCATCGACTCTCCGCGTCAGGCTGTTGCACGCCGCAGTCCGGCAGCGCATCACGAAACTTGCCGAGACGCGGCCGGACTACTACAGCGTCGAACGATATGGCGTCCCGATTAACGATCTGGACTGCATTGCAACGATCGGCACCTTTTCAGGCACCATCGTCTGGCTGTCTTTGCCTCGGCAGGGAATCTGGCTCCGCGAGCAGGAGATCGTCGACTACATCGCACTCTGGCGGCTCATCGCACACTACATGGGCACGCCGACCGAATGGTTCGAGACACCGGCAAGAGCCAAGGCGATGATGGAGTCACTGCTCATGAACGAGATCAACCCGAGCGAGACGTCGAAGATCCTAGCGGCGAACGTCATTCGCTCCCTGGAGAACCAGCCGCCTACGTACGCGTCGAGGTCGTTCCTCGAGGTCAACGCCCGCTGGCTGAACGGACGTGACCTGTGCGACGCCCTGGGCATTGGTCACCCGTCGGCGTGGTACTGGGCGCTCATGGCGGGACAGTGTATATTCTTCATGTCGGTGTGTTACGTGTATAGATCCATACCGGCGCTAGATCGACGGAAAGTCAATGCTTTGCGCAACGTGTTCTGGACAATGATCGTCGAGGGCAAGTTCGGCTTGGGCCAGGAAACCGTGTTCGACTTCAAATACATTCCCGACTACAACGTCCTCACGGCCAAAGGTGGCGACGAAGAAGTCAAGGCCAGAGACGCCAGCGTAGAGCGAAAGTATCGCAACACACTTCTCGTCGCCGTTGGCTGTGTCGCTCTTGCTGGCTACGTTGGTTTCAGGATCACGTCGACGGTTTTTGCACGACTATTTTAAGACGATAAAGGTACATGCAGAATGACCGTGACGGACGGACACCATAGACACGAACTCCGTTAAACCTCCCAACCGAGTACCCACTGTCCCGCGTCGAGGACCGAATCGACATCCGCACCGGATCAGAGCTCTATACACGAATCCACCCTTCGTACTTTGCTTTACCAGAATATCAACCACACCCCTTGAATCTTCCTCCGCAATCGACCATAGGACGTGTACAAACAGGGCTTCCCGTCCGCTCAGCCGTACTTAAGCCACGTGCCGTTCAGTTAGTACTACCGTGGGTGACCAGGTGGGAATCCTGAATGTTGATTGTTTTTTTTCCTCGTTTGCTTCGGTTCTGTCCATGTTGGCGATACAAATGTATTTGTTTCTTTTTGCTCCCACTTCTGATCAGCAAGAACTATCCACGCGTCTATACAATTTCAATGTGACTTATACTCATTTGCATCCGTTCACTCGTAATAAGTGTCTATCATACATATATACATACTTCATCTTTCTCTTTCACGGGAGAGCGAATTCAAGATCAAGATGCGAAATCCCCTTCGCACGTCCACCGCGATCCCAATAGCCGAACATGTCGAGCCTTAGAAGTAGACATTCCAACAGATTCACTTCTTCGTCCGCGTCTCCACTCGGCATAGTTTCAGTGGCGTATGACGCAGACCTCTGTTTCTGATCCTGAGAAAGCAGCGCGGCCACAAATCGCTTGACATCTTCTGTAAATCGTGATCGGAAACCCTTTTCAGAAGAATCTGCAGGCTTCCCGTCTTTTGGTTTCTGTTCTTTGCGTCGGTGAGCAGCAAATGCCAGAATTGTCGAGAAGATATGCTCGAGCGATTGTTGGATCTTTGACTGCCTCTTTCTCAGAAACAAACCATCCAAGATGCTGTCAAGCGTCCGTTCATGGAGAGCACGTAAATAATCTTGACTTTTGACAGCTCTGAGGGTTCTTTCGTAGTCCTTCTTGACAATATGAGCCCTGACGTCTTGCAGGACGCTGTCGAATTTCCGCCAATGCAACTCGATCGTCGTGTTGTGATAGTAATCAGCTAGCGTCGTGATCAGATGGTGCATTTCAAAAATCAGTTTATGGTCGCCACCAGTAATAGAGTCGCCCTCCCGAACCATACTTTCGGTCAATTTGTGTAGTCTTAACAAACGCATGAGTAGTTGAAATACTCGGTCATATTTGTCTAAGATTTGCGTCGTAAGGATTGTGCCCAAAACGTCATTAGGAGGCTTGTACTGTAGCCTGAGGAAGTCAAGAGCGTAGATTGAATCAACGTCTCGACATTTCTCAAGCTCTTCGAGAGGCATGTCTCGAATGGCGAATGAGATACAATCGTCAAGATTGCGGCGTTGACCTTTGGACAGACTGTCCGACAGAATGCTCATGAGAACCAGTCTCAACTCGGAGCTTGCAGGGGGCCATGTATCTCGAGCCTGGAGTCGTAATCCGGTAGCGACTCCTGTCCTTCTTCGAGTTTCGCCAGTGCTCTGTTCAGGGTCAAAGAGCGCCGTGCCTAGTCGTGAGCTGAACGATGGATTGCCCATGAAATGAAACTGGCGTTGAAGGTTTATATGCTCGATAAGATCGTACTGCTGGAAGATCAACTCAAGTACGGCATATGACAGCACCCGGTGTTGTGCTGATAAGAGAGGGCTGATAGAAAGAGGGAGAGCTTGGTCGATGTCAATTCGCAGAGGATTCTCGTCATGTTCAGACTCCCTCAGATATGACAAGACGTGACTGTGCAAGTCATCGTGGTTAAGATTTTTAATAGTGTCAAGACTTTCTTCAAAGAGGTTCGTATTGAACCTAAAGGGATCTTCAGGTTCAGACCGATCAATATCGAGGTCACTGAGCTCGAAACTGTCTGTTGCTGGTGTTACTAGCAAACTTGTTGTCGTGGAAGAACCCGTCGAACTAATCGACGATTTCCGCACATCTTCATACGCAGAAGAACGGCTGTGTAGTATACAGAGGCGGTTGAAAGCGTAGACAATTTCAAGAGTAGAAAGCTTGGAGTTTCCATATTCTGAAGTGGACAACACCGGACACTCTGGGTTATATAATCTCAAAAGTCGGAGACTCTCTCGCGTCTCAAGAACCACCTCAGCCATCTCGGTCTGTAAAATTGAAGTCCACATATTATGGCGTTCCGAGATCTGTGAGAGAAATAAGTCGTCACCGGTCGGCCCTGAAGAGCTAAGTCCGATCTCAGCACTAAGTTTTGCTAGGGCTGGCTGGGATGAGCTGGAGAATATTGACTGTAACACTGCGACCACTCGAGAATCGCAGGAGGACATCGCCGTCAAATGCGTCATTAGGCCAGTCAAGAGACTCTCTTCGGTCTTGTAGTTTTGAACGAGAGCGGCACATTGATTCAACATCGTGACCAACACTTCGACCTTGGTCATGATAGATTTGAGTCGCACCATGGTTGTGATCTCAGGTCGTGTAGTCTCCAGGTATTCATGGACGGAATACAAAGCAGCCAAGACTGAAGCCCCAAATGCGATTCGACAGGGGGAGCTGCGGCCTGTCGAAAAAGTGCATGTCTCAGATATGACCTTTGCGAAAGCACCGACCCGAGAGATTGTCTCAAAAAGGTCTTGCAGCAGCTGATGGCTGTATCCAAATGCTACAAGATGATCTACCTGCTTTCTGAACGCGTGCTGCTTCTCATCCCAGACGAAGATAGCAGAGCTTCTTCCCATGAGCAGCTGATAGAAAGCACTGAGCAAGACGTCTGGCTTCAAACCCTTCGCGGACATGGCTGAACGACTGGCACTAAGGATAGAGCTGAAAGCACGAGGGCCTGCTTCGCTCAGATAGCCAGACACTGGTTCTGAATGACGCCTGTCCAAGAATGTGTCCCAAGACAGGAGCTCAATGACTCTTCGTCTGCCGGTCACCTCTGGTAGTGTCCACAAACTTTCGACGTCGTCTTCGGCATTGTCTGCCTTCTGCTCACTAGAGCCATCGTCTTCGTCATCGGATGTAGTCTGGGAAGTTGGCGCTGATAGGTTCAGCAGTGGCACATCTTCCAGCTGCAACCGGAGAATGTCTGTCTCGAGATCTGGTATTTCTGACTTAGTCTCATTCAGCCGAAAGAGTCCACTCTCGAGCCTGCTATTGAACTGGAAGCCATCCCAGACTCGTTCCGCGTCCCCTGCAAGTGGAGGAATGACGGTGATCGCATCGCTCGAAAAGGGATCGTAGAGGATGGGAGGTGCCATAGCGAGTATTTGTCAACCATATTGACTGATTGTCGTATGGGCGCACACAATGTTAAGCGTACGTTCAGTTTAAACAGAGGAGTCTCTCAACCTCTTGTGTGTACCGTCCGCACTTCGTACCCGACGCGCAGCGCGTCGACGAAAATATCCAAAAGCAGCGGGTTTTGGGACCTTTCTCGGACGTTCAGACTTCAGCGTCTTGAACCGGTTCGAATCAAAGATCAACGACAACCTGTGCAAAATCTCAATTTGACCAGAGAACGACTTCAGTACAAGTATAACGCGACATTGACCACCGACCAAAACATGGCGGTCGAGGGACATCTCGATTAGAGGCTGGGAAGAACTCGACACCCCAACACACGGAATTTCGCTAGACAGACTTCGCTACTGAAAAGAGCAAACGAGAATAAAGGGGTGACAAGGAGACCTCCTGCTCGGAAAACGATGACAACAACAGTAACCGAGACTGTTGATCCCAGTTTGTGGCCTTCGCAATGGACAGACGAACAAGAATCAGCGCTCCTGCAAGCTATTATCCGGTGGAAGCCAGTTGGTATTCATAAACACTTTCGAATCATCGCAATACGAGACCATCTCCTGTCACAGAACGTGATCAATGGCGAGGACCCTCATACCACCATTGCTGGAATATGGGCCAAGCTTTCCATGCTATACGATTTGTCCAAGCTCGACGAACGGGAAAATGCCACCGTCGATATTTCCGACGACCCAGAGAACGAGACACTCTACTATAGAGATTTCGAACTACCCAGGGAAGATTTTGAGGAGATGATGTGGCAGAAACGCCTTGCGCCCGATGGGACACAAAGTCCCGAATGGTCGAGAAGGGAAAGCACGGTCGCCGACACGGATGAGCCACGGTCGAGTCCTATCCCGGCAGGCTCGGCTAGAGGAGGACGGAAGACTCGCCGAGGACGGTCTTCTCGATTACAGAATGAAGTTGAGACGGACCGAAGTAGTAGGCTAACGAGCAAAGCGAATAGTATTGCGGATGAGGATCAACCTATGGACGACGCGGGCGAAGACGAAGAAGACGAGCAAGCCACCGGCGATGACGAGGAAAGTGAGGAGGAAGAAGAGCAAGAGGAGAAGAAAGGATCTACGAGAGGCGGTCGAGGCGGAAGGAGAGGTAGAGGCAGAAGAGGACGAAGGGGAAGATGATTTGGCCATACACTCCAGGGAGTCCTAACAGTCTTATGTCCCCGTAGCTTTCCTCTCCGGTCGACCACGATCCTTATCCGAGGACCGTTGTTTCTTGAAACAACCAAAGCTATTTCTGCTGCCATCCCGGAGTTTCTTGAGCACGACTCGCATGTCGCCCAACTCCTGCTGCAATCTTGTCCGCGCTTCGTTGGTGGTTCGCTTATCCAGCTCCGTGTATATTTGTCCTTGAATCTCGCTGGCTTTAGCCGTTGCATATTGACTCATTGTCTGAGCTATGAACTCAGTGTCAAGGGTGGCTTGCATGAGAGCTGGAAGGGTATAAGCATTAGGCTTGCGTTCCTTGAAACCATCAAGTAGAGCCTGTGAGATGTTCTCGACAAGGTGTGACAATATTTCGCTAAGCAAGGCGCTGCTCGAGCCAGTGCTGGGGACCGTCGTAGATACTTCAGTATGGACCATTACCAGCGTCATAAGGGTGGCGTAGACGTAAGGTCTGACCTGGTCGGGTCGAGACGTTTTAGGGACCCAGTCCGGAGTATGAATACCTTCTTTGATGGTTTTTGTCAAGGTCGCGACAATTGGCCGCGTGTAGGACTGGAAGAGCTTCGCGTCAATCTGACCGAAAACGTCTCTGATCGTTTTGGATTCTTCGGCTAGCTTGACCGAAAAGGATGACTCAAAGACTTGAATGAGGGAGGGGACATGCTCGTTGCGCAAGGCTTTGAGATTCGACATGGTGAGGAGCATGCGGACATTCCTATTCGAGGCATTGATTGCATCTTGTGTGACCATCTCGTTGGGTACTGCGCCATCGGTTATACTGTCAAGGCTTGTTACCAAGACCCAATCATCCTCGTCACCTTGTCGCGGAGCTTCTGCGTTTTCTAGCATGCCACTAACGGCTTTGTAGACACTGCTGACAAACTGGGTACGTACCATCTGCAACAGCTTCGTGGAAGGTGGTGTGATGATATCTCGACTTCCTGGCTTGGGACTCGCATTCGAAAAATACAATACTTGCTGCATGCCGAGTAGGACCTTTCTTTCGAAAGCCTCGAAATACCCTGGCATACGTGTTTGGTCTCGCTTTTCTGGTGCTCTGACCCAGTCCTCAAGAGACTTGCAGCTCTCAGCATCCTTGCTCCAGGCTTCACAGACCGCTCGCATGGATCTCTCCCTTGCTCCACTAATCATGACTTTGATCTTCTCCGATGATGCGCTGTTACTGACTGGCCCAAGAGACACCATTTCATTGGCAGCAGCACCGACAAGCGCAAGAATCTTCTCCAGATAGTGCACCGCACTAAGTGCGTTCGAATGAGGAGGCCAGAATGCAAAGTCTTCCCATGGCTCACCTTTCTTTGCAGCAGCCGCTGGTATGTTCTGAGGATCAAGCACACCAATCCGACCATCAGTGGGTGAAAAAGCAGTACCAGTTAATGGCGTCGTCGGCGTGGCAGCGGATCCTGGCGCTGGGGAGAATAAGGATGAAATGTCCTCGGCAGGAGGGTCTGCGAAGAGTGAGAATACAGCATCTCTGAGTTGCCCAATCAGTTCAATCAGTCCATTGCTCAGGGCGCTGGCATTTGCTTCCGAGAGTTTATGATGTTTATTGCTCTCCCCTTCCCAACCCGAAGGCAGGATACTCTGCTTTGTCGAGTCGAGAAACGACTGGGTCGACTCCCAGAAGTCCACAACCTCTCCCAGCAGCCCATTCGACAATGACATCAGTTTGGTTAGGTAGTTCTGGATACAATGCCAAAAATCGATAACGTCGTCGGTATCGAGGGCTTCGGATCGATCCTTGGACGCTTGTCGTAGGAATGCGGCCACAACGTCGGAAGGAGGAGCATTGCCGGCAGCAAGACGTCGCCGCAGAATCTCGATTTCAATCTTAGATCGTTCCACCACAGCTGCAATCTTGTTCTTGAGATAGTCATACCTGCTCAACAGGAAAACCCAAATGGGGGACTCGTCCACCCCAAGGTGTAACAAAACACAGATCAGCTCCATATGCTCTTCTGCTTGTGACGCTCCTGGAAGAGGCCCTGCCGCCGAAACGTTTGACAATTTGCGCCAGATATCTCGCTTGAGGGCTTTGACTTGCTCTTCTGCATCAGCCCACATGCGGCCAACAGCCAGAATCCTGTGAACTTCGGAGTCTGAGAGAGTACGACCGTACTGTACGACTCCATCGCCGAGAGACTTTGCGTCGGCGACATATCTCCTAGCGGCATCATAGAGCTCGACCGCTTTGTCGTAGTCTTTCTGCTTGATTGCATAGCTGAGGTTCGAGCCAAGCTCGAATAACATACGATCCTTGGTCACAGCGTCTGCAATTGCCTTGAGGTTCGTTTCACGCTCTTTGCCTCCCAGAGCAGGACCCCAGACATCCTGTGCTTTCTGCGACACCTCTAGCAGCGGGACTTTGATGCCTTGAACCCCATAGTCGGTCTCCTTTCGAAGTGCGTTCTTGCTCGGTTTTGGGGGTGGTGCAGACATACCAGCCGCACTGCCACTGCTGAAGTTTCGGAAGTGCATACCACTTGTTCGTCGAGAATGTCTAGGCGAGAGAGGTCCTGGTGCTTCGACCGGTTCCACGCCCTGATTTCGCATTTCGGTATATACGTTGTCAATGGTAGCTTTGGCACGCACGAAGCGCTCAAAGTTTGTCTCCACGAGTGCTTTTAGGGAGGAAGACTTTTGATCGATAGAGTGTGTCAAGTAGTCCAGACCTCGTAGAAGATCCTCTGTGGACGCCTCACGATGGGCTACCGACAGATACATTCCTGGAGAGAATGTTGTAGAAGAAAGCATGAACTTGTTTCGCAGGCGTGAGTCGTCATCTACTTTCATGCCAGCTCTCCTCAATGTGTTCATAACACTTTGGTGGGCTCCCAGAGCATCCTGTTCGTCTTTCGACACCAAGTTCGCGCGGCCATCTTTCGTTTGCTGCGACCCTGGTATAAGACTTTTTCTTTCACTACCGGTTCTTTCTAGTGCCGAGTAGCGCGATCTAGAGCGTCGAACTCCGACAGCGTCCATGCCATCATCATTGTCGCTTTCATCAAGCTCCTTGGGCCATTCAGTCGGGTAGGCATTCGGTAAGTTGTAATGTGTGACGACTATCCTCTCTCGATCGTCCATTTTGATTTGACAAATTGCGAGCCAGGACTGCGGTGAACTACATGACCATCATCATGCTTCAGCTCCGTTTGGGTGTGAGTTGATGTACACCGTGGATGCCCGATCTGATGTTCCAGGGGTCGTCGAGTCTCGGTGAGCGACGACGCGATATCTTGGCGATCACGTGCCCCCGATCACGTGGGAGACCTAAGGGCTGGGCCGATGTCGCCGGTGCTTCAGCTGCGCTGTGATGCAATTGGCTTCTGCTGCTCCTCTGCTCTCGCGGCGGCTTCTTGCGCTGATAAAAAAGCATGCTCCTCTAGCTCCACCACTTCCAGCACAACTCGTACTCACCACGCCAGCTTCATAGCGCACTCCGAAGCTCGTTCGATGCTGCCAGCTGTAACTTGGAGCTTGTCGTGAAGCTATCCCACCCTATTGTGAACTTCACTGTTGCAGCATTCGCCCACCATGATCGCCTCCAGAGCATTCGCTGCTCCGGCACGCCAATGCTTGCGAAAAGCCTATCAGCAGCCAAAATGGGCCGCGGCGTCTTTCCAGGTCGGTCCCAGAACCTCTACAGAGCTTCTCTGAACACCAGTAGTTGCTAACGTCGATTTCTAGGCACAGCCTAAACGCTTCATCGCCACGAAGGAGGCGGACAAGGTCGCCAAGTTCAAGGGTACCAAGGGACCAGATGGCAACTACACGGTTACGTTAATAGAAGGAGACGGTATCGGTCCTGAGATTTCGCAATCTGTCAAGGACATCTACAAGGCTGCAAAGGTGCCGATTGTGTGGGAGTCGGTGGACGTCACCCCTCGCCTCGTGGATGGCAGAACAACCATCCCCGAGGAGTCGATCAAGTCAGTGGAGAAGAACTATGTGGCGTTGAAAGGACCTCTGGCGACGCCCGTTGGAAAGGGCCATGTCTCTCTTAACCTCACCCTCCGAAGAACCTTTAACCTCTTTGCAAATGTCCGTCCATGCCGAAGCATCCAGGGCTACAAGACGGCCTACGACAACGTGGACACAGTGTTGATTCGAGAAAACACCGAAGGAGAATACTCTGGCATCGAGCACGTCGTTGTGGACGGCGTCGTGCAGTCCATCAAGCTCATCACCCGCCAGGCTTCGGAAAGAGTGCTGAGATACGCGTTCCAGTATGCCCGGGACGTCAACAAGAAGAAGGTCCGCGTGGTCCACAAGGCCACCATCATGAAGATGTCCGACGGTCTCTTCCTCAGCACCGCTAGAGACGTTGCCAAGGACTTCCCCGATATCGAATTCGACGCCGAGCTCCTCGACAACGCCTGCCTGAAGATCACCACCGACCCTGGCCCGTATTCTGACAAGGTCCTCGTCATGCCCAACTTGTACGGTGACATCCTGTCCGACATGTGCGCCGGTTTGATTGGTGGTCTCGGCCTCACTCCCTCCGGAAACATCGGCGACGAGTGCTCCATCTTCGAAGCCGTCCACGGTTCGGCTCCTGATATCGCAGGAAAGGCTCTCGCCAACCCGACTGCCCTGCTTCTCAGCAGTATCATGATGTTACGGCACATGGGCTTGAACGAACACGCCACCAAGATCGAGACCGCCATCTTCGACACGCTCGCCGAGGGCAAGACCTTGACTGGCGATTTGGGCGGCAAGGCGAAGACGCACGAATATGCACAGGCCATCATCGACCACCTCAAGTAAGCAAGCAAAACGGTTAAACTCAAGAATGTCAACTGCGAGAAGGGAGCAAATTCTTCACAGTTGGTGCCGTTGGATCCCAATTGATTGGGGTGTACACACGAACATTTTTCTGGAATTAGCCACTATCTATCTCTTTGAGGAGGCGGCCGGACACAGAGGGAGACACGTCATTGCATGCACGTTGAGACGAGGAAGGAATGTATTATTTTATCATGCTAGAGCGAGTACTGCAAATATATATCCTGTTGAAATCTGCGTTGTCTGCTGTCAAGCTCCCAATGGCCCAACTCTGACCGTCTCTCGCTCCCTCATAGCTTGAATTTTTTGGTCCTTCTCGAGATCCCTCTGGGCCCGTCGCTTCTTGACCTGCAACTTGTCAAACCGTCCTCGAGCCCCAAACTTGAGCTTGGTGATCATATCGGCCGCTTGGCCTTTTGTAATGTCATCTGCTGTCAGAGGTTCAACATCTTGCTCAGTCACACCGCGTATGCGATTGAGAAATTGCAGCTGTCCTTCGCTTGCAGGTGAATTTCTCCATTTCGAGCTCGTCGCAATGAAAACCCTATCAAACTTTGTGCTGGCAAATGTGTCTGCCGCGTGTAGAGCGTCCGAGAGCGTGCTGGCTGTCGCCACCACCCTGGGCCGCGACCACGGTGACTTACTGGCCTCAGCCATGGCGAGGGAATGTTTCCATACCACGCTGAACCGTCCGTGGCTACTGTTCGAGGTAGTCGGGGCTCGAGGCTCGAGAGTCAATACGCCACCCTTCGCAACGAGAATATACTTTTGCGAATCGACTTGCACCCAGGCGTTGGGGGACATGGCACGGACATGCCGTTCTCCCGATGTGTCCTCAATCAGGTCGTGCACCGTTTCGTAATGCGTGAAATCAAGCCTGTGATCACCCATGACTGCTAAACCTCGTCGTAAGTCCGAGGGATCTTGCGTCACAGAAGAAGAGTCGGGATGACGATGCTTGTCCGTTTCCTTCCGCGCCTGAAGATCACCAACTTTCGCGCCCTTGACCATCTCGTCCGGGTCAAGGCCAAAGAGCGTAGGGACCGTGACAATGCCTGTCTCAAGGCTTGCTACCATGTCGATGACATGACAATCTTTCTTCTCCGGGTATAGGCGCATTCCACGACCGATCATTTGAACGAGAAGATTCCTCGACTTGGTCGGCCTGGCGAGCAGTACGCAGTCGATATTAGGCATGTCGGTGCCTTCAGTAAAGACGCCGCAATTTAGCAGTACGGGAAACTCGCGGTTTTTGAATGCTTCAAGCCGCTCGGCACGGACTCGTTTCTTCGTTGCGCCTGTTATGAATTGTGCATCGATGCCGTACCTGCGGAACGTAGACGTCAAACTTGAAACGTGCGCAAGATCGACGCAGAAGACCAGAGTAGACTTTCGATCACCAGCCTCACTAAGCCATGCCTTGACTGTAATATCATTTGTGATTTCCGTGTTTACGGCTGCTGAGAGTTGGCCGGGCAGGAAATCGCCATCGCGACCTGCCCTGACCTTCGACAGGTCTGCTTTAGATTTAACCGTCGTGAAGATAACATCGGATAGCCACTTTTCGCCAATCATGTCAACGTAGTCTTTATGATACACGATATGATCGATCGCGGCGCCGAGACGAAGCCCGTCAAATCGAGAGAATGTCGCACTGACACCGACCAAAGCTGGAGACTGTGTGCCTTTCTCCTGAAGCCCGAAGTGAGATAGAATTTGCAGGTAGCCTGGAGCCACTATGTGGTGGGCCTCATCGACTAGAATGAGCTTGAAGCGTTCTGGGTGGTATTTCGAAAGTCGATCGCCTGAGACCATGCTGCGGACTGAAGCGATGGTTATGTCTGCTGCACCTGTTGCATGTGTTTCCCCCATTTCTATCTCAATGCTCTTTTGAGGGTAGGCACGTTCGCAGTGACGGGCGGCTTGCTCGACAAGCTCACGCCGATGGGCGAGGACAAGAGTCTGTTGGGCATGGCTCCTAGGAGGAGCAACACGGTCAATTAATTGTGTGAAGATAACCTGACGAGATCAGCATTGCTGCGAAGATAAGGATCAACACCAGTACCGTCTTGCCGCTGCCTGTGGCTAGTGATATGCCCAGACGCTTGTGCCCTCTACTCAGGTAAGAGAGGACGGACTTTATGCATTCTTCCTGGTACTCGCGGAGGCGGATTGACTCCTCACGAATGGCCGGTGACTGAGCACTGGCGACATTCGCGAGAGCTCGACGACTCAATCGAGTGGATAAAAAGCCTTTCGCTGTACATGTAGTCCTGCTTAGCCACCGAGGACATGACAACATAATATTGTCTTGGGCATTGTGCAATAGTTGCTCAAGTTGAAACCAGAAAGCGACAGACTCGGGCTCCCTTGGTCGCAGGCACGAAATATGGCAAGGCTGCACTAGGCCTAATTTGGGGATTGCCTCACTCCAGAGACAGCGGCGCACATAGCTTGAGGTATTCGTTGCGTAGTAGTTTTACAACCCTCTGCTCCTCGAACGATAAGAAATTACTCAACAGCAAGAGCCCAGCGTAGACGGTACTCATGTGGTAAACAGAACCTTAGCTCAGTAATTGATTAATCTACGGTGACGCATATCTATAGTCGAGCGCCGTTGCGTGTTGCACTCACCATGTGTGAATTTCGGTCTTGTGGGATTTGTCAAGACATGGTAGCCGCTGAAAGAAATGGGATAGGCATGAGGAGTGAGAAGCACTTCGCAAGATCTCGATTGAACCTGTATCCATACCACCGGAGTCTTAGTAATCCTCCTCATCATTTGCTAGAGTGGACGCTGTTAGGCCTTAGATACATGATCATATTCCAACGTCACAGTTGGATCATCTCATCAGCGAGACCGTAGGTGAATCACGATCTGGCAGGTTGTTCCGCGTATCGCGATGAGGCCAACAGGGTCTGACTTGGAGCCCTAGTTATCTGCAAGAGAAGGTCATCTACGCGAATGGTAGACGCCATTTAGAGGCAGATGTAGGGAATACATCATCAATATCTTCATACCCTTTTTCCGATTTGGTGATATCGTTGGTCGAACAACCCACCAGTTCGCAATGTCAGTGGTTTATGATAACAAGCAAGATCATCGCAGCTCTGCAGGTGGTAATGGTAAGCGCTGTCTCCGTGGTCAACTATCCAATGCAGCTCCGGTTATTTTGCCATCAGTCGAGATTCTCTCGATGCTACGATCATTGAAAGGACTCACGCAGAGGGATCATCGTAGGGGTACGATGGCAGCCGCTTCTCGTCTGCCGGGACTTGTGGAGCACCGCAAATCTGATCGCAGTGGCCTGTGGATCTGCCTTCTCGAGCTGAAGTAGAGAGCGGGGGTAGTTTGCCTCTGAGAATTCTATCTCTCTCCCTTACCACCAACGGCGACGCAAGACAGAGACACGAGGCCGAGTGGGACATGAGTCCTTCTTTGGGTGAGGTGACAATTGGGGGTTTGATGGTTACCACACGCGCCGCGACGGGGTTGCAGGCCCTGCCGCTTGTTCGCGTGTCCCGACGCTTGTCTGATACTCACGAGACATGTAAGCGGAGTTGGAGCCCTGCTTTCACAGCTGCTCTCAGGCAGTAGATTAGACTCGCCCAGGGTGGCCATGCTCTTGCTAGGAAAAGCCATTGCTCCTTCTCGAAGCTGCGCCAACCAGCTTCCATGACCTGCACGCCCTGCGCTCCTGAGAAGCCTGTCCTTTCACACTCGACTACCGACTTGGTTAGCCTTCCGAGATAGACTCTCGAAGTTGCATTATCAGTAGTCGACGACTCGGCGCGCTAGCCGAGCAAAGCATATTGAGCCTGGACGCCGTCGCACCGGTGGAGAGAAGATCGATTAAATCCGCATCGTGCATGCTACAGGCTTCGCTTGGCAGACAACTGAACGGAGGGCAGCGAGCCCGTAGACGGCTCAGCCAGCTTCACGTGGTGAAGATCCATTGCTTCGGGGGCGAGATTGCTGCTCGAGCTCGTTCTTCACCAAGGTTTTCCGACGTTCAGGGAGGCGTAGGCATCGCGCGAGAGACAAAGTCCGTGGAAATTTTACGCTGGCCAAGAAGAGTCGACGGGAGTTGTGAGGCTGTGGTTGAAGGGCACGTGGGCAATAGTCGCTTTGTATTGGAAGATGCAGGGCGAGCCAAGAATTCTAGCTCCCAGCCAAGACTTTCCCTACCAGATCTTGGCATTGATGTCCGCTCTCTTGGCACGAACGGCGGACTCTCCGTTGGTCCAAGTGCTGAGGGTGGACTTGATGTCGAGCTGGAGTAGGAGCCTGTGGACGGTCATCTATTGCAACATGGTACTCCTAAGGGAATTTGAATTTTCGCCCTGCCGGAGGTATATATGGCCTCCATCATGGCCTTCTTCCTAGTGAGAGCTGTTCTGTATTGATCCATCGCCTCTTCGTCCAGACACCCCATACATAGCATTCCCGGCAGACAACCGCCACCATGGTGCTCTCAGATTACACCTATGTTTTCGCCATTGGCACCATGTTTGCCCTTCTGGAGGCCTTCAACAACGGAGCCAGTGAGTTTTTGACCCTTGCTTATGCCACCGTCCATTGGCCACCATTCTGATGCCATTGTGTCAAACAGACGATGTTGCCAATTCCTGGGCAACGAGTGTCTCCTCCAGATCGTTGAATTACCGTGCGGCCATGGTCTGCGCTTTTGTCTTCGAAATGATCGGTGCTTTGACTGTCGGTGCCCGAACAGCCTCGACGATCAAGAACGGAATCATCTCTCCAGAAGCCTTCCAAGGAAACGCGGGGGTGCAGTTGTTGGCCTTCGCATGTGCTGCCGCCGGCGCTGGTACCTGGGTCATGTGGTGCAGCATGAACAACATCCACGTTTCATCCACCTACTCGCTTATCTCTGCCCTCGTTGGTGTGGGAATAGCGACTGTTGGCACTGGAGGCGTCACTTGGGGCTGGAATGGCGGCCAGGGTGTGGGCGCCATCTTCGCTGGCCTGCTCATGGCCCCTTTCATCGCCGGGTGCTTTGGAGCTATTATTTTCATGCTCATCAAGCTCCTCGTCCATGTGCGCAAAAACCCTCTTCCCTGGGCCGTCTGGACCTCTCCGTTCTTCTTCCTCATTGCGGGAACAGTCTGTACCTTATCAATTGTGTACAAGGGCTCTCCAAGGCTGGGACTCACCAAAAAGCCAGCCTACTGGATTGCAGGTGTTACCGTTGGTTCTGGTTTTGCCCTCTGTCTGCTGTCCGTCATCTTTTTCCTGCCATTTGTTCACGCAAAGGTTATCAAGAATGTTCAAGAGTTGAGATGGTGGGAAGCGGTCAAGGGCCCGCTGCTGTGGAAACTCCCTTACAACAAAGATGCATCAGCGAGAGTGCCCAACTTCGAGGTCATTCAGTATCCCGATGAGAGTGACGCAGATTCCACCGATGCGATCAAGAAGGACGTCAGCCAACCTACCGACGCCGGGAATCCCTCCGAGAAGAACACCCATACCGAGCCTAGCACCACCAACATCCCCGAGCCTCACTCACTTCAACAAGAGATGGATTCATCCGATTACAAGAAGATGATGTTGTTGGCTCGCGCGCGACATCACGCAAACATCCGGAGGAAGAAGAACCCCCTTGGCTGGGCTATGCGCTACCTCCACGAGAATCGCATGGGTGCTGGTTCTTTGTACGAGACCCACAACATGATCACGGCAATTAAAAGGATTCCTGCGATGATTGTAGTGGCACTCCTTTACGGCACTCACTACGACATCCACACTGCTCAGATCGGCCTTGAAGGAACTCCCGAGGGAAAGCGTATGGCACGCACATATGCGCATGCAACCAAGTACTCCAACGAGGTTGAGTACTTGTATTCCTTTGTCCAGATCATCACCGCCTGTACTGCCTCATTCGCTCACGGTGCCAACGATGTAGGCAACGCTGTGGGTGTCTGGGCCGGCATGTACGCCGCCTGGACCACTGGGAGACCTGCTGCTTCAAAGGAAGAGGTTCCCTTGTGGCAGATCGCTGTCATTACCCTGACCCTCTGTATCGGCTTCATGACTTACGGATACAACATCATGAAGGGTGAGTCATCTTGATAGAGTCCCATATGATGTTGAGTTTGATGCTAACGCCTTTGCAGTTATGGGCAACAAAATCACCTACCATTCGCCAAGCCGTGGCTCATCCATGGAAATGGGTGCCGCCATCACTGTGTTGATCTTCTCGCAATACAAGTTGCCAGTTTCCACATCCATGTGTATCACTGGTGCCACCGTCGGTGTCGGTCTTTGCAACGGAAGCTTCAGGGCGGTCAACTGGCAGCGAGTTTTCCTGCTTCTGATATCTTGGTTCATTACCATTCCTGCTGCTGGACTGCTCGCTGGCTGTACCATGGGATTGGCCTTGAACACCCCTCACTTCTAGATTATATTTCGCACAGGCAAAGCAAACCCGAAAACGGTAGCTGGTTGTGCTTGTGAGACCGGCTCGCAGTTAATGTAATTCACACATCATGTTCCTTGGCTTCGAGCAAATGTTTGCCGGTTGGACGGGTGATTTCGCCATTTCGGGCTGGCTAGTGTTCCCAAACCAGACCGTAGCTCCAGAGATCCTTGAATTGCTCATCGACGTTGAGTTTCCACCTCGGTGAAGATGTTGACCGAATCGTATGTTTTGACAAAGCCTCACTCATCGAGCATGAGGGATGATGGCGGCTTGGATGTCTGTCGCTTCGAGATCAGATTCTTGTGTTCATCTTCCACACCAGGTGGCCCTGGATGCGACAGTTCATGAAACTCTATCTTGTCCAACCCAAAGCCTGTGTATACAGTCTTTTCAAGATCTGATGATACCTACCCGATGTTGCCGCTCCTACGCACGCTGGCCTCTCGGCGTACTTGCCCAAAACGGGGCGACGTTTGTTCATCTTGGCGTTAACCTAAGCGAACCTCATATCTTGGTCGTTGACTTATTAGAAACTTTGCCTCGCTTCAGAGTGCCTAGAATCCCTCAGGTACACGAACTAAGCTGCATGGCCACTATGCATGCCTCGGAGCGACCATTCAAATACAGACTGCTGCATGCTATTCCTCCTAGGGTACATCTAGACCCTGATAATGTCCGACAACGGCAGCCAGGATGAAGTTTCGAGTGCAGGAGAGCCTGATTCGACGAGAGATGGTGACTTCGCTACCATAGCACATGAACCGGGCTCAGCCACGGATTCATCTTCAGCAACATCTTTTCACGAGCGAAAATGGGATCGACTTCGGCGAAACTACGTTGACAACTATCTCGAATTGTTCAAAAAGACTTTCGAAACACCCGAAGATAGCGATTCAGCATCCGAGTTCCCTGCCACTCAACTGGGAGCTGTAACTTGGGAGTCGGCCGAGAAAGCCAGTTTTTTCCAAGCCCTCCGTATTAAAGGTCGACACGATATACAGAGCATCTCTCTCTTCATCGGCTCGAAGTCCGAAATTGAGGTCAAAGCCTACCTGGACAGTCTTCGGGATCAAGAGGCAGAGCGGCAACTTTTTGAAGCTCGGCCTAACAACATCTCACATGCTGAGATACCTGCCGCTCTTGAGATTGATGGGGAATGCGAGGCTATGCTTGATCAGGCCGCAGAAGCTCTTGAAGCATTCCAGGAGCACTTTGATTCTGCTGTAGCCCAACGCGAGACACAGACGTGGCTGATTGATGCGCCCAAGGCTTCAGAGCTGGATGTGAAGGAGGATGAGAAGGACAGCATCAGTAACGCAGAGCCGGGCTCCGAGGCAGGGGATTTACAAGGGCCTGAAAAAGTTTTGTCTTTCTTCCATCTCTCAACCTTTCTAAGCTTGAGCGAACGATTCTTCATGAACTCGAGCCAAGATGCTACAACCTGGCACCAACTCGTTGAGGAGGGACAACGCCCTGCAATGACTCTGGATACCGTCACAGATCTGTATAATCTTGTAACCAGTTTCACACAGCGGGTGGTCCAAACCTGCATCTTCATTGCATGCTCCCGCATCCGGGCGTCAACTTCGGCTCATTACAAGCCCAGCCGTCTCATTCGGACTGAAGATGTCTCTACGGCGCTCACCGTGCTGGGAGCTGCAACCAGCTTAAGAGATTTCTGGATAAGACTTCCCAGGAGGAACCAACTATCGATCATCGGAGGAGGACACAGAAAGGGGGCCAGCGTGAGAGATGTGATGTCGTACAATGAGGTGGAGGCGGTTCTGTCAGCCTCGAAGCGAGGAAGGTCCATGTCCACCACGTCAGAGGGCTCACATCAAAGCCGGGCCGTTTCTCCGCTTACCTCAACCAGTAGTAGTGTGGAAGACGAACACGAAGAGTGCGAGGCCAGCGACGACTCATCCTTGACTGCTCTGTCCGAGAATGACAGCGATGGTGCGAGTTTGAATTCTTCCATTCTGGGATCTATAGTTGATCGTTCAGGAGAATCGTCATCAGCTGATGAAGATGAATACCTGGAGCGGCTAGATCAACAAGCAGGACAAGAAGAAGCGTCAAGGTTGGTGACATTTCTAGGCCACGTTGGAAAGCTGGCCACAAAGGAAGAAGACTTGGCTGTCGGCTCTAAGCCGCCAAGAGAATCACGAAAGCCAGTCGAGGACTGTATGGGCTGGTCGGCTATCTATCAGTCTGAATGGGAGCGTGATGGCTCTATCATTCCTGCACAATATTTTTGCGAGACCACAGATCGTGCCAAAAGAAGGAAGATTGCTTAAATCAAGGGTTTACAATCGCTGTAATTCCAGGACTTCTGCAGCTGTCAGTTATTGTGGCTAACATATATTTGGACGCGCGCTATTGCTCTCATGATAGCACGAACTACCAGACTGGGCCAAATTCTACGAAGATGTGTATGTGGACTACTTCCCATCTCACGGACAATGAATGTACAGGCTCAGGCCAAGCAGTGGTCTTCAACTGCCTATTGCAATTGGGTCGGCTACAGCCGGCGCTAGTGTGTTAGTCGTCGATCATCTCTGGTAGCGAAATCTGATTGGCGAAGTCCAGAGCCTCAAGCATAAACAATCTTCAGCTCTTCCAACACACAATCAAACGCCTTTTGTTTTTGGAAAGATTCACTATATCATTTTTATAGTCGTGAAGTGCACGCTCTGCTCACCCGCAAGCATACGTGCGCGTTTGGTCTTGTACGCGTCGGTCCCAAGAAGTCTGCCCCATGCGTCTGTCTTGGTGGGCCGTGAATATCGTGTAGACGCGAACCTGACGCGACGCTCAGGGCCGTGGACTGGGGACTTCAGCACAAGTCACGACTTAAGCTCAGCAACTTGGTCGCTGGCACATCACTGTTCACCTCTATCGCAGCTAGTTGTGGCTGCTCTTTCGCTGCGACGACGGAAACGAGGAATATCGCCTTGCACCTAGCAAAGATGGTGGTACGAGAGCTTCTTCCCGGAGACCATCGGCCTCTCCAGGAAATAGCCGATGTCCTCGCAAGGTCGCACAAGGTCCTGCTTGTTACCGGCGCTGGAATCAGCACGAGCTGTGGCATCCCGGTACCAATAGTTGATGCAACATGTTGTTACACTGCTAACAATGCGTAGGATTTCCGCTCCAAGGATGGCCTCTACAACATCATCCCCGAACAAGCACTCCTGCCCACTCCTCCCGCATCCCAGCCCTCAACGCCTTCAAAGCATTGTGCGGACCTCGACGACTCTGATTTCACGTTCTCGCAGTCCTCGACCTCGTCGATTACCAGCCGGCGGGCATCTACAAGTCCTTCGTCGAAACTCAAGGGCCAGGATCTTTTTGATTCGCGAGTGTTTCAAAATGCAGCTTCGACCACCCTCTTCTATCAATTCATTGCATCTTTGCGACAGAAAATACGCGACGAGGTACAATCTACAAGCCCGACCCACAAGTTCATCAGGGTCCTTCGCGATGGCGGTCGGTTAATGCGATGCTATACTCAGAACATCGATGGCCTGGAAGGAAGAGAAGGGTTGGTGACTGACCTGACACGAGGCAAGGGCAATAAGCGGCGATTCATGAAGAAACACTATGAAGCACCTCGACCTTCACATACCCCTGGCACTGATTTTGATGGAGGTTGCGAGGTCGTGCAGCTGCATGGTGACTTGGAGAAATTGCGATGCAGCATGTGCGCCACACAGTTTGAGTGGACCGACGAGGAGACTGAGATCTATCTTGAGGGTGCAGCGCCGAGCTGCCAGCAATGCTGCATCAAGAGCGAGCAGAGACAGGCGAGCGGGAAGCGAGGCCTTGCAGTCGGGTCACTCCGACCGAATATCGTGTTGTACGGGGAGGACCATCCGTCTAACACGCTGCTAACGCCATTAATCCCCTTTGACGCCGCAAGTCAACCTGAGGTCTTGGTCATCATGGGCACGTCTCTCAAAGTATTCGGGTTGCAAAAGATTGTTCGAGAATTTGCAAAGGCAGTGCACTCTACTAAGGGCAGCAATGGACGCGTAATCTTTGTCAACCGCACAAAACCAGCAGAGACCACCTGGGACGGTATCATTGACGATTTTGTAGCCATGGACTGCGACGACTGGATCCACGACCTCAAATCAAGACGACCCGATCTTTGGCTTCGGCAGGGTGACATTGGATTGACGGTCGCAAAGCCAACGCAACCAAGGCGAAAGAGAAAGTCGTCCGATGAAGATGGTGTTAGCAGACCTGTGAAGAAAACAAAACTTACAGTCGAGATACCGACGAACGCGGGGATTGCACAACAAACCCCTCCGCGTACACCTTCGCGAAAGGACTCGATCACGAAACGGTACAAACTACCACCTACATACCCCGGCCGATCTGTACTTTCACCGTTGGCACAAGGCAGGCGACCACCAATATCGCCTTTATCCAGCCCAGTTCAGCCAGATGATGATCAAACACACACAACCCCAGCTAAGCGACACACTCCCGCTAGGCCGGCGTTTTCACCCTTCACTCCAGGAGTATTGACCGGAAGTCAACTCAGGATGGAAGTGTTTTGCGAAGATGGAAATCAAAGCAAGGACCACGAGATCAATGGACGGCCGCAAATGCGAAGGGAGGACATCCTTCCTAGATGCACAAACATGACACCACCCAAATCCAACTTCCTGGCCAAAGTATGGCAGCGAATTCCAGGCAGGCGTGTTCTGCCATATGCAGAAGGAGTCAACATACATGCCGAAGCATTGGCGGCCGAAGAGGATAATGACACAATAATAGTCGAAACGCCGTCCAAAGGCCCTCGTGCGCAAGATCGACGTGATTGAATCGTGAGTGAGAAGACGTAGCACTGGCAGAGGATTTGGAGATGAACGGGTCAGATAGCAGGATCTCATGAGTTGATGACTGTATGACATATAATACCGCCGAGGCATCAGGACACCGCATACGGTGCGAGCAGTTCAGAGAACGACTGTGGAATGCATGTTTTTGGGTGGCGGTTGGAACAGCTTTGAACACGGCCGAGAGACACGAGACACAGGCGGAGACTTGGTAATTCATTACATGTTGCTCGGCTCATCGTTATTCCACCTCGAATTGGTCTTGCACCGCAGTACTCTTTACTCGTACTGATAAAGATGAGTCTTCGTAATAAAGTCCCTCGTCGTCATGGGTCGATCGAGCATCCTCGGTCCGCATCCGTCGCCATCGGTGGATTTTATTCTGTCGCCTTCTCTGCCATTCCGCTTTTGACTGGCGTCGAACCATCTGGGCCCCGAAGGTTCCCGGCCGAAGCCGCCCATGGACGCATCACGTTGATTGATCGTTTCATTCCGCAATTCTGGCTCGGCTCTGACCAATTTTCTCGAGCACATGACAAATGTGCCGTGGCCGTTGCTGACCGAGGGAAGAAAGAAAGTCGAGGGCGGGAGCGGTAGAGGATGTTGGTCGTAAGGCGGAGGAGGAAATCGTGCTGCTGGTTCCATAGAAGTTAAAACTTATATTGCCCTCCACTTCAGATCGTTTCTCTGTTCCCTTTCCACCTTGTAGGCCTCATTTCGCGATTATAACAACATCCTCACGTACCAAAATTTTATCTCCTTTGCATTTTCTAACTATCTACAGGACGTCGGCCTGCCAATCCGACACAAAAAACCCAGGAGTTCCTTTCTTGTCGCACTCGCAAAGGATCTTGAGAAAATCTGAAACTGCGGGGTACAGACATCGCTCACGGACTCAGAATCAAGTAAGAATTCCGTCCCAGATCGGAAAACCACACAAGTGCTGCGGGAACAGCGGCAGATCGTGTTCCTTTCTGTTCTGAAAAGAAGAGATCTATCACGAGAGCGGCTGCCAGTCTGAGCGTTGCCTCTATCGCGACAGGCAAACCTTCGGTAAATAAATTTTTTGAGGCGGCCACCGGCATCTTCGGCATCGAACAAGTATTGATAGAGACGGGCCAAAAAGCTGTGCTGAGTCAAAGGCGGAAAAGTCGACGTCTAGAACAAACAAACTACCGACTGGACGGCGAACATCGATATCGTTAATCTCGCTACACCACCACTTGACCGACGGCTGGACATTTTGAGCAGACATGCCTTCCAGTAGCCCTCTGCCCAAGGGATTTGACTCGATCGAATCTACGATTGAAGCCTTCCGCAACGGCGAGTTCATCGTGGTGCTGGACTCTCAGGACCGCGAAAACGAGGGTGATTTGATTATCGCCGCTCAAGATGTCACGACTGAGAAGATGGCCTTTATGGTCCGCTACACGAGCGGGCTTATATGTGCCCCGATCACGGCGAAGTTGGCGGCCGAGTTGAAGTTGCCTCTGATGGTGGCGGACAGCGAGGACCCGCATCGCACGGCGTACACGATTTCCATTGACTCGAACGACGCGAGCGTCACGACGGGAATCTCAGCGCACGACCGTGCCTTGACATGCAGGACTTTGGCGAGTTCCAAGGTCTCACCCGCCAGCTTCCGACGCCCGGGACACCTTTTCCCATTGATAGCGAAGGACGGCGGCGTTCTTGAACGGACTGGCCACACGGAGGCTGCTGTCGAGTTTTGTCGGCTGGCTGGAAAAGCTCGGGCTGGCGTCATCTCTGAGATGGTCGACGATGGCGAACCGGTGCAGGGTCAGACCCTGATGCGAGAGCCGGGCATGATGAGGCGGGATGCTTGTTTGGCGTTTGGGAGGAAATGGGGTCTCAAGGTCTGTACTATTGAGGATTTGGTTGATTATGTTCAGCATGAGAAGGGAGTTGCTTCGAATGGAGTTGTCAATGGACATTCTTGACTCTGGTGATGGCAGCTTTTTGAGACGAACACTCGAGATACGAACCTAGGTCCTTGATGCATACAAAAACTCTTTTGTCTTTTTGCGGACGATTACAGTACGATCTTGTTGAGGAAACAGTCGACCACGCCGAAATCCCTAGTTGCGCTTTGATTCTCATTCGTCCTCTGACTCGCACAGGCTGAAGGAGTCTCATACGAGTACCTGGGGTACAAACGCCTTATGTAATGTCACAAGGAACCCTTGTCAAGGGTACAAGCAACCTATCGTAGGTAAATAGTCTCTCTTACGGCCTCGGATCGGTGGCCGCGCCCTTCAAGTCACCGAGTTTCAAACCCCCGTCCCTGAAACTTCTCACATCAGCGCTAACTAACTAGTTAACGCTTCCGTCGTGAGTGAACATGGAAAGCTTGATTCATGACTCCGAGGAGCTTGTATCGCCATACGCTGGCCGTCCTGTCCACAAACGCCCGTTATCATTATGGCGACCGATGAAAGCAAAAGTCAGTCGTTCGTCGTGGCATCTTTTCACGATACACTGATGGAGCGGACCGAGGTATCTGACCTCTTGACTTAACGCGCGTTTTAAACTGCGCCTCGAACAAAGACTCAGACTTGCAATCTCACAGATCAATCCTCACGTCTCCCCACCGGCCTGGGATTCGTAAGGTAAGCCAGCCCTTTTGCCCATGACCGGAATTCTGGCCCCCCTTGTTTAGGATTGCGACGAGGCCAAATTCGACCCTACTGTACAGAACTAGGCGCACCGCCTGTCCGTCCCAGCCCCAAGACCTTGAACGGATATGAAATGCGGCGGCGTCTCAAGGCCCTCGCCTTCGCTCAGCCTCAACTTCGTCCAACTCTTACCTGTGAGTTTGCATGAGTGTATAACACGAGGTTGCTAGCCTCCTTTCCATCGTGCTGTCTATTTATCAGCCCTCTGCCTCGAGTTTTTCGCTTCTTGTACGCTTGTTGCTGGGCCCTTTGGGGATGGAGTAATACCGGTGATCTGTTACTCTCTCTACACCTGTACACCCCCCTTACCTTTGACCACAAGAAGCAGCTTCATTCAGCGAAGAGTGGGTTGAGATGTGTCTGCGTTGGACGAACCTGCGAACCTAAAGAGCGGTATCTACGATCGCTGCATCTCTGAGTCCCGGTTCTTTTTCTTTTCCCTCGAGGACCCTCGTTCGCTTCTTGATCCCAAAACATCACTCCATACCGTCATTCGAGTTCGAACCCGTCTACACCCTGCGGCGTTTGTCTCCCCAGTCATCTAATTTGACCTACCTGAGGTAGGAAGACATACTTCGCACCGCGTTGGATCAATAACGCCGGAGGGCATACGCCGTCCAGCTCGGGGCGGCGTTTACGAGTATACCTTTCTCGAAATTAGCACTGTGATCGGTACCTAGGCACAGCACGCGCACACACACCCCCACCGCACGCCCGTCATCTCACTGCTTGCCCCAAGGTATAATACATATCCACACACCCAGGTCGACAAGATGGCACCCAGCCCGCGCAACCGATTCAACATGAACAACCACCAATCCGACGAAATCATAAGCCACGGCGTCGGGTCCTCGTCCTCGTCCTCGTCGCCCAACGGCGCCAACACGATCAGCCACAACCAGAGCAACGGCAGCTCATCCAGTTTGTCCACGGGTGCCATCGTCGGCATCGTCATCGGAGGGGTGGCTGGTATTCTTCTTGCCGTCGCAGCCTTTGTAGTCATACGCAGCCGCCGTCGCTCCCGAACGGGCGGCGCATACCGTCCCGCGAACGCAAGGGGAGGGTTCTTCAACACGCGCCGCGAAGCACCGATCGGGGAAAAGCCAGAGGATATCAAGCCCGAAGGCGAGGGCGAGCACGCCGCGGACGAGGGCCTCTTGAGACACGCAGACACACCGGCCATAGTCGCGTGGGACGCCGACGAGGAAGACGACCTCCAGAACGCGAGAGGCACGCGGGACGGAGTCGCGCACGCTCATCCTCATGCTCGCGCTCGCACCGGGATCCAGAGACCGGCCAGCGTGGCGAGTTTCTCGAGCCTGAGCACGGCGGCGGCCGGGTTCGCCCCGCCTCCGCCTCGCTACGAGGAAGCGATGTCTTCCGGGCCCGGTGCGCGTGCGAGTACGAGTACGAGGAGGAACTCGGACGGTGGACTCGCGCCGTTGATGTTGGGCCGGGCAGACGAAGACGACGACGACGACGACGACGAAATCGGTGGCGGAGGACGCCGGTCGACGTCGAGGGGACGCAGTCTCGGTACTAATACCGACGACCTCGGAGCTGGTGGGTCGGCGAGGCCGAGGAGCGTCAACGGCGACAGGAGACGGAGCGTGTCGAGGTTCCGGGAAGAAGGGATGGTGGATTTGAATTTGAGTTCGAACCTGAGGGGCTGATTGAGTGAGCGATCTGGAATCCGAAATCTGGGTTCGAAGGGTTGCCTGAGCGGATCGATCAGGTACCCAAGGTATAGAGAGAGAGGTATCTATCACTTGTAATGAAATGACCATGATTCCTGATTGATATACGGGTTGGATGATCGGGATCAGCATCATCGTGATCGTAGATGGGGAAAGGATCAATGGACGTTTCCATTACTTTGCTCATTTCATCGTGACGGCAACCAAACCTACGTCCATCAAAATGAAATTCTATGTATTCCCATTGCCACAAATGCCCGCCAACGCCGTCCCATCCTTGGGAAATTTTGGGGTATCAATTCTAAAAGCACCATTCCTTTTTGCCCGTGGCCTGAACGACCAATTGTCCGAAGCCACGGCTCATTTTAGAGAGCTTCAGCTGGTAAAATGCTGCTGTAGCCATATCATCACTCTCTCTTGACTCACTCCCTCCCCAGAATCCAAAGACGACAGTCTATCTCCCTTGAGGTCTTTTATCCGAATAATCCCTGAAAAGCCCTTGCATGTGGGTGTTTGTGACTTTCTGGCCACGCCTGGCTGCCTTCTTTTTGGCCTTGGGCTTCGCAACAACGTCCGTCCGCGCAGGTTCGCCGGTAGATTTGTGGTTCATCCGACGAAGTTCTCTGATCGTGTCTTCCTCCGACGGCAGAGCAATCTGCGACCAAATATCCTTGAATTCCTGATCCAGCGCCACGTGCAGGGTCGGGTCATCCACCCAGACTGTGCGCGGGTGGTTGTCTTTGCGGTTACGGACAACCAGGAGTTTATGCTGGGCTTCGAGCTTGTTGATCGCGGCCTCCACATCGGGCCATGTGTCTTTTAACTCGCGGACGTTGATGCCCATGGCCGACTCTTGACCCTGGAGGTGCTTGAGCAGGTCGTCCGCCGATGCGATGTTATGTTCAGGCCGGTACCTGTATGTGTCCGTATCGGGATCGTGGTCTGCCTTGGGGTTCTTGCTCAGAAACGTCCGGAAGTACATGATCTGCTCCTCTGTCCGACGGTACTGGGGAAGAACATATTCCACCAACTCGTTCCAGCCGATCCTGTCTGGAAACTTCTCCTTGAGCCGCCCGAGGGCGTAGATGACGTTGGTGCGGGCATCGCTGCCGGCGACCGACGTCTGTGTAGAGGAGAGATAGGCAGACATGGTGGGACCAAACGAGTCGTGAAGACGACGCAGCCGACGAGACGAGGGAGGTGCTGGTTGAGTCAAAGGATCTCGTCCGGTTGCAGGCGTTGCAGGCTGCGCTCAGATCATTATTCGAGCAAAGTACAGCGGTGCAAGAGCCGAACGCAGGCTGTCAAAGAACACAATGTCAGAACTGAGCGAGGGGGTATCTGATGCGGAACTCCCAGACGCAATTGGAACTGAAGAATATGGGAGAGTTACTGTAAAATATGAATCGCGAGAACGAACGATCCGCAGGCTGATATCAGTTTGAAGTGACTTCCAATTGTTAGCCACTCGTACCAAGTGACAGTCCGGGGCAGAAGGGAAAGTCAAGCGAGTGAACTGGCTCTTTAAGCTTAAATCTTGGGGCTCGAATAGGCTGCAGCTGGCTAAAGACCCAGTGCGTGTCAGTCACGTTTTCCGTTCCTTTCACTGTGCCCGCGCCGCATGTTGTTTATGGTATTCTCAATTACCCTGCACGCTTCTACATTCCACTTTCCACCACTCTCTTGCCTTGCCTGACCGACTGGCAATCGAAATCCTCGCGCGCCATGGTGACGGGGTTCTCGATCATTCCCATCCTTCCTTAATTCTCGGGCGCTTGTGGAGGGCGCGCGGACTTCTCATAGTTCTTCCCAGTCTACCCTTTCCTTAATACTCATCTGACCGGCTTGAGTGGACATTCAGCCATGGCCGAAGACATTGATGTCCGAGCCATCTCGGCCTTTTCCTCACTTCCGGAGAACACCATCACGACGTTGCGCCAGACTCCTTCGCCAGAGTTGATTGACGAAATCCTTCGAGCTTTTCTCCCGCGGATAAAAGAGTGTGAACAGACAAAGGCGAAACAGGTCAAGACGGAGATCGAGCTAGAAACATACACGCGTAAAAATGACTCCAAGGTTAAGGCTCTCTCAGAGTCGCGGGACAAGGCTCTTGAGCAGGCAGGCAAACTGCGTGGTGAATTGCAGATTGCTGGTGAGCACCCTACGTCTACCGCTTATTGACCTTCAACTCATTTCAAATACAGAAACCGCAAAGACCAGACTGGAAACCGAAATCGACCAAATGCGCTCGGCTACGGCAAACGAAAACTCCGAGATCAGCACTCTCAAGTCACGAGTCACCTCGCTCGAAGCTGCCAACCGCGACACACTTGCCCTTCTTGAGTCCAAGACTACCGCATACGAAAGCCTGTCGCAGGAACTTGCCGCTCAGCACCAAAAGGCCGCAGAACTTCGGAAGCAGATCGCTACCCTCGAGCAATCAGTACAGTCCGCTAATGCCTCCGTCGCTAGCGCGAAGTTCAAGGAGCAGAGCCTACTACAAGAGGTGGACATGCTTAAGAAGAACAACGAGTGGCTGGAAAATGAAAGAAAGATCAAAGCCGATGAGCATACAAATTTCCGCAAAGAGAAGAATGCTCGAATTTCCGAATTGTCCAGATCTAATGAACAATACATTGCTGAAGCTGAAGCCTTGAGACGGTCCGAAACGGCGCTTAAGCATCGATTGGAGGAGCAGGCAACGAAACTTGAGGAGACGCTAGAGGAAATCCAAAAGATTCGCGAAGAAAAAATTTCCTCAGACGAATCCCATCGAGTTGAACTTGAAAGTGTTACTCGCCTGGCTGATTTGCAAGCTGCGTCGGCCGAAACTGCGAAACAACGAGTCCAAGAACTTTCTGCCGCCTTGGAAGAGGCCCGCGAAGAGGCAGCAGAAGAAGTTGGCACCATTCGAGCCGAGATCGAGTCTGAGCACAATGACCGTGTTGCTGCCGAACAACGAATTGCCGAACTGGAGAGGTCTCTGGAAGAGTTATCAAATGAGCTCGAACAAGCCCGAGCACGACCAAGCACTCCGCAGCGTGCAATGAACGGCTCAGGTATCACCACGCCTATTCGAGCTGGTACCCCTGGGGGCATCTTTTCGCCTTCCTCCATCTCAAGGCCGAGGACCCAAATGACAATGACTCAACTTTACAATGAATACACGAAACTCGAAGGAGATCTTGCAAGCGAGAGACGAGCCAATGAGCAACTGCGCGAGAACCTTGATGCAATGGTCGAGGAACTCGAGAACAACAAGCCTGAGATTGAAGAATTACGGATGGACCACGATCGACTACAGAGTGAAGTCGTGGAGATGTCCAGCATCATGGATAAGGCTAATGCTGAGCGAGACTCCGCTGTCAAAGAACTCAAGCACTGCCAAGGCCAGCTCGAGAGCAAGTCGAGAGAAGTCGAAGTCCTCACGCAGCAACTTCGAGATACAGGCTCGCAGATCCGCTTCCTCTTAATCGAACAGCATGTTAGAGAACAAGGCGGCTCTTTGACTCGGGAGGACTTTGATGACCTTGAGAGACAGGCCAACGAAGCCATGGCCCAAGACATGGCCAACTTGTCCGAGACACAGCAATTAGTCAACCAACGCCTGATCGTTTTCAAGAACATCGACGAGCTTCAGCGACAAAATCAAGACCAACTCAAGACCATCCGTAATCTTGTCAGTGAACTTGAAAGCAGCGTTGCGAAAGAGAAGGAACAGCAACAACTTGCTATGAAAGAGGAGCTCGAGCAGGCTCGTGCTCAAATATCCTCATACCAGGACGAACTTAAGACCATGGTTGCTCAGACCAAGAGTTTTGTCAAGGAAAGAGACATGTTCCGCAATATGTTGACACGACGTGGTCACCTAGCCGCTGGACAAGTGCATCCTACGGACTTCTCCAGGTCACTCCCTGTTCCCAATGGGGAGTCACCGGCTCCTTCAGTGGCAGGTGGCGAGTCTGATTATGCCAAGTTACTCAAAGACTTGCAACACCACTTCGATACGTACCGACAAGAAGCCTCCACCGACCACTCGGCGTTGAAGACTCAAGTTGACGAGTTGAGCAGAAAGAACTCCCAATTACAAACAGAGATCAGCCGCGCCATGGGGCAACTGACAGCTGCTAACCAACGGTATGAGATGCTCCAAGCCAATTACAACTCTCTGAAGACCGAGAACGGAGAAATCCAGAAGAGATCGTACGCTGTCATGGACAATGCCAACAAGCAGGAAGTCAAGGCGCAGCAAGTTGCTGAAGAGCTTGTTGAGGCCAGAGCTCTGGTGGAGAGCTTGCAGCGCGATTCTGCCAACCTCAAGGCCGAGAAGGATCTCTGGAAGACCGTGGAGCGAAGACTGATCGAAGACAATGAATCTTTACGAAATGAGCGTGGCCGACTAGATCAGCTCAATGCAAGCTTGCAATCAATCATCAACGAGCGTGAGCAAACTGATGCAGAGAGCAGACGTCGTCTTCAATCACAAGCCGAAACACTAGAGACAGAGCTCCAGTCTGTGAAGAGGAAGCTCAACGACGAGATCGAGGAAAGCAAAAAGGCCTCCTTGCGGCGTGAATACGAACATGAACAAAGTCAAAAGAGGATTGACGACCTCGTCACAACGCTGGGCACCACAAAAGAAGAGCTGGCTTCCGCCAAAACCGCAAGAGATCATCTTCAAGCCAGAGTAGACGAACTTTCGGTTGAACTTCGCTCTGCAGAAGAGCGTCTAGAGGTTTTGACCAGACCTGCCGAACCAGCCGCTCAAGAAAATGGCACAGAGGAGAGCAGTCTCACCAAGGAGCAAGAATTGTCAGTGGAGATTTCTGAACTCAAACGAGATCTCGACCTCAAAGTTTCTGAGCTTGAGAGAGCCAACGAACAGGTTGAGGTCTACAAGAATATTAGTCAGTCAAGCGAAGAGCGACTTCAAGAGCTTAGCGAGACCAATGACCAGTATCGGGAGGAGACAGAAGCTGTACTCGCTGAGAAAGATGGTAAGATAAAGGACCTTGAGCAACGCATTGAAGATATCTCGTCAGAGCTTAACACTACCAACTCCGAACTATCCAAGCTCCGAGACGAACAGGCCGACGCAGGCCGGAAGCTCCACGAACAAAAGGCTGGCTTTGAAGCTGAGATTGAACGACTCAAAGAGGAAGCTGAGAAGAGCGCCGAGCAAGCTCAATTCAACCTGGAAGCTTCCAAAGTGCAAGCACAGATCGCCACAGAAGCTCAGCAGAATTACGAGAATGAGCTTGTCAGACACGCAGACGCCGCAAAGGCGCTGCATACAGTCCGAGAGGAAGCCAACCAGATCAAGCTGGAGGCAGTTGACCTACGTACTCAGGCGGCGACTGCAAAGGCGGATCTGGAACAGAAAGAGGCCAGCTGGAACGAGCTGAAGGATCGATACGAAAGAGAAGTGTCTGATCTTAAGCAGCGCCGAGAAGAAGTCATGCAGCAAAACACCCTACTTCATAATCAACTCGAACGACTAACACAACAAATCAGCACCCTTCAGCGTGATCGTGCCGCTTTGGCTGAAGGCGAGAATGCCGAAGGCCCGACGCAGGCATCTGCCGAACTCGACGAGTCGCAGGAGATGATACGATATTTGCGACGTGAAAAGGAGATCATTGAAGTTCAACACCACATTTCAGTCCAAGAAAGCAAGAGATTGCGCCAGCAACTGGAACTTGCTCAGTCTCAACTAGATGACACTCGACTGAAGCTTGACCAGCAACGCCGTGCTGAAGTTGATGCTGAGCGCAATGCTATCAACCACAACAAGCTCATGGAGACTTTGAACGAGCTGAATCTTTACCGGGAAAGCAGCGTGACTTTGCGAGCGGAGCTGAAACAAGCCAAGGATTCCCTCGCGGAGAGATCTAAGCGTGTGGAGGAGCTCGAGGGCAAAATTCACACTTTGAACACTCGTGTTGCAGAACTCGAAAACCTGGTCGAACTTCGTGAAGGTGAGCTGAAGCTGAGCCAGGAAGATCGTGATCACTGGCAACAACGCTGTCAAAACATTCTTTCCAAATACGACCGTGTTGACCCGGCCGAGCTGGAGGCTCTCAAAGAGAAGATCGCTACACTAGAAAAAGAACGTGATGAGATCAAGACAGAATATGACAGTGCTGTTGCCGAACGCGATGAGGCGCGAACCGCTCTGCAGAAGCATGTTGATGACCTTCCTACCGTCATCAAGAATGCCAAAGCAGAACAAAAGACTGTGCTTGAGACTCAGTTCAAGGAGGTCCTCCGAAAGAATCGAACGGTATTGGTTGAGAGAAAGGCTGAGCTAGATGCCGCGCTAGCTGAAAAAGTGGTTTTGCAGGAAGAATTGGACTCTGCCAAAGCACAACTTGCAGCTGCACCAACTGAAAGTGCAGTGTCTGTTCCCCAGGCCAACGGTGTTGCTGAGGTTCAGCCGACAGTCGTTCCAACTGACGGCCCAAGTAGTACCACCGATAATACAGCGGTGCCCGAACTTGAGGCCAAAGTCAGGGAACTGGAGGCTTCTCTTGTCGCAAAGGACAAGGAAATCCAGGACATGACTTCTTCTCAGGACGAAAAGTACAATAATAGGATATCAGCAATGGAGAAGATACTCAACAAGCGTCTGCAAGAGGTAAAGACTGAAGCCCAGCAAGCAAAGGTTGCTGCATTGGAGGAGTTGCGCACCAAACTTGACGCTGAGCATCAACAAGAAATGGAAGCGCTGCGAGCCAGCTCTGTTCCCGTGGCCGCGGATTTGCAGCAAGCCACCGGCGATACTCCAAATGCTGCAACTGAGGTAGCTCCGAGTGCGGCGACTGAGACTGCTACACCTGTCGGCGCCGACCAGCTGACAGAAGAAGTTCTGTTGGCCATTCCGGAAGACAAGGCCAGATTCCTCGTTCAGAAGCATGAAGTTCTCCGCAAAATGGTTCAGACCAATATCAGAAACCGAGTTGAAAAGGAGCGAGAAAGCCTGCGTGAGACAATCCGAAAGGAGATCGGAGAGGAAACTGCGACCCAAGGCAGCCAGCCTTCCTCTCAACAGATCGAAGAACTCGAGCGGCGATTCGAACAAGAGAAAGAGTCCATCATCCGGCAGAAGGAGTCCGAGTGCAATGCTGAAAAGCAGACACTCGCCAAGCAATATGAAGATAAACTCGCCCGGGAGAAGCAAGATTTAATCGTCAAGCATCATGAGGAGCTGAGCTCACAGAGACTCCAATTTGATCAAGAGTCGGAACGGAAGATTCAAGAACAGGTTCGAAATGCTGAACAGATGATGGAGAAGCGTGGTGCAGTTAAGTTGAATATGGCTACGAACAAAGCCGCAGCGGCCACTGCTAAATTGGAGGTGGTGAAAAAGGCGGCAGAAGAAACACCTGAAAAACCAGTTGGGGAGGTCTGGAACATTGCTAAGGACACCAAACCTCCACCAGCTGCTCCAAAACCAGCAGCCACTGCCACATCTTCTGCTCCGGCTGCATCTGCTCCAGCAGCCGCTCCTTCACAGCCTCCTGCAACTCCAGACAGCAAGACGAATGGAAATGCACAAGCTACATCCACTGAACAACCTGCACCTGCCACTGCAACTGCTGCGGTCAAGACTGAAGCTTCAGCACAAAAACCTCCTCAGCAGCAGACCGGCGCCCAAGCTACCACGACTGAAAATGCCAAACAACCTCAGGCGGGCGGTGCTGCTTTGATGCATCAATTGCAGTCAGGTATTCCACGAGGTGGTTCAATTCGTGGTCCTCGGGGTAGCGGTATTCCTCGAGGAAGAGGAGCACCAAGAGGTCGAGGAGGTGCACCTCATGTTCAGACGGGTATTCCACAGCAGGCTAGGGGAGGCGGTCATGTGGGCAGTCCTGGACGGGGGAACTTGAATCCTCAAGCTGCACAGTTCACTCCAGGAGGAGGCAATAAGCGTGCTAGGGAAGATGGAGGGTCTGCCGATGACGGTGGTCAAGGAAAGAGAATTCGTGGTGAAGGAGCGTCTTCTTGAGCTTATTGAGATCTCGTCTCTCATTTTTCCTTTGTGTGTGTGTTTGTGTGAATGTGGTACAACGGGAAATGGATACATTTGCGATCAAAAAAAAGGGAAACATTTGCATGGCGATGGCGAATGAGAGGTTTTGTGATGATACGTTTTCGTTGTGTGTATTCAAATTTTCACGGGAAGCTCGACCAAGACTTGGTCAACTCAAGAGGTTGAGCTGCGGATTGAGATATACCAAAGACGAGGCAAAACGGGATAGTGAAAGTCTAGTCTAGTCCACCAGTCTAGTCGACAAAGTCTTAGACATGAAATTGTATGATACATACATGCCCATTGTATACTCCGGTTACCGATATACTTGGACTGAGCTACTCTATGCTTTGCATTGTAGGTTCAAACTGATCGGTGATGAATAGCAAATGTGCATGTACCTCACTACCTACTCCGTGACCGAGGTAGAGTATGAATGCGACACGGCCGCTGTGACTGAAGTGACACTTGTAATGAATGCGTGTAGGGAAAATGAGAATTAAAGAAGTCAAGCACATGGTTAATGGCTGCTCTCGTGCGATTTTGATTATTTCTTTGGGATAGAAGAATGTACGCCTGCAGAGGTACATACAATTTGGAATGGTCAGTGGTGGAACGGTGAATAATCAGTCAGGCCTTGTTGAAATGATACTATGTGGCAAGATACCTCCCCCACTCTCGGTCATGGTCGTTGAATTCTCCTCGCCTCTCATCTCTCATCTCCAGGTGTATATGTCCTCATATCTCTGGATGTATGTTGAATGCACGTTCTTATGTCTCTAGGTGTACGTTCTCAATACACCGCGGGTACGTTGGAAGCAGAAGTTGTCATCGTCGTCGTCGTAGATGATGGCCCCTTCCCCTCCACGTCTGTCTGTTGGAATCTCAACTGACACCAGTCTGCGCACGAGATGGGTTCGTATTTCGGCGGGTTGTTCTCGTCGGTGCAGCTGGGAAGGACGCCGCATTTTTCGTTGAAGTTGAAACCAAAGAAGAAGGGCATCGAGTATCTTTTGGTCGAGAGTGATTGTCAGTTCGAAATCAGATCAAATCAAAGTCGAGTTAGGTCATGATCGAAACATTCGCCGATACTATGCGGCTGGGGTGTGGGAAGTGAAAGGAAAAGCAAAAGGACGTCGGCATGGTGGCTGATGCAAAAGGGAAAGATGAAAAGAAGGCCGTGTCTGTGAGACTCGCGACCAAAACGGAAGGGAAAAAAAGGCAAGAAAGAAAGAAAGTCGTCCTGACTCGTGGCCAAACTGATAGCAAAGAACTCTGATAGCCCAACATACCTTTCAACAGTAGATCTGTTAAAGACTCTATGCACCGTAGACTTGAGGCGATCGTTGGTCAAGCGCATAAGGTAATCGCCTATGTTGACGACAAAGGTGCCCTGGATCGGCGAGGCTTTAATCCACTGCCCGTCCTTGTTGAGCACTTGCAGGCCGCCGTTCATGTCTTGCCAGAGCAGCGTGAAGCACTGCAGGTCCGTGTGCGAGCCGAGACCGATGTCGGCGCTGCTCGCGGCCTGCGCGGCCGTCATAGCAGGGTAGAAGTTGAAGACGCCGTCGCTGCCCGGGTACGTAGTAACGCTGTCAAAGTACGTCTCCGGCAGGTCGAGCACGAGCGCGAAGATACGCACCAACCGCCGTGCCAGCTTCAAACATTCCTGCCAGTACGTGATGCAGCCAGACTTGAAACCCGGGAGGTGCGACGTGCCTTGCCACACGTAGTCTTCGCCGCGGATGTAGGGAAGCACCTCGGCGGGGACGTTCGCGGGGTCTTTGGGGTCCGGGTCGTACTGTGGTTCGTAGCGCCAGCTGAAAGATTCGCGGTAGTCCACTGTGATATAATGAGTCTTGGTATATGGATTGCAGAGGATGCATGTATGTACGTTCTCAACTTGTAAAACAAATGTACACGGACGTGTCTATCTGGGACGTGATAAGAAATATAACAGATAACAGCAGGGGGCATGATACATATAGAATGGCTACATAACGTAGACCAAGTTGAATAGGCAGTAGTAGGAGGAGGAGGAGGAGGAGGAGGAGTAGGAGGAAGAGGAGGAGAAGGAGTGGATGAAAGCTTTCAGAAGTGTACTGATACGGGAGAGAGAGAGGACGAATGTTGAACAGCACCAGAAACATTGAAAACTTACATCCTTCAGTAGGACTTGCCATGGCAGTCCCATTCCCACTGTAGCCATTATAGTATTTCCCCTTGGACTTGGACACGATTTGTTTCTTCTCTTCAGGTTGGGCGAAGAAGGTCTTGGACGCGTCGAGGGCCCCGTTGATGGCTGATTCCGGGATACCGTGGTTCTTGATGTAGAAGAAGCCAGTGTTCTCTGCCGCGTACTTGATCTCTTGAGCGAGGCTCTTTCGGTCATCCAAGTCGCCATAGATCCGCCCAATGTCGATCAAGGGGATCTCGTCGCTTCGAGCCTCACGTGGTGGACTTGTCAGAACATCGCGATACACCGGTCCGTAAGCGGTGCGTAGCTGGAGTTTGACGAACGAGGGGGTCGATTCGGTGACTGTCGTCGCCATGGCCTGCTATTCTTGTCCCGGCCCTCCTGATTTGTGATGTTGATCTTTGACAATATCAATTCTTCTTTTCACGACGACTGGCTTGTTGAAACTCAATGAAATTGTATCTTTGTAGTCCGTGATAAGCGTTGAGATGGACCTGGATATCGGCGCTCGCGACCCCGTGGTTCCCACTTCCCCAGGCTCTCCCGCGATATTAGAAATCAGAGACTCAAGAGGAATGCCTCATCTGTACGAGAAATGATGAAGCCTTGGTCGGCGGTCGGCGAGACCCGAAACAAGATAAGGAGTTCTGGAGTCAGTATAGATAACCGTGTAGTAGTGTACAATCAAGTCGGCATTTGGGAGACGGATATAGTCGACGTCGTATTTACCAAGAAGACCGGCTATTCTCCATATCCCGACAAGGTCCGAGAACAATTCGCCAATCATCGTATGAGTCATTCTGCCCCTTTTCTCTACTCCTCCTACACTATATGGTGCCATCAAGATACTCGCGCTCATCTCCATGGTCTGTCTAAAGGCGTCGGGAACTTCTCAGATCCACTATACACCATTTCCTTCCCATTAGAAACCAAGCCAAGTGTTGGGGTATGCGAGCAGTCCATAGGCGTGCCCTACAGGTTATCAGCAACCCGTAGACATACCCTATCGGCAATCTACAAATGCTACCCAGCAGTAAGCGAGTCGTCCTTATCAGTGGGATCAGCATGGCCAAGAGCATCGTGCCAACGTCCAGACCCGATGATGGGACTGCAATTTAGTCTAGAGCGCGGTTGAAATATGACCTCGCCGCTGGAGCAAGTTGTTTGCCAAACATTTCAATCGCTGTGCCGCTCGGTGCCCCATAATCGCAATGGTATCGTTCAGACGACCTCAACTCGTTGCTGCGGGGGCGGAAGAGATCAAGGGAAAAGAAATCTGGCTCGACAACGATGACCTTCGGCCGCTGAAACTCAGGGATCGCACATGGAATAGAACCACGTACTTTGTCTTTTGGTTCAGTGCCACAGCTACAGTTAGCAATTGGTGCGTGGAAACGACCGACTGACATCATATTACACGACATGAAACAATTCACTGACGGGACGCAGGTATGGAGCTTCAGCGGCTCAAGCCTTGGGCCTTTCGTTGTGGGAATCATTGGCCTGCACATTGGGGGGGAATTGCTTGATTGCGATAATCATCACCCTCAATGGTAGAGCCGGTGCGGTATACCACGTCGGTTTCCCTATCCTCAACAGGTCAGCTTTCGGCGTTTATGGAGCGTGGTGGCCGACTTTCAACCGCGCGGTGATGGCGATTGTAAGTTGGGTATTCTCATCACAACGTCGGCTCGCTGGGGTTGCTAACTCTCGACGTAGGTGTGGAACGGGGTCAACGCTGTTCAGGGTGGGCAATGCGTCTATGTCATGTTGCACGCCATCTTTCCCAGCATTGCCCATGTCAAAAACACCATGGGCACGGGCAGTGCTTTGACTTCGGCGGGAATGATTGGGTTCGCTGTCTTCTGGCTTGTGACATGCTGCTTTCTCGTCATACCAGTCCCGAAGATGAGGTCGCTTGTGTATGTGAAGTTGGTGGTCTTCATCATATCGGCCGTGGCAATGCTGGGTTGGACAGTCGGCAAGGCTGGAGGTCTAGGCCCTGTCGCGAGCAAGGGTTCAACTGTGCATGGCAGTGAGAAGAGCTGGCTGGTGAGTTTGTTACCGAATATCGGCGTTCGCAAAAATTAACGAGATGCGCCGGTAGATTGTTCGCTTCCTGATGCTGGGAGCTGCTAACTGCGCAACTTTTGCAAGCAATGCCAGCGACTTCCAACGGTACGCGCCTCGTCCCAACGACCCGATTCTCGGTAACCTGGTCGGATTCCCCCTTGCCAATTTCCTGGTCGGAGTTGTCGGCAATCTTGTCGGCGCTTCGTCGCAAGTCATCTTCGGCGAGCTCATTTGGAATCCGATTGATTTCCTCGACAAGCTCCAAACGGCTGACTACACACCGGCTAACCGAGCCGGGTGCTTCTTCATCGCACTCATGTTCGTGTACTGTGCCATCTTCTCATCCATCTTCGAGAACTCTCTGCCTGCTGGAAACGACCTGGCAGCACTCTTCCCCAAGTACATCACGATCCGTAAGGGCTTCTTCATTTGTGCAGTCGTCTCATTCGCCATCAATCCATGGTACCTGCTGGGTAGTGCGTCAATTTTTGTGTCTTTCTTGGGCTCATATCAGATCTTCTTGTCCAGCATTACTGGTGTCTTGTTGTGCAACTATTATATCATCACTCGAGGGTATATGCACATACCGGATCTGTTCACTGCGGACAAGAACGGAGCCTACCACTATACCAAGGGCTGGAACATTCGAGCGTACATTGCATACGTGCTCGGGTAAGTCTCGTCCTCTGAGTTGCAGCTCGCCGATATTCTGACCGTTTTCTAGCGTGATACCAAACTTTTATGGCTTCTTGAACAATATGGGGGTCGATGCGCCAATGGGTGTCACCAAGTTTTATTACTTTGCATATTGGGTAGGGCTGGCCGTGTCTGGAGGAACCTATTGGGCGTTGTGTAAGCTGTATCCTCCGGCTATCATGTACGATAAAGGCTGGATGGAGGTGGAGAATTATGTTCGACCGGAAGAGGAGGATCAGGTATTGGAAGGTCAGAGTTTTGACGTCGAGGCTCCTGGTCTGGGAGCACAAGAGAAGGAGGTTACCCACGAGACTGTCACTGGTCTCAAAGCCTAGGCCTCATCTCGCCTAAGTCTGGGTACCGAAGATAGACAATCAATCGTTCACGAGAGAGTTATCTTCGCCGGTTCATCTGATCTTTCATCACGGCGATGGCGAGATGAAATATCGATACGCCGTGGCTGCTCCTTTGTGTTGTCATATGGCCAAAGCATTCTTGGAGGAATGGGAAAACGGTCAAGCATCAGGAAGTCTTGATCATGACCTGGGTACTGCGTAGACTGTAGTGCACGGAGTATCAATTTGGTTACTTTTGTTTATCAAAGCTTTCTCGTCGCTGCTTGTGCCCTGAAACGGATCTTGCTAGTCTCATCTTTGCGATATTGTGGCAGATTAACCGAGGCGGTCTTCGCTCTCGCTGTAAATTGCCTCGAATGGTATAGTAAACATGCCTAAAATCGGTCGAATATCTCGCTTTTTTTTTTGAAGGTGGGGTGACGTGTCCTCTTGTCTGCTTATGAAAGAGCGAGCTGTCAATGTAAGACAAATTATTCCGAAGAAAACAGAGGCTGACTGTGTGTTCTCCTATGTCAGACAACAACCATTTCCCCCGAATCCATCCAACGAGATCGCTGCTTTTGCTGACCTTGCTGACCGAGTGCGGGCAACGCTACATCAAGCCCTTCTCTCCTGTTGTCGTTGTTCAGCAATTCTACATTTGGGATATAAGTAATTACGATTCTCAATGCAGGGTTGCACTGGTTATAGGGGACTGTGATATTGTTGTACGCGCTTCTGGAACCACTGCACAAGAACCGACTGTACACGATCAGACGCTCACTATTCTTGCTTCAGTCTCTGAACATTCCTGGGTCCTATCTCTGGCATCACCAGTCTATCCTCGTACTCCGTTTACTGACGACGAGAATAAAAATTCAACATCATCCTCACTCGCCAAAATGACCTTTACAGTGTCAGAAATCACAGACTTGCGGATTTATCCCGTAAAGTCATGCCGTGGAATATCAGTGAAAGCTGCGAATCTTACAAGACAGGGCTTGGAATTCGACAGAAAATGGATGGTGAGTGCACCATTTGCAGACTGGCGGTGTAGCCTAGTATTCGAGGCTGACTGAGTGCGCTTTGAGATAGTTCGTTGATGGCAAGCGTGAATTTCTCACCATCAGGCAGAAGCCCCAGATGACATTGATCAACACAGCTATCGATGAGGAATCTGGCAATCTTGTCATCACAGTCGGCCACGATGCCGAGAAGCAAGTCAAAGTTCCTCTTCGTCCAGACCAAACATGGCTCGATGCCAACACCCAAGAGGTCACGGTTGATATATGGGAACACCTTACCGATGGATACGCATATACTGATTCCAAGATCAAGAAAATATTCTCCGACTTCTTTGAGGAAGAAGCAAGTCTAGTCATGAAAGGTCCCGAACCGCGGATCTGCGGTGGGAACGGACATCCAAAGCTGCTCGGTCGCGAAGAGACTGTCAATTTTCCTGACGTTTTACCTGTTCAAATTGCATCCGAATCTTCACTCGCTGAACTGAACTCTAGGTTGGAAGCGAAAGGTGAAAAGGCCATCACGATTGAAAGGTTCCGACCGAACATCATTGTAAAAGGCGGCGAGCCATGGTCCGAGGACTCTTGGAAGACTGTTCGCATCAATGGGGATTCTTCTCTTTTTACCACAATTACTGGCGGCAATCGAAATGCTCTGGACGTTGACGTTGTCGCCAGATGCGCTCGGTGCACGGTGCCCAACGTCAATCCCGACACGGCTGAGAAGCATCCGAAACAGCCATGGGATCTGCTTGTTAGCTATCGGAGAGTTGACGAGGGTATCAAATTCAAGCCCTGCTTTGGTATGCTCTGCTGTCCTAGAAATGAAGGCAATGTTGAAGTTGGGATGCGCTTCGAAGTCCTCGCTGAGACCAAGGACCACAAGTACCACAAAGGATTCTGAGACTTTGGTTCCGAAGAGCAATTATGTGATGTGTGTCAAGGTGTCGTGTAAATATGGGTGACATTTGGCGAAATAGCACTACGTGTGGCATGACCTGTATTTCAGAAGCATCCAAACAATATAGCACATGGTCGATTACTCCGGAGATGCACACACCATTCGCCAGCAGAAGTTCTCGGTGTTTAATGCTAACCGAGAGGTTCGTATCGCCAGGTGGCCATTGCGTAAGAGCTTGGCGGATGAGGGTGAGCTCAAGGATGAGCTGAGCAGAGCTCCCGGTGAAGCTCAGCAATCGAAGCTGGGAAAACTGCGGAGAAGCATAGCTAGGAGCTTGGATGCGCACCGACACCAAACAACTGCCAGACGAAGCACTCTTTTTTTGTTCTTGACTTGCATCCTCGTAGCTTGCTGTACCAGTCTCGTCTCGTGTAAACGCCGTGATGCAATCATGGAGCTCCATCTGGCTCCAGACAAGGGGATTATCGCTGCAGCCGTTACATCAGCATGCTTCCTAGGCTACCTATTCAGCAGGAAGCTTCGCGGGTAGCCGAGGAGCTCCGGCTGTCAGAGCCTGCAAAGGCGACTGATGGACACTTGGCGGCATCCTGTCCTGCAGAAGAGGTTTCTGACAGTGACAGCTCATGTGGAGTGAATGAATGATCTGACAGGGTGGGAGGAAGCTCTGGGAGTGGGTTGGACAATGCTGATCAGAGGCAAATGAACAGCGAATTGCCCTGCACATGTCAACACGATACCCCGTAAAGCCAGCAGCGGCAGCATCATACCTGGATGTCCCAACAGAGAATACGAGTCCTGTGCTGGGCAACACTGAGGCAGAAGGGCAGCTATCGTTGGGCAGATCCACATAAGCTGTTGGTTTGGGAGTGATTGGCGAGTGCCTGAGCGCCCAAACCAAGATAAGGACGAGTGAGGAGATGGATGAAGGTTGTCCAAGTCTCATGGATCGGAGCTCTGAAGATGGGCTGATGAAACCGAGATGTTTCTTTGGTGGACGGCGTGGTGGAAAGATACGTGGAGATGCTGAGGACCTTACCTGGAAGCTAGTGCCTACAGCTCACTCGATAGGGCGGCCGCGGGAGGGATGATGCAGCATCATCATAGGCGCAGCCTTAACTAAACTTAACTAGCCCGAGTCTGTTTAAGCCCCTCACCAGCGAAGCTCGTGTCTTCCGCACACACGCCTATTACACTGACACACTTGTCTCTCTTCCTTCTATACACTCTGCTCACCGACATCACCGCAGCCGTTCTCTCCTCTCCCGCACTCCCTTACCACCAGTTTGAGCCAGCGACGGCTGGTGCTGTACATCACTATACTCTCCTCTTAATTCTAATTCCGATTATCGCTGTGTCTGGCCGGCCAAATCATGTAAAGGGGCCCATTACGTCGAACCCGGGATTTTCCTTTTCTCTCAGCCAAGCCTGTGTGTCAATCTGTCCGATCAATGCCGCCGTCGTCCTTCGTCACTCTCCTCTGAGTTTGTCCTCCTGCGGTGCAGCGCAGTAGGCCATGCCACCCAAAGCTGCCCTTACGAGTTCGTTCCCATTGTCGACCGATGCGGAAAATGAGGTGGTTTGCCCTCTCACAAATCAAGATGGCTCGCAGTGTCGGAAACGGTGTATCGGAGTGCGTCTGAACCCCCATTTGCATTGCGCGTGTTGCCGGAACAGTATACTGAGTATAATCCCACAGGAAAAACGATATCGGTCGATGCAAGAACACATCAGGCGCGCCCACCCCGACTACTACATTCCCAAGTTGCCGGCCACGGAGGAGAGTTTCCAGTTGATGATCAGCACTCCTCCGTCGCAACGCCCACAACAACCAACCGCGGCACCGGCTCCCGCTCGAAAAGGCCTTTGTATGTTTGGGGACTTGAATATATGAATTTTACACCGTACTAAGACAATCAAACAGCGGATGCCAGTGAACAGGCTCCATTACTGGAACAAGTTGGAGCAGTCACCGGCCCTCCATCAGGTACTGCGAATGCCGCGGTCGCCCTGGCTCAACTTCACAATTGGGATTCAGAATTTGTAAGTATTTAGACCGGAGGACGATTACGGCTGGCCCGGAGAGCCTTACTCATTACCGTCCCAGGATGTGTTCCCCGAGTCCGACTACAAACGTGAAGGGTCGGGCGGCTTTGAACTGCCCTCTCTACGTGCGCAGTTCAGCGAAGACACGCTCCCCCCGTTCCAAACGTCTCGCACGCGCGAGTTGTTACCTTCTATTTTACAATCGCCGGGCAGTCGGTATTCGTCGTTGCCACCCCTTCAGCGACGCGATAAGATGCAGCGTTCGAAAAAATCGTCCATGGGACAAAACGCACGCAAGGGCAAACACGAGCGCGGAAAGTCGAGGGAGTTCTCAGCCAAGGACTTCACGAGGCGACTAAGCGTCGAAGGCCGAAAGGCCATGTCTGCCGAACCGCCTACGGCGGCTTGGGTGCAAGGCAAGAGATGGGAAGATCTGATCGAAGCGGCGACGACTGCTACCGAGGTGGATGATGATCGTGATCTCACTCCCGTAAGTCAGACGACATTTTTCGATTGTCCTCTGTTTACTTGCTGCTGCCAAGAGATCGAAATTTTGTAGATGTACCTTTCCCTCCCCATGATGGAAGACCAGCCCCCTGGAGGGAAGCGCCTGTCTCTGTGTACTATTTTTTTTATTGTCACTACTACTATTGTGTGTCTGTCTACTACCCCCTCGAAAACAACAATCTACGACGAACGGCCGTCGATGTTCTCGGTCCTGATCCCCCCGCACGCGCGAACGGAAAGGGCCAAAAGATGAAGCCCGCGAGCAGAGAAGCTCACATTCCGTTCTCGGTCAAGAGGATGGAGCTCTCGGTTGTGGACTTGGGCGTCCGCCGTGTCTTTTTGGTATCACCATACCTGGGAGCGATTCGAAGGACTCTCCGATCAAATCATCGTCGATGGATGATGATTTGAGGTGAGGACCGCCGATGAGACCCGAGACCCGGATGGGGGCCCAAGCCAGCGCAACTGGAGTCGCCGACGCCTCGAGTCGGGAGTGGAAAGTGTATGGCTTGGTTTTGTGTGCAGGGTACGGAGACGACGAATGTACACAAGACCGTGGTCAAACACGGCGCGCGCCATTTTTTCTCCCATTCCCACTTTCGCCGGCGGTCGGGATCAGACCACATGGACGCAGGACTGGTTCGGAAATCTCGATCTGGGGCGGTGCGCCGGACCAGGGGGGGTCTGTGACTGCCGGGGGGAGAAGAAAAAAAAAGTTTATGCACACTCACCCAGTGTAATTAATGTGTACACCCACGCTCGTCTATTTTCGTTCTGTTTTGCGTTAGAGGCTCGATAATCAAGTTGGCTAACAGGCGCTTGGCGTTGGGAACCACAGATGCCGCAGTCGCCAAACTTTCCGCCGTCCCAGGGCTCGACAGCGATGGCGATGCACGCGCAGACGGCGGCGGCGCGCAGATTGTCCGCCGCGGACACGCCAGGTGGTGGTGATGGTGCATACAAGCGATCATCCCTGCCGCCGGGGTTCCGACCACTCGGCCACCATCTGCAGCACGGCTCAGCTGGCAAGTACTCGTACAATGCCTCTCCGCTGCAGCGAGCACTGACACCCCCTCCTCCTGACGTGCTGGGAGCCAATGACTCTGAGCCTTTTCCCTCGGTCGAGACGGTGGAGAGCGCGGGATCGGGAGCGAACTTTCACATTTCTGCATCGGGGCTGCCCACGTCGAACGACACGAGTCCGCTGCAGCACTACTCAGAGGCACACCCCTACCGGCACTCGCAGTCGTCCTCGTTTGGCAGCAAATCGGAAGTGCTGGAGATCTACTGCGCGTCGTGCGGCCGGCCCTGGCTGCTCAAGAATTCCTTTGCCTGCACCGAGTGTATCTGTGGCGTCTGCAGCGACTGTGTTGGACAGATCATCAGCAGCCCAGTGATGGCTGTCCAACCAGGACTCGCGCCGATGCGTCGCGGTTGCCCCCGCTGCGGAGTCATGGGCGGGAAATGGAAGCGATTTCAACTGGATTTTCGATAGACTACAGTATACTTTCGCAGACTAGATGGAGGAGTAAAGTTGCGGAAGACCTTAACCTGGCCGAGTGTGAATCTCGATACGAGGAGGAGGAGTTATTACAGTACAGTACAGGACGGGGACCAGGGTGGGATGCAGTGGTGTCCTCTCCCTCCTCTCTCTCCCTTGGTCTCCAAAAAGGAACGTGCCCAGCACTTCCACTTCCGGAACCGACTGACTGAGACATTATTATTCCTGTCAGCCGTGAAATTACCGCGACACACTACGCACTCCGCCCGCCGCCGAGCCAACCGGGCGCCTCCTACGGAGTATTTGCCTAGATGATACAGTGGTGACGCGGGATTGTACGGATGCGAAAGGAAGCAGTGGTACGACTGTGACTCTCGTAGATGGCAGCGTAGATTAATTACCGCAGTAGCACTACAAAAGGGGTATTCCTTGCATTGGATGGCATGGAATGGAGAAATGGCTAGTATTTCCGAGTACGAGGATGGGAATGAAAAGAGGAAGGGAAGAAAGAATATCCTAGCGATAGGACAACAAATGACGGAGAAATTCTACACTTGCAAGAGTTGTTGGAGAGGATGAGCCGCGGCGAGTGGGAGAGGAAAAGAGGAGGGTTAGAACAAGGAGGAGAAGAGGAGAGGATAAGAGGAAAAAGGAAAAACAGAGACAGGAGAAAAAGAGGAAAAGGGTCGGCTAAGGGTGGAATGGGAGGAGAACGGAGGCTGGGATGGGCTGAGTGAGAGTATCCAATAAAATGTCACCGCTTGTTGTTGCACCAAATGTTGAAGAAGCAAGTCAAGACGAGGGCCAGGGGGGCCGGGGACGACGAGGAGGAGGAGAGGAGATTATTATCGCTGATTGCCTGTCAATTGAATTGCACGTTACATACGGAGCTGTAGAAAAGGGTGATCGATGCTATCACTTCTTGACGTAGTGCTCGCGATATGTGTGTGTGTGTGTGTGTGTGTTGTCTTTTATTGCCCTCCCAGGTACGAGTATATGTACTTTACAGTACACAAGGCACATAAGTAAAAAAGGTGGCCACGGAGCGCCAAGTGCAATCAAAGTAACCTGTAAATTTGTGTGTTGGTACTCCGTACGGAGGACATACAGTACCTAACGAAGTAGAAGAAGAAGAAGTGAAAAGAGGCGGATTCTCGGCCCGGGTCAGAACAAAACGCCACAAAAGAATAAAAATCAAGGAACGAGCCCATCGTTAGCCGTTAGTTCAGTAGTACTCCGTACCAAGGAGTTATTTACTTCGTACTATCCGTACTCCGTACATACATACTTATTACTTTTCCCATTATTGTTAGTGTGTAACTCCGTACTGTACTACCACTCAGAGTGTGTGTGGGTGGTTGCTACTTTCTCCTCATTTGGGATCGAAGTGTCGTGCCGCGCGTGGGCAAAGAAAAAGCATCATCATCATGCATCATGCATCAGCACCGAGTTCGATCGATGACTGTGGGGGCCGAACCACGACTACGACTCTACTTATCGTTTAACGAGTATTTGTGACGATACTTCGGGTAGATACTCCATAATACTGACCTCACGAGTGCAACCGTGTTTTTGTGTCTAGTCTAGATACAAAAAGATGGATACACTACTACGATTACCTACCTACCCTACTAATGGGGGGCGATCACAGATTTGAAACTTTGAGGACCACGAATAATAACTTGTGATGAGTACCGTATGTGGACATGTGGGTTGTGAAACACCATCAATCACCTTTTTTCTTGTGCTGGTGCTTGTGCTGGTGCTTGTGCTGGTGCTTGTGCTGGTGCTGGTGCTGGTGCTGGTGCTGGTATACATACTCTTATTATGCGTGTAGATTACAAAGTATTTATGTAGTTTCTCTCCCAATCGCATGGGTTCTACGAGCACAGGGACAGGTAACAAATGTTCTCTTTGTTTCAACTCGATTGGTTGTCTCCTCGTACTAGGATTGTAGGCGTTAAGAGACTAAGACTAGGTAGTTATTAGACTCGACTGCCTTCCACACTGGCAAGATTTCTTCATCACTCATCACTTCACCATTTCCACCAAACTGTCACACTCATCATTTATCACACACTCAGTCAGCAGCAGCAGCAAGTACTAACCACCACCACCACCACCACCACCACCGCCACCACAACAAGTAATTACATACCTACACTTATGCTTTTCCTTCGCTTTCCCTTGGCTTAGTTGACAAAATCAAATCAACGACACCCCGCGAATGAATCTCAGTGCCTGAACATTGCACATGCTGCACGGAGTCCAGAGACTCCCTACGAGTTGGCATCATCCAATCAAGCAAAAACCCATCCATTGCTTTTTTTCTCCTTTATGTGTTTCTGTGCAAATGATCTTTTTTTTGTTTGGATCTTCAAGTTTTCATTTCTTTCTTGCGCCTTTGCACCAAAGTTTTGTCACCCAACATCCTCTTGCATTTTTTGTGACGTTCCTTGGTGGGTGTGAAAATGACGACCGAGGCGTCTCCTCTCCTGTACGAAAGTAACTCGTGAGATCAAGTAGGCAGAGAAGGAGGGACACACACACACACACAGTGTTAGTATATCGATTGATATTCCGTAGTAGATCGCCGATTTGTCGAACCGCTTCTTTTCCTTGTTTTCTGATCTGCAATGGACTTTCCCGCCGTTGTGGAAACAAAAAGGTAGTTTGGTTTAGTTTGGCGGCCAATGTCCTGTTTGAGAAATGGTTTGGGATGTCTGTTGTACATGACATGGGGTAAATCTTAGCGATGAAGGCCCGAGGAGCACGAGGACGATGCCCCGATGCGAAAGAAGTATTGTTGCACGTACTACCGTATCCGGACCCTTAGTGCGAGTTTGAGTGCCACCGCCAGCCATCGCGCGTTGGGTATTGCGGGTTGCAGGTTGTGGGTTGCACGTGGGATGAATGTAGGTGGTTATTAGTAGGTCTTTCGACCGACTCTCGTTTTGAAAACCCCGGAGAATCATGCATCGTGCATCAATCCATGCGTTGAGCGATTGTCAACTACATACGACTGCCCCCTCCCGTATTCGTATTCGTATTCGTACTTGCTACTGAGAGGTCATGGTAGCTTTGATGCGTCGCGATGGGCAGCAACTCACTTCCCATGCCCGAGGGTCCAGTGAAACAACAAACTACCAACTAACCCTGTAGGATACCTATCCTTGCTTAAGTAAGTAATCAAAACTGATTGATATTCGGAAAATACTGGTCTCTCCTCCAACCAGTCCCAAAAGGTCATGATGTTACGAACCAGGCCTTTTATGAGGCCGCAGACCAAGCTGTGACGACAGCCACTCGGCGTTATTACCTCCGGTACACGTGAGTCAAGGGAACGGGATCACGTGACCAAGCCAAGGTCGTGGGCTCTGTTAGGAGGACACAGAGGGGACAGAGCTTAATGGCTCTCATGGCTCTGCGGGCTCTGTGTGCAGAGCCCATAGAGCCCAGGGGAGCCACTAATTCTATGGTCTATATATACACAGTCATTTCATAGCTTTACTACATAGTTAACTTCGTTCACAATTATACCTATATATTTTGGACTATAATCACTTCGCTCTAGTACTCGCTCAAGTACTTTGTTCTTAGTGACCTCGTTTTCTCTACTTCTCACCTATTAAGAAACTATATATATAGTGACATCTCTAGTGAAGCGAAATATAACACTTTAACTATCACTTAATTGGAAGTATTCAATATAATGTCTAGCTCCAAAGCTTCTATTCGCTCACTATTCTCTACTGGGTTGGTTTAGTTCGCCGCATTAGGCGCGTTAATATCTAGACTAATCTTCACTATTATCTTTAGTTACAGAAATTATGGTAATCATGACAAGGATAACATTAAGATTGATGTGTTCTATGGATCTCGTGAGAAGTTAAGACTATTTATTACCTAACTTATCGCGACTTTCAAGTTGAACCGCACTAGATATATCACTTATAAAGATAAGGTCTTATTCGCGGGACTCTATATAAGGGGATTAGCCTTTTATTGATTTAAACCTATCATGATGAACTATATAATATCCCTCAAAGAACAAAAGAACCTAAAAATTATTGCTATTTTCTCTAACTTCGCGACATTCATGAAACAACTTAAGTAGATATTTAGAACTCTAGAGAAGAAATAAGCCATAACCCAACGAATTTATTAACTTAAGTAAAAGAGATTAGCTACGTAGTACTATGCTTTATTTAAGAGACTTTAGGCCAAACTAGACTGAGATAATAATATATTTATCGCTGCCTTCTACACTAGCTTAAAAGATAATATCAAAAAGGAGTTAGAACTAAAGAGGCCTAATATATATTAGGGATTAGTTAATAAAGTTATCGAAATTAATAATTAGCTATACAAGTTAAGATTAGAAAAGAAAGAATACTATGAGAAGATAAATAGCGTGTACTATAGAGATAAATATATTAACTACTAATTTTATAGTGACTCGATAGACCTTGATATTATTGAACAAGGCTGATTCTCACAATTAAAAGGCAAGTTTCAACACAAGAGGCTATTCAATAAGAAGTGAGAGCGACGCAAAAAAGAAAACCTATACTATAACTATGGAAATCCAGAATATAGAGCTAACAAATATAGTATAAAGCCTATAAGACTGTATATAATTGAAGCCGATATTAAAGAAGAAAAGGCCGACACTTTAATTAAGAAAGAACTTAATCGCCTAAGACTTAAGAGCAAGAAATAAATCTAAAGATTAAGATATCTAGAATCTAAAAGACAACAAATAATGAAGATATATCTAGATAGCCTTAAGAGAGACAACTTAAAACAAGCTAACCGCGCCAAGAAAGCATAAAAAGAAAATTCTGAAGAAACCTAGATAGAGAGAGCGACTTCGATATCACTGTTAATAATTAACAATAAAGAGGTTATTAACATCGCAGAAATCTATTCTAGTCAAGGTCGATAAAATAAAATAGTCACGATATAAAAGACTAATAAAGAACGACTAAAAC